CTGTAGTATGGTGATGTTGACGCTGTGATATAATAATGTAGACGCTGTAGTATGGTAATGTTGACGCTGTGATGTAATAATGCACACGCTGTGTTGTGGCAATGTTGTCGCTGTGATGTAATAATGCACACGCTGTGTATGGTAATGTACACGCTGTGGTATGGTAATGTTGACGCTGTCGTGAAGTAATGTTGACGCTGTCATGTTATAATGTACACGCTGTGGTATGGTAATGTTGACGCTGTGGGGAAGTAACGTACACGTTGTGTTGTGGCAATGTTGACGCTGTCATGTTATAATGTACACGCTGTGGTAGGGTAATGTTGTCGCTGTGGTATGGTACTGTTGTCGCTGTGATGTAATAATGCACACGCTGTGTTGTGGCAATGTTGTCGCTGTGATGTAATAATGTACACGCTGTGTTGTGGCAATGTTGTCGCTGTGAATTCCAAATTGCAATTTCATAATATGGACGATGATGTTACGTCATGAATTTGAAATTACACAACATTGATGTTGGCCTAATTTATTATGATTTTTTTTAAATGTAATTTTTCTGATTGGTGTGATACAGGTATCCAATTTGTTTTTAGTGGGTTTTTTTATAGAAAATTTGATGATACTCGCCTCGAAGTTTAAATTTTTGCCCGCCTTAATACAAGACTTCAAAATTAAAAACATCTGCACTTCCAATTGACGTGATAGTATGATAATGTTGACGCAGTGGTATGATAAAGTGTATGTGGTGGTATGATAATGTTTATGTGGTGGTATGGTATTGTTTATGTGGTGGTATGATAATGTTTATGTGGTGGTATGGTATTGTTTATGTGGTGGTATGGTCTTGTTTATGTGGTGGGATGATAGAGTGTATGTGGTGGTATGATAAATTGTATGTGGTGGTATGATAAAGTGTATGTGGTGGTATGATAAAGTGTATGTGGTGGTATGATAAAGTGTATGTGGTGGTATGATAAAGTGTATGTGGTGGTATGATAAAGTGTATGTGGTGGTATGATAATGTTGACGTTGTGGTATCTGATAATGTTGACGATGTGGTATATGATAATGTTGACGATGTGGTATATGATAATGTTGACGTTGTGGTATATGATAATGTTGACGATGTGGTATATGATAATGTTGACGATGTGGTATATGATAATGTTGACGTTGTGGTATATGATAATGTTGACGTTGTGGTATATGATAATGTTGACGTTGTGGTATATGATAATGTTGAAGATGAGGAATATGATAATGTTTAAGTTGTGGTATATGATAATGTTATATGACGTTGTGGTATATGATAATGTTGACGTTGTGGTATATGATAATGTTGACGTTGTGGTATATGATAATGTTGACGTTGTGGTATATGATAATGTTGACGTTGTGGTATATGATAATGTTGACGATGTGGTATATGATAATGTTGATGTGTGGTATATGATAATGTTGACGATGTGGTATATGATAATGTTGACGATGTGGTATATGATAATGTTAACGATGTGGTATATGATAATGTTGACGATGTGGTATATGATAATGTTGTGGTATGATAATGTTGACGATGTGGTATATGATAATGTTGACGATGTGGTATATGATAATGCTGACGTTGTGGTATATGATAATGTTGACGTTGTGGTATATGATAATGCTGACGTTGTGGTATATGATAATGTTGACGATGTGGTATATAATAATGTTGACGTTGTGATATATGATAATGTTGACGTTGTGGTGTTGACGATGTGGTATATGATAATGTTAATGTGTGGTATATGATAATGTTGACGTTGTGGTATATGAAAATGATGACGATGTGGTGTTCACGTTGTGATATATGATAATGTTGACGATGTGGTATATGATAATGTTGACGATGTGGTATATGATAATGTTGACGTTGTGATATATGATAATGTTGACGATGTAATGTTGACGATGTGGTATATGATAATGTTGACGTTGTGGTATATGATAATGTTGACGATGTGGTATATGATAATGTTGATGTGTGGTATATGATAATGTTGACGATGTGGTATATGATAATGTTGACGATGTGGTATATGATAATGTTGACGTTGTGGTATATGATAATGTTGACGTTGTGGTATTGTGGTATATGATAATGTTGACGTTGGTATATATGATAATGTTGACGTTGTGGTGTTGTTGACGATGTGGTATATGATAATGTTGACGATGTGGTATATGATAATGTTGACGTTGTGGTATATGAAAATGATGACGATGTGGTGTTCACGTTGTGATATATGATAATGTTGACGATGTGGTATATGATAATGTTGACGATGTGGTATATGATAATGTTGACGTTGTGATATATGATAATGTTGACGTTGTGGTGTTGACGATGTGGTATATGATAATGTTAATGTGTGGTATATGATAATGTTGACGTTGTGGTATATGAAAATGATGACGATGTGGTGTTCACGTTGTGGTATATGATAATGTTGACGATGTGGTATATGATAATGTTGATGTGTGGTATATGATAATGTTGACGTTGTGGTATATGATAATGTTGACGATGTGGTATATGATAATGTTGACGTTGTGATATATGATAATGTTGTGGTATGATAATGTTGACGATGTGGTATATGATAATGTTGACGATGTGGTATATGATAATGTTGTGGTATGATAATGTTGACGATGTGGTATATGATAATGTTGACGATGTGGTATATGATAATGTTGACGTTGTGGTATATGATAATGTTGTGGTATATGATAATGTTGACGATGTGGTATATGATAATGTTGACGATGTGGTATATGATAATGTTGACGTTGTGGTATATGATAATGTTGACGTTGTGGTATATGATAATGCTGACGTTGTGGTATATGATAATGTTGACGATGTGGTATATGATAATGTTGACGATGTGGTATATGATAATGTTGACGATGTGGTATATGATAATGCTGACGTTGTGGTATATGATAATGTTGACGATGTGGTATATGATAATGTTGTGGTATATGATAATGTTGACGTTGTGGTATATGATAATGTTGACGATGTGGTGTTGACGTTGTGGTATATGATAATGCTGACGTTGTGGTATATGATAATGTTGACGATGTGGTATATGATAATGTTGTGGTATATGATAATGTTGACGTTGTGGTATATGATAATGTTGACGATGTGGTATATGATAATGTTGATGTGTGGTATATGATAATGTTGACGATGTGGTATATGATAATGTTGACGTTGTGGTATATGATAATGTTGACGATGTGGTATATGATAATGTTGATGTGTGGTATATGATAATGTTGACGTTGTGGTATATGATAATGTTGATGTGTGGTATATGATAATGCTGACGTTGTGGTATATGATAATGCTGACGATGTGGTATATGATATATGATAATGTTGTTGTGGTATATGATAATGATAATGTTGACGATGTGGTATATGATAATGTTGACGTTGTGGTATATGATAATGCTGACGTTGTGGTATATGATAATGTTGACGATGTGGTATATGATAATGTTGACGATGTGGTATATGATAATGTTGACGTTGTGGTATATGATAATGTTGACGATGTGGTATATGATAATGTTGACGTTGTGGTATATGATAATGTTGACGATGTGGTATATGATAATGTTGTGGTATATGATAATGCTGACGTTGTGGTATATGATAATGTTGACGATGTGGTATATGATACTGTTGTGGTATGATATTATTTGCGTAATGGTATATTGTTGACCCGTGATATTAATACGGATGTTTGATTGGAGGCATTAAACACTGATAGTCTAATTTGTTAATTTCGGAACGATTAGCTCGCGGAAACGCTATTGTTGCCTACGGAATATGAAAATGACAGCTCTCTATGTTCCTGAAGATATTGTGACACGTCTCTCCGTAAATGTTGACCAACTATATATATATATATATATATATATATATATATATATATATATATATAGGGATCGCTGTTATAGGCACACCCCTGTCTAGCACCAAGTTTCCTGTACTTTTTAGTAGTCTGTGATCTAAACTGAATGCTTGGCGACAAGGATTATGAAACTTATCATATATAATATCCTCAAAATGTGTTAGAATGACGACATCGGAAAAAAACTATGATGCAGTTTATGTTTGTATCGCTCGGGGTATCTACTGGGAATCTCCCAAGTGTACCGTATGTCGTAATATATTGGAGCTGATATATATATTTACTATGTATGGATAAGTGAGACACACTGAAGTTTCACTCAATGGCTGAATATTTGCCATTGTCCTGAAACGCACTCTGTAGAGATGTGGACAGAAATCAGCACTATTTTCAAGGTTAAACATTCTATGATTGGCAAACTGGTATCATTTATCGCTTATTGAAATTTTGTGTGAAAAAAGTGGGAAGACAAAATATATATACAAATGTCATCAGTAACAGAATGTTTTGTGGCCGGTAATTGAATCGAAATGTTTTAATCTTGACACATCACCTTTTTTGATGTTGTTACTGTGACAAGGGTTACCTCGCTTATACTGAATTGCACTAACCAGTGGACTTAGCCGCTGTAAGTGACCACATGGCCAAGCCTCGGGAACACACACACCTGCGAATCAATTTCTCGATCAATAATACTATCTCGGTACACTCATTCACTATACCAGTGATTTCCAGTACAGTGTGATGATACTGGAACTTAAGAACATCTGTATACTGAGGTTGACTACACCTTGTTTTGTTATTGGTACACGTGACGTTATCTAATTCAAATCTATCTTATCTCTGACGAGTGCGGATCATTAGCCGTTAAACATAAAAAATCAATAAAACTAACATTTTTTCTTTAAAAATATAGACAATGTTTTATATCGAAGTATTGATCAATATTGTAATCAATTACCGATTCTTCCTAATATGATATGTACCTGTCATTGGTGCTAATGGATACTGTAACATTTTCCAGGTTACAACCAAAGATGGCCCTTGCTGATCACTGAAGTGCCAGCGCTGTGTTTACAACAGGAAATCACTAAAGACAGAGTGTGATGTGAAAGCTGCATTTTCGTTGCTTGGCAGCAATTTGCAGCTTTTCATAAGCGTACATCATTTTATCGCTACACATGCTATTGAACCAGCCTATCAGAAGGCTCGTTACAGTTGACGTCGAAAGCAATTACAACCATGCCGTTACCAAACAACACTAAGGGATCACTGTTCAGCAGGGGGAATTCTGGCAAGGCTAGTAGCCAGACCAAGCCAGGACTATCGACTTCCCCTGTAAGGGGAGTCAAGATGGGCAACGGGGCCAGTTCGGCTTCTTCAACTCAAGAAGGGGATTCACACGAACATCTAAATAACAAGAAATTAATACCAGATTTAAGGGCGGAAATCAAAATTCGTGACGCAAAAATATTGAAATATGAAACGGAACTATTGGAAAGAAAGCGGCTACTGGAGGAAAAATGTGCGGAAATTACAAAATTACGAGCTGAAGTTGACAAGTTACAATCGGTGTTACAAATTAAAGTTCACAAAGATGCTGGACATCCGGACATTTTGGCGACAATTCATGAAAATTCATCCGTGCCGGGTCAGGAAGGGCGGAGCAAGAAACAGGGTGTTTCTGCTGAGAGTCCTATGTCAAGCCAGCATGGCACGGTAGTGGAAATTAAGAGACACGAGAAGGAATTCAGGTACGTACATTTAATTACATTTTATCTCCGGTTGTCTATTTGCTGTATAAATAAATGGTAACAACTGTACAGTAGACACGGTCCTGCTGCTAATTAGAAAGTAGATAAGCACTTACTGAAAGGTAGAAAACACGGCGTATTTCATTTGTAATATACACAATGCTTACTGTTTAATATACTGTAACAGTAACTATAATTGGATCTAGTTACACGTGGTTAAACAACAGAAAGGAATATCTAAAACTAGCTGTAGTATCGGGACGTATCCATTGTATGAGGTCTTTAACAATCATCTGCGTTACTACTTAAACATTAGTAGATGAAAAATGCATATTATCACAAACTGTTAAGTAGAAATGATTGTTACGCATGCGAATGGCCCTTTAGTAGGTGTTAGATATTCATGTCGTTATACCGGGGCCTCTAAATTTGTTTGGGACATTTTCATGTTAAAATAACGTCTAAAGTATTTCGAATTAAGTTAATACATAGATAGGACATTATGTAAATATTATATCGTCCCGTCAAATGATAGTGTACATTCACTTTGTATACAAAATCAAAGGAGCAAAATACCCATGTTATACTTCATAGACGACAGTAACAAGATGTAATTATTGAACCGTAAACGTCCTTGTTAGGGAACAGTAACAACATATAATAATTGTTTTGTAAACGTTATTGATATGGGACAATAAGCTGTAATCATTGTTCTTTGAAATCTTTGTAGGGGACAGTAACAAAATGTTATTATTGAATCGTAAATGTCATTGACAGGGTAAAAAAGTTGTAATTATTGAACTGTAAACGCTATTGATAGGGGACAGTAACGTCACTGATAGGGGACAAAACAAGTTGCAATTATTGTTCTGTAAATGCCATCGGTTGGAGACAATCACAAGTTATTTTTTTCTGTAAACGTCATTGATAGGATACAGTAACACGATGTAATTATTGTACTATGAACGTCATTGACAGGGAACAATAACAAGTTGTAATTATCGAACTGTAAACGCTATTGATAGAGGACAGTAACGTCACTGATAGGGGACAATAACATGCTGTAAATATTGTTCTGTAAACGTCATTGGCAGGGGGCAGTAACAAGATGTAGTTATTGCGCTGTAAACGTCATTGTTAGGGAACAGTAACAACATATAATTATTGTTCTGTAAACGTCAGTGGTATGGAATAGTGACAAGATGTAGTTATTGTACTGTCAACATCATTGATAAAGGACAATAACTACACGTCTATATTGAACTGCATACGGCATTGGTAGGGAGGACAATAACAACATGTAGTTATTGTACTGTAACGGACAGTAATTATAACATATATATATATAACAAGCCTTTAACTTCTTATCTTACTAACTCTAAGGGTGGTCAGGACTGCATGACAAACATTCCATGAATCGGCAATCAAGGTAGACAGCAGATATTGATTCCAATCACAAACTTGATTAAACAAGGTATATCAATTATGCTAACATATCCATGATTATACCTACACAACTTTCTAAACGGTGGTCGCCTTTGACTTAGTCCATGTAGACCTACAGTGAACACCTATAATGACCAGTATGCTTTCACAATGTATATGCCATACATTATAACTTTGAATAATTATAACTATTTTAAAGTATTTTCTCTGTAAATCCGAGGAGTGTATGTATATTCTTATTCGGTTTAGCATACAATATGTCCTGTGACATCCAGAGCTTTTTGGTTTTAGTACTTCTATGAAGAGGCTTAAAATGAACGTACTCAGCAACTAGTACACCCATTTACATATTACCTTAATCAGCGTTAGTTGTAACATGTTTACTTATGTCAACATATTTTCAGACTTATGGCAGATCATCCTTATCTATGAACATTTGACATTAGTATATATCCAGTATGTTTAAATGTGATTACATTTCTAGCATCCAGATCGTGTATTTTCTGTATCTAGATCAAGACCTGGAGGGATTATTACTATCTTTTAAGATAAATCAAGTACATTTTACAAAGCCCTATGATAGGTTATTTCAAACGTTAGTGCCAAATGATATATTGTAGTCTGAATCTTTGTCTTAAAGAGCGGGTGAGTATGAGAGGTTAAGAAATCAAAGGCTATTGTTAAGACAGAATGAATCCTTAAACCTGTGGATGAAGCACCTTACCAATCATGGACTACAGATACCCATTTTTTATCCGAATGTAAATGTTATTGTATTTTTTATGTTTCAGATCAAAACAGTTAATAAAAGATGCAATTCTAGACAATGACTTTTTGAAAAACCTAGACTCAACACAGGTACGAGAGATAGTAGACACTATGTACGAGAAAGAAGTGAAACAGGGCCACTACATCATTCGGGAGGGCGAGAGTGGACAGCACTTATATGTATCAGCAGGTACAGTAATTACTGACAAAACTTTTCAAAGAAATATATATTTTTGTTGTTGTAGGGAGAGTATATCTTGTTACCAAAATACGCACTTCTTCCTGTAAATTCAGATTTATAGAATTTCTCTTTGGCTCATTCGAGCAAACTCAATTCTAGTAGACGTTTATTCCCGGAGGAACCATTGAAAAACGATTTGTTCAAGAAACTCGCTAGAACCCGAAAAAACTAATTTCACTTAAACAATATGCCCCATAAAACAATTTAACCCATCCTCTTTCTTTTTTAATAAAATAAATAAAATGATAAAATCAATCAGCAAAACAGCTGTTTGCTGCGGTTTAATTAATTATTTTGATGTTGTGCATGATTCTGAATTTGTAGTGAAAGGTGTTATTCACTATTTTGGGAAAATATAATTCTGATGCAATTTGAACGAAAAATGCAAACAAAGGAGCTATTACGACACCTGTATGAGAGATCCACATCAGAATCGAACATTCAGATTTGGTATACTGTAAAATATGTCTGGATGGCCATATCCATGTTACCTCTGAAAGTTTGTACTGTTAAATTATTGAGAGCGTTGATCAGCTGTCAGAAACATTACGCTCATAGTATTTGGAAATTGCCAAAGATGATGCTGTTGATTTTTGGCGCTTTCAGAGGGTAACGTGACTTTTATCAGTAACATCAACTCTCGAACATGTTTTCAAAATTAGGTAAATGTTTAGGTACAATAACAATCAAGTGTGGGGGACGGATGATTTGTCTTGTCTCCTTCCTTTCCATGTGGTAAAATTGACCGCGAATAGTCATAAAATGATACACATCATTATATCAATTAAAACAAAACACTTACTGCCTACTATCTACCTCCCTCTAGTTAAAACAAAAACAACTACCTACCTACTACCTACTTACATCTCTCTAGTTAAGAACAAAACACCTATCTGCCTAACTACTACCTACTTACCTCCCTCCAGTTAAAACAAAACACCTACCTACCTACTACCTATCTCCTGTTAAAAACAAAACACCTACCTACCTACTACCTCCTACTTACCTCCCTCACTCAGAAAATTAAATATAGGAACCATGACCATAAGGAAATCCATCAGTTATTGATTTGTTGCCCATACATAACATTTACAATGATTGTCATGCATAACATGGAGATTTTGATGCAGATTCATTATTTCCTTTTTGTGTATTTCCTTGTTTATTATACGTCCATTATTGGATCGAGACGATACTGAAAATACTGGTAATCGGTAATTCTCTTTGTTGAAACGTTGAAAGTCTTCTCTTGGAAATTAAACTTGTTATAAGGATTCCATAGATTAATTGCTTTTATAACTGTTGACATATTATTGACCATTTAAACCTCACTTGCCTTTGCTATGAAAATAATAACCTGATTTGTCTTATTAATTTTGTAAGGCAGTCATTCAAAACCTCTAGTTATTGGTGTTTATTTTGTTCATGGGAACATTTGAGATAAGACGATCTCATCTCGTCGTAGGAGAAGCATTTATTTTATGTCTTGAAATGCAATAAAGTATTGTATAAAAATGAAATTGGTGAAAAAAATCAAATTCTGTTGTAGCATTGTGGTCGTCCTTTATAAATCAAACAATAACCTAGCAATTTATAGTAAAGAACGTCACATGCATTTTATTCAAAAACTCCATATTATTGAGTTGTGATATGTTTCCAGTGATGGAATATGTCCTCATTATCTGCTCACTACAGCCTTGTATCTGTACAAACGAGTAATTAGTAAGGGTTATTTCAATGGAAAGCTTTGTTACACACCTTGCCGTTTATGGGTACTAAAGTAACTACACACCAGATAAATAGTTTATGATGAAATATAGATTTACTGCTCCTAATTCGTGGTTAACTTTACCTTATAATTGGTTTTCTAATATGTATGATGAAGATCGAAACAAGATGGAATGTTGAAAATGTTGCGTTTTTTGCATGTAATACGGACAATACTGAAACTCAATATAAAAGAAGTCAAATTGTGACGGAGATCGTTATAGAAGTCCCCGAACTACTGCTGCTATCGCAGAAGATAATTCTACTCAACAGCTAAGTCTGCCTGCACTAGAGCAAGCTGCCAGACCTCTGGTGGTCAATCTCTACACGACAGAAGCAGTCATGCATGACTCGGGTAAATCAGACTCAAGCAGTCGACATTGGACAGTAGATAACTGTTACACCTGTTAAGTGGTTATCAACATAGACAGAGCCTTGATATACACCATCAACAATTTGAAAGTTTCAAAGTTTAAACATTTTTGGCGGTCATGTTTGTTGTTCAATCAGACAACTGATTGCACCGTTGTGTTTCTTACATTAGACAACTCCTTTGTAATAATATTCATAAAACTAGACACATTTAAATTTTAAAGCTCATCTGGGATATTTTTTTATTTAATGCTTATTTGTTTTGTTTTTTTAATTTTATTTTAAAGAGTCTACTATTTCAAGTATGTCACAAAGGTTTGATATTTTTGTTTGTTTCACTACTGCATCAAATACTTTTTAGGGCCCCCAGTATTGGGACAGTGACATCGCATTTTAAATACAGTTAGATATAAATACTTATAATAAGGTTGCTTGTTAAATAAGGGTTCACATAATAAAAATATTTTTATGTTAATGACCGAAACAACTATACAATCTGATCTGAGAGCCTCGTGCCTTCAGTTCATGACCAAACCACTTGAGAACATTGTACAAGGTTTACTTGCCATTAGATTCTAATATACTCGGTCCATGAACATTGCGATTTTATTGAAAACACTACATCATGCACTGAAGCATATTTTCATTTGAAAGAGTCAATATTTCAAAGTTTTGAAACGACTCGGAAATTATTCAAGAAATTTATCGACTACTTTTTCTTTAAGCAGCGAGCTATTACCGGATGATTTATAGGTTAGTTGCTTATGTACTGTAGGGAAAACAGTCGATAACATTGTCTTACCGAAGCTATTATAGTTTAAAACAAATAACTCGATTATGGCTGGGGGTACGAAGCACAACCGGCATACATTTTATTTATTTTATTTCCCCAGTTTCATTTCTGTTATTAATTTTTTTTCCTGGAGTCTGATATTTTTACTATTAAGATGCAAAATCATTAAATGTTCCAAAATCGTTTCCCAGCACACAGGTTTTTGTTTGCCTCCTCACGATCGTGTGTCATCGCATCCCTTGACCAATATTATGATACTTTACAGAAAAATAATCATTCATTAGACACAGCTGCATTTTATATATATTATTATGTAAATGCTTCTTAACGGTTAACTCGTACTAATAAGAAGAAGTAGAAGAAAAAGGATAAAAGCAATAAGTCCTCTACTTTGTAGGAGGGACTTAATTTATAGAAAAAACCCTTTCCTTTTTTATTACGCCTGACTGACTATATTATCTGACGTTTAAATTACTAATTGGATCAACTCAGATCACATCAGTAACTGTAAACATCCATCATGGAAGCCGTTCTTTCGAGATCTTAGAATAAATCGAAGAGTTTTAATGATCTCGTTAGGAGAAGTATTTGGAAATTCACGCGCGACTAGAGCGCTTTCTGTCTCCTGTACAGCTATATTCATGTTTTTTAGTTAGACTGCTTCTCTTGTGAATATCCTTCCACTTTGTCACTCAGACTGCTGTCAACCTACGTAGGTCCCAAAGGAAGTTCACATCCTTTCTGATGTCTTCAGATGCATTATCACTGGAATAAATATATTGTTTGATCTACAAGGATGCAATGTAACTGGAGAAGAGAATAATTAGTATAGCATTAACCGCCTGCTATCACACGATTGTTGACATCCGTTGAAATTTGTGCCATAAGTCCCCTGTCATCTGATTTTGTAAAATAAATTAATTCTTTATTTCTCAATATCAATGATGAGCTGTAGTTAGAAATGGAATGACCAGAACTTTTGTCTACTTGAAAATGGAAGTCTCTCTATCGAACTAGAATGTAGTTAGACATACTACATGAACAGTACACATGATCAATATTGAACAAAAGACGCACATTTATATAACAGCTTTTAATACGAATTTAGAATCTATATAGCAGCGTTTAATAAGAATTAAACATTTGATGCATTAGAACCAAACAATGATTTAACTGAGCCTTACTGTTGATTAGTCCTTTTAGAACTCGTCAGCGGTATTGAAATTTAATGCTTCGATGGCACTGCGGGAAATCCAAACTGATCTAAAAAATATCAAAATCGGGATGGGAGGTGTTTAAGCACCAGTATTGAATAAATGTCTCAATAATCATATATTCGATAATTTTAGATAAATATATGTACATGTGTATATTCTGAACCTTGCCACTATTCAAATGAAATAAAACATGACATGCTGGTTACAACAAATACTATCATCATTACGATATATATTCGTTTTGTTTCCACAGATGGAGAATTGGAGGTGCTAAAGGAGTCCAAAGTGTTGGGTAAAATGAAGGCTGGTCGCGCTTTTGGGGAATTAGCCATTCTCTACAACTGCACAAGAACTGCTTCCGTCCGAGGTATGATTCAAGTGGCAAAAGGGCCTGTTGCTTTTCAATCCCTTTCATCAATAACTTGTCATGTTAACATACCTAGGTAGATGTAGTGCCGGAAATACGAATAATCCTTATTTTCCTGGTCCTCCACAATGTATCAAAATAGAGAGTGTAATCAGTCGTTTCCCTTTCTACAACACCACTCTTTATGTAATTTTATACGTCTGGAGGTATCACAAGGTAATTACGTTTTGTTTGGAAGCAAATGCGTTGGTCGAGGAGGAATCGAGGTCGAAATTGTTCTTTACAAAATATTGGAGCATATTTCAATATATGATCACTTTATTAAATGACAGAACTGTTTGTATTTTATGTGATAATTGTTTTACCCTAAACTAGAGATTATAACGAATCTTCTGATGCCGAGTCGTTTGTGGTGTGGTAGATGTTTTCTTTGATATACAAAAATGCGTATGTTCTTTTTGTAACTACGTAATACGCTGACCAAATTGCGAATATTTTTTATAACATCATGTTGACCAGTCCAGACTGGGTATCATAAATTTGTATACCGTCATGTGTTCAGGCCAGATTGAGTATCCATGTATTTGTGTATAGCGTCATGTGTCGAGGTCCTGACTGGGTATCCATAAAGTTGTATATAACGTCAGGTGTCCATTCCCGACTGGGTATCCATAAAGTCGTATATAACGTCAGGTGGCCAGTCCCGACTGGGTATCCATAAAGTTGTATATAACGTCAGGTGTCCAGTCCAGACTGGGTATCTATAATGTTGTATATAACGTCAGGTGTCCATTCCCGACTGGGTATCCATAAAATTGTATCAAGCGTCATATGTCAAGTCCCGACTCGGTATCCATAAAGATGTTTATGTTATATGTCAAGGGCATAACGGATTTGTCATGAAGTTGTATATAACGACCTGTTCGCTTGGCCATGTTCTGTATCAATGAAGTTGTATATAACGACCTGTTGCCTTAGCCAAGCTCTGTATCAATGAAGTTGTATATAACGACCTGTTGCCTTAGCCATGTTCTGTATCAATGAAGTTGTATATAACGACCTGTTGCCCTAGCCATGTTCTGTATCAATGAAGTTGTATATAACGACCTGTTGCCTTAGCCAAGCTCTGTATCAATGAAGTTGTATATAACAACCTGTTGCCTTAGCCAAGTTCTGTATCAATGAAGTTGTAAGTTGTATATAACAACCTGTTGCCTTAGCCAAGTTCTGTATCAATTAAGTTGTACTATTACAAATTGCTACCCCGGTCAGATAGTGTATCTCTGAAGTTGCATATAACGAATTGTTCCCCAAACCTTACTGGGTATCCTACATTTTTCGATGCAGCATTGTCTGATGTGAAGGTATGGGTGCTAGATCGACGTGTGTTCCAGGCCATCATGATGAAGACCGGTATACAACGACAGGAAGAGAACATCCGCTTCCTTAGAAGGTCAGATTGCCATACATTATATATAAATATGTACCCGACGGGTGTATTAATCACTGATACATGTATCACATAGGGTTGTTTTATTATTAGACATATCCCAATGTCTACAAGAGTGCAGTCAGGCCCATTCAGGCCCCGTCAAGTCTCTAAACGGTTAATAGACAATAACGTTTACCATCAATGTCATTCGCACTTTCCAACTTTTAACATAACCTTAACTAATTATTTTATAATTTTGTCTCAAAACGTTAGAGAATATCTTAATTTCAAACAGTTGGTATAAAAGGGTTCGTGATGTAAGTGTTACTACAGATTTTGTTATACTGTGTGGCCCTTGGATGTTGGCTGATGCAGGATACCGCAATGCATTCTGGGAGAGACGGGGACCTGATGTCTTCAAATGTTTACATGAACCTTTTTTCTTGATTGTTTGATTTCAGTTTCAACTGTACACCTAGGTATTCTTTATATTTGGATAAAAGAGTCAACTTATTGATAATTAAAAACACAAGTAATGTAATCGAAAAGCCTTGTTTCTATATTTAGTAGTCGTCAATCAGGTTTTGCTGTTGTTTCGTACATAGTAATTCTAAACGTGTCTTAATATGACAGAAGGAAATGTGACATCTTTGCGTGATTAAGTTTAGGCAGGGTTTTGGAATGAATAGATGCTGGAATGTAGGCTAGTGTGTGTCTTGTTAATTGACAAAAGTAAATGTACATGTTCACATTAATGTCTTGCTCAGGTTCGGAATATGCACGTAGCAATAAATAACTATCCTAGTCGACAAAATATACTGACGGGTTCAAATTATAATTCGTTTTTACATGAATGTAAAGATTTGCTGATATATTGATACTCTCCTTTAGATACACAAGAGGGTATTACACAGTTTATGGAGTTTATACCGTATAAGTAATAAAGGTAAACAGTTTATGTTGTGTTGGCACTCTACTTAAAGTTAACTTGATTGTAGAGAGTTTTACGTCATGTTGACACTATGTTTTATGATAACATGACTGTAGAGAGTTTTACGTCATGTTGACACTATGTTTTATGATAACATGACTGTAGAGAGTTTTACGTCATGTTGACACTATGTTTTATGATAACATGACTGTAGAGAGTTTTACGTCATGTTGACACTATGTTTTATGATAACATGACTGTAGAGAGTTTTACGTCATGTTATTTATGTGACTGTAGAGAGTTTTACGTCATGTTGACACTATGTTTTATGTTGAGAGTTTTACGTCATGTACTATGTTTTATGATAACATGACTGTAGAGAGTAATGTTGACACTATGTTTTATGATGTAGAGAGTTTTACGTCATGTTGACACTATGTTTTATGATAACATGACTGTAGAGAGTTTTACGTTGTTGACACTATGTTTTATGATATGATAACTTGACTGTAGAGAGTTTTACGTCATGTTGACACTATGTTTTATGATAACATGACTGTAGAGAGTTTAACGTCATGTTGACACTATGTTTTATGATAACATGACTGTGTAGAGAGTTTTACGTCATGTTGACACTATGTTTTATGATAACATGACTGTGACTGTAGAGAGTTTTACGTCATGTTGACACTATGTTTTATGATAACATGACTGTAGAGAGTTTTACGTCATGTTGACACTATGTTTTATGATAACATGACTGTAGAGAGTTTTACGTCATGTTGACACTATATTTATGATAACATGACTGTAGAGAGTTTTACGTCATGTTGACACTATGTTTTATGATAACATGACTGTAGAGAGTTTTACGTCATGTTGACACTATGTTTTATGATAACATGACTGTAGAGAGTTTTACGTCATGTTGACACTATGTTTTATGATAACATGACTGTAGAGAGTTTTACGTCATGTTGACACTATGTTTTATGATAACATGACTGTAGAGAGTTTTACGTCATGTTGACACTATGTTTTATGATAACATGACTGTAGAGAGTTTTACGTCATGTTGACACTTTGTTTTATGATAACTTGATTGTAGAGAGTTTTACGTCATGTTGACACTATGTTTTATGATAACATGACTGTAGAGAGTTTTACGTCATGTTGACACTATGTTTTATGATAACATGACTGTAGAGAGTTTCACGTCATGTTGACACTATGTTTTATGATAACATGATTGTAGAGAGTTTTACGTCATGTTGACACTATGTTTTATGATAACATGACTGTAGAGAGTTTTACGTCATGTTGACACTATGTTTTATGATAACATGACTGTAGAGAGTTTTACGTCATGTTGACACTTTGTTTTATGATAACTTGATTGTAGAGAGTTTTACGTCATGTTGACACTATGTTTTATGATAACATGACTGTTGAGAGTTTTACGTCATGTTGACACTATGTTTTATGATAACATGACTGTAGAGAGTTCTATGGCATGTTGACAACGTATTTCGTGTTGACACGAATGTAGAGATTATGGAGAATTGTCTGATGTGTTGACAATACACTTTGTGTTAACATGATCATAGAGAGTCTTTTGTCGTGTTGACATTCTACAACGCTAACTGGATTGTAAACAGTTTATGTGTATATGACAGCACATATCCTAGTGTCAGTAGTCTCGTCAGTGTCTTCCTTAATTACCGACAAAATAACGTCCACCACAAAGCCAGTTATAGTCTTGTCCACCTTGCGCTTGAACAACAAGTGAGGAGGTCATACTGGTGTTTGCTGGTAAACGGTGGACATCTGCTCTAACACAGAAAACATACATGGGAGACTGCTATGAATACAGCTTCTTTGTTATCTGCTTCAATCATGGGTAGTAATATCGTATACACTCCGAGCTAATCGATAAAGAATCAGTGTAGTACCGGATGATATATATATATATAGTCCTATAATCTCTGTGGTGACGTAGTCTGTTTCTGGACGTGTAAAGACACGTAAAAGTACTGTTGTCCGTACTGATAGGGAATGACCTGTCTCTAGGTCCCTCAAAATATATCATATGATATATCTGTCTTAAAGCTATCGTAATTAGATATTACTTAATCGAATTGTGTTAAATATCATTACATGTCCCTTAGTAGATATTAAGCTATACATCATAAGATTATTATATCTAATTATATCTGTGGTTTAATATATTAAGATTTCGGAAACCATATCGATCAGCTGCAAATCTGATGCAGTGTATTCTGTAAAAAAAACTATCTCGCTGCAAGTTTGGTCAACTCGACGACCGTGTATATAGTATTGTCAGTTTGTTTAACACTTCCAAAACAACGTTGGATCTCAATAATTTTAGTATATAAGATACTACTTTCAGCAGCAGCACTTTGTGAGTATGTAATTATGTAAGCTTAGTGTTAACCCAGTACAAAACTTAAAGAGGTATAGATATGAAATTTATCACACTATACACGTGTATTTAAATCATTGCTACAAAGCCCTGGTTTCACGAACGTTCCTTAGCGTTAAATATCTCATTAAGGATTTATGTTAATGTTCGTAAAGTCGATAATGGCACTTTCAATCATTAATGTGTTTACTTTGCTGGAATAAATGAACACTGAAACAATAAAGCATTAATCCTGATGTAATTCACTGGGTAATAAATAAATCAATCAATTCTATGTAAAACAAAGAGTTATAATGTTATATTCAAGTTGGGGGTTGATGGAAACAAACTAGCTGACTAGTATCAGCTTTACTTTATCTGATATCAGCAGACAAGCTGGTTCCAAGTCTCAACTAATTGCCGCCAAATTTAACCTTTACAAACGTTTACAGTTTGAATAATTCAATAACTTTGCTGGTAGTTTTTAATAAAGACTATTTGGAGGATGTTATGATATGCTTTAATGATATGGTTCGAGCGACGTAATCTTGTATCTCTGTACTCAGTATTAGACTCCATAAGGACTGCCTATGAATATTGTGTTTTCATCAAGAACCATGTTCACTCTTTTGATTACTGTTCTTAGCTCTATAAGTTATGATATTATTTGTTTTACTTTTAGCGTTCCACTTTTGAAAAAACTGCCGACAGAAAAATTAGCGAAAATAGCGGATGTTTTAGAAGTGGTAAGTGCTTTGTTTTACATACACTTAATCTACTGTAATTTATTTTACGTTCTATATATACTTCAGCATGCCATGCCAGTGAACCCATAAACGTAGCAGCGTTACAGTACAATAGCTTAGCATACACATACGAATACAGTCAAATAAAGCAAATCTTTAATAGCAAACGGTTTATAAATTTAACATTTCCTTAGATGCTATATAGTATATAATAAAATTATTATATAACAGTTAGCAGAATATTAAAACAATTCCTTAGCAGTTAGCAGTATGAAAATGAAGAAATTTCGCATCAGCTAGCAGTATAAAAATGAAGTAATGTCTTTACAGTTAGCAGTATAAAAATGAAGTAATGTCTTTACAGTTAGCAGTATAAAAATGAAGTAATGTCTTTACAGTTAGCAGTATACACATGAAGCAATACCTTTACTGTTAGCAGTATACACATGTAGCAATGTCATTGCAGTTAACAGTATATAAATGAAGCAATGTCGTTGTAGTTAACAGGATGTAAATGAAGAAATGTCGTTGCAGTTAACAGTATATAAATGAAGCAATGTCGTTGCAGTTAACAGTATATGAATGAAGCAATGTCGTTGCAGTTAACAGTATATATATGAAGCAATGTCGTTGTAGTTAACAGTATATGAATGAAGCAATGTCGTTGTAGTTAACAGTATATGAATGAAGCAATGTCGTTGCAGTTAACAGTATATATATGAAGCAATGTCGTTGTAGTTAACAGTATATGAATGAAGCAATGTCGTTGCAGTTAACAGTATATGAATGAAGCAATGTCGTTGCAGTTAACAGTATATATATGAAGCAATGTCGTTGTAGTTAACAGTATATGAATGAAGCAATGTCGTTGCAGTTAACAGTATATATATGAAGCAATGTCGTTGTAGTTAACAGTATATGAATGAAGCAATGTCGTTGTAGTTAACAGTATATGAATGAAGCAATGTCGTTGCAGTTAACAGTATATATATGAAGCAATGTCGTTGTAGTTAACAGTATATGAATGAAGCAATGTCGTTGCAGTTAACAGTATATATATGAAGCAATGTCGTTGTAGTTAACAGTATATGAATGAAGCAATGTCGTTGTAGTTAACAGTATATGAATGAAGCAATGTCGTTGCAGTTAACAGTATATATATGAAGCAATGTCGTTGCAGTTAACAGTATATGAATGAAGCAATGTCGTTGTAGTTAACAGTATATAAATGAAGCAATGTCGTTGTAGTTAACAGTATATAAATGAAGCAATGTCGTTGCAGTTAACAGTATATGAATGAAGCAATGTCGTTGCAGTTAACAGTATATATATGAAGCAATGTCGTTGTAGTTAACAGTATATAAATGAAGCAATGTCGTTGTAGTTAACAGTATATGAATGAAGCAATGTCGTTGTAGTTAACAGTATATGAATGAAGCAATGTCGTTGTAGTTAACAGTATATAAATGAAGCAATGTCGTTGTAGTTAACAGTATATAAATGAAGCAATGTCGTTGTAGTTAACAGTATATAAATGAAGCAATGTCGTTGTAGTTAACAGTATATAAATGAAGCAATGTCGTTGCAGTTAACAGTATATGAATGAAGCAATGTCGTTGCAGTTAACAGTATATATATGAAGCAATGTCGTTGTAGTTAACAGTATATAAATGAAGCAATGTCGTTGCAGTTAACAGTATATGAATGAAGCAATGTCGTTGCAGTTAACAGTATATAAATGAAGCAATGTCGTTGTAGTTAACAGTATATTAATGAAGCAATGTCGTTGTAGTTAACAGTATATGAATGAAGCAATGTCGTTGCAGGTAACAGTATATGAATGAAGCAATGTCGTTGTAGTTAACAGTATATAAATGAAGCAATGTCGTTGTAGTTAACAGTATATAAATGAAGCAATGTCGTTGTAGTTAACAGTATATAAATGAAGCAATGTCGTTGCAGTTAGCAGTGTGTAAATGAAATAATTCTTTTGCAGTTAACAGTTTATAAATGTGGCAATGTCTTAGCAGTTAGCATTACATACATGAAGCAATGCCTTTGCAGTTAGCAATATATATATAAAACAATTACTCTGCAACTTACAGTTTATAAATAGAATAGTTAATACAAGTGCATTGCTTTACTAGCTGTTGCCTAAATAAAATGCAATTTCTTTTAGCGAATATCATTTATTAAGGTATTTGCTTAATGTTTATTGATGTCCTTTGTGAAAGTGATCTTTTGTTTTGGTAGCCTCATAAACTGGTTCTTCCCGTCTTTGGTACACTTCCACAAGACGACCCCAGAAGTGTAAAGTCGCGTTGACATGTTATATATATATATTATATGGATGCTCTAAATATGGCATTCATGCAGAATTGTTTTTACCCCGAAAAATCGATTTGTCTACACATAAAAATATTTATGATAGTTCCCTATAATTACGTAATCATATCTTTTGTTCCAATTTTCTGAATCCCCACGCGTGGTGTGTGTTCTGTTCATGGACGTATAATAGAAGTTATCACTGCAAAACGCAACAAATGTCTCATTTGATCAGTCAGTCGTTACTATATAAGACTATACTGCCACTTGCCAGTGACACGCTATACATACATATTTTAGGTTGAGAACATTGGTGATTCGGTATATCAGAAAAGTGCAGAAAAAAATAAACTATATATATGTATAGTGATATTGATCAATTTTGTATCGAGGAATGTTTGAATGTCTTCAGTCATGGAAATATTTGTCTCGCACATTGCTATAACAAAGAGAACATGCTTCTAGATAAATGTTTAGTTTAAGACAGCTTTATACAAAACTTTTCTAGTGTTCATACTGATACAGACTTTTCCATGATAGATACTTCGTGATATATTGAGGATGAAACCTGGATATTTATTGAAACTTCTAGGGGCTTGCGTTAATGTAAAGCCTCCTTCCAAACGGAAAATCCGAGTAAGTGATTCACTCCTGTATGTACTATGTTAGAGTAGGAGTTTGTGATGTTCACTACCATAATTATAGTAAAATGCATCATTTATATTTCAGGACTTTTTCCATGAACACGAATACATCATTAGAGAAGGCGGAACAGGTGACACATTCTTTATCATCAATAAGGGAGAGGTAAGTTTATAATACCGGGTAGAACTGGGGAGGTATCACGACACTTCAGTAACATTATAACGTCAGAACTGTCCTGCCTTATTTCACAAGGCAGCTGATAAATAGACACGATTATTAAGTTTTTCTTTATATGTCAGACGTTAAATACATCAGATATTTTAGCAAAGTAAGACGGTTGATACCTGGTGTAAATGTCAGCTAGGAAAGATAGTCAATATGTGAACTAAAGTAAGAAAGGAGGGAGGATTAGGAAGTTAGTATCGGGTATAAAAGTGACACGGTAAATACCAGATGTGAATGTGAGACAGTGAATACCGGGTGTAAAAGTGACGCAGTCAATATAGGGTGTAAAAGTGACACAGTGAATACCAGATGTAAATGTGAGGCAGTGAATACATGGTATAAATTTGATACAGTCAATATAGGGTGTAAAACTGACAGAGTGGATACCAGATGTAAATGTGAGGCAGTGAATACATGGTGTAAAACTGATACAGTCAATACCGGGGGTAAACGTGAAACAGTCAGTACAAGGTGTAAAAGTGACACTATAAATACCGGGGGTAAACGTGAAACAGAGAATACAAGGTGTAAAAGTGACACAGTCAATACCGAGTGTAAATGAGAGACAGTGAATACCAGGTGTAAACATGAGACAGTCATTACCAGGTAAAAACGTGAGACAGTCAATACCAGGTGTAAAAGTGACACAGTCAATACCAGGTGTAAAAGTGACACAGTCAATACCAGGTTTAAACATAAGACAGTCATTACCAGGTAAAAACAAGGACCCGCCAATACCATGTGTAAACGTGAGACAGTGAATACCGGGTGTAAACGTGAGACAGCCAATACCATGTGTAAACGTGAGACAGTGAATACCGGGTATAAACGTGAGACAGCCAATACCGGTTGTTAAGGTGAGACAGTCAATACCGGGTATAAACATGAGACAGTTAATATCGGGTTTTAATGTGAGACAGTCAATACCGGGAGTAAACGTGAGACATTCAATACCGGATGTTAAATAAGCAAAACTATGTTAAGAATAAGCACACTAACATGTTTACAAACCATTATTGGTTATCGGTCAAATATAACTCAATACCGACTGTATACCCTTGTGATATGCCACCCATTACCAACTGTATACCCCTGTGATATGTCACCCAATACCGACTGTATACCCCTGTGATATGTCACCCAATACCGACTGTATACCCCTGTGATATGCCACCCAATACCGACTGTATACCCCTGTGAAATGCCACCCAATACCGACTGTATACCCCCATGAAATGCCACCCAATACCGACTGTATACCCCTGTGAAATGCCACCCAATACCGACTGTATACCCCTGTGAAATGTCACCCAATACCGACTGTATACCCCTGTGATATGACACCCAATACCGACTGTATACCCCTGTGAAATGCCACCCAATACCGACTGTATACCCCTGTGATATGCCACCCAATACCGACTGTATACCCCTGTGAAATGTCACCCAATACCGACTGAAAATCTCTGTCAGATATCACTCGATACCGGCTGAAAATCACTTACTTTGCCTATTCCGATATTCTTAACTATCGGCTGTAAATTTCGGTTAGATATCCCTAACCATCGGCTATAAATTTCGGTTAGATATCCCTAACTCTCGGCTGTAAATTTCGGTTAGATATCACTAACTATCGGCTGTAAATTTCTGTCGCATATTGTTATATTGCCTAAAGATCTTGGTAAGAGATCACCTACCTGTGTCTGTATACCACTCAATATCTGATATTGAAAACCATTCTATTTGATGCCACATGTTTTAGTTATATACGTTACTGATATAACAATAAGATATAAGATATTGACATAATTGTTAAACGAATTCTTTAAAGGTCGAAGTGACACAAAAGATAGCCGGATTCGACGACCCTCAACTCATCAGATCTCTTAAACGTGGTGATTACTTCGGCGAGAAGGCGTTACTCAGGTGAGCATTCATCTCATTTTACTATGATATAACTAACGTCATAAAAAACGGCAAAGAAAATACCGACATTGCAACAGAATCATAATCCAAACTCCAGATGTAAAACTATGGGAAAATATGAACACTTGAAAAAGTGGGGAAGAAAACCAGATGTTCCGGAAGGATACGTATCTTCTGGACACCTGCTATGTAAACCTTAGCCAAGTAGTGGCACGTTTCAGAACGAGAGCAAGGTTAACTACAAAGGAACCAACAGGCATACAAAGAATGTCAAACACGTCCACATACATATTCAAACTTTGTCTTATGTATTATGTACTCTTGAAAATTAGATTGAAACAAATTAAACTGGATATCGCTAGCTTTAATTGATTATCGTATTTCTTATTCAATAGAAATAGCGTTAAGCATAAAACTTGTCATTGGATGACAAATCAAACAACATAAATTCACTCTATAATGATAAGATCACAATCAATCTTAATTTGCAGCGAAGACCGCCGAACAGCCAACGTGATAGCTCAGGCACCTGGGGTGGAATGTCTAACGGTGGACAGAGAGTGAGTATTAGCGCTGTTTTTAATACAAACGGAAATGATTCTGATACATTGAATCACCTGCTACAACACTACATACCAGTATATCATTGATCTCCAATATGTCAGGAAATGTCATATGCTAAATTGTTCTATATTGATTTCCTTAAAATCAAGGAACGTCGTATATTAACACTATAACGCCACTACAATATTGATCTGCAATAAGTTCCAAGATGTCATATGTTAACACAGTACACCTGTTCCACATTGATCTGCATAAGTTACGAGATGTCATATGTTAACACAGTACACCAGTTTCACATTGATCTGCAACGAGATAGGAGAAATTATGTTAACACTATACGCAAGTACAAAATTGATTTGTACATCAGGAGATGTCATGTATTTACAGTTAAACGGCAGAAATATATGTTGACCTCCGATAGGTCTCATACTGTCGTGTGTAATTTGTTTAATGGCAGTGTTATATAGGTCATGCAATATACATGTACAGTATATTTACAGATACAGCTGTAACTGACCTGAAATAACCTTTGAAATGCCCATTACCATCACGTCGGTAATGCTATTCCCTCTCTTGCGCATAGGGATACGCTTCTAAATTTCAACGAAGTGAGAATTGCCTTCTCGTTTTTTTGTTTTTGTTTTTTTTATAGCAAAATTATCGCAGATATGACTATGAAATAAACAAAATTCATATACCAAAATAAAAACAATCTGAGAAATATATCTGTGAGACTGTTCCGTGACACGAAAACTCTCATTAGTTCAAGGCTTTCCTTCTTGGCGATTGCAACGGCACGTCAGACGGGAACATTTCGGATGTATATTGTGTTGCAGTAACTGACACATTCTCCATTTCGGTTTCCACGTAAACTTTGAATGATATCATCCGACAAAGCAATATGTAAACACAATTATTTCGTTCAAACTCATCATATGCTGCTTGACACCTGTAATTGAAACCAATACTTATTCATCATCAATATGTGATAATTTAAAAAATAAGTGAGTGCCAGTACTAACTATTTACACACACAATGGTAATTATTCTGTATGTATAGGAGGGCCCTATGAAACAAATAGAATTAAAGTGTGTATTTTTAAGAAAGTGTTTAATGGAACAACGAAAATTCCATTATTTTCAGTGTGTTTAAACACCTATTACATCTTGATTGATGACAAAATATTTTGCAACAATGATAAATGTTTTTGCCTGTGTTTCTAGTTCATTCAATAAGCTCATCGGGGACTTGAAAGAACTCCAAGAAAAAGATTATGGTGATGAAGCAAGAGGTGCACAAAGGTAAGAAAAATGACTTTGTCAACATCTTTACAGAAAGACTTTTCTTGTTAACTCCGTAACTTTATGTAATGTCTGTTGTCTGTGATATATAGTCTGGTACCAATCCATATCTTAAAGTGTCAATTAGTAATGTAAACAAATTCTAAAGAGCGTACTAAAGAAAAAAAGAATATGTTTACACTGCTTGTAGAAGTTAGGTAGTATGTAACTCCATTACATCAATATACTAGTACATTTTCGTCCTTTAACTGTTCATAAATATTAGTATCATATCCATTCTGTCTACCCTGTGTTTGCCAGGCTTTCAGAACATAAGAATGACTCCCAAGAACAGAGGTGTGTGGTTTTGTCTTTTTGTCTTGGAATGCGTTTGCGAAAATGAATCTGAAAATAGATTTGTATTTATATATGTACTAACGATACCGAGTTCTGGTCTGGACCCCACATGTGTACTAAGGATTGTTCTGTTGTGTGACACCTGTTTCCTCTACACTGTATCCCAGAGGCGTGCTGGCTATGACAGGAGGAATGCGATACCAACGTGCATGGGTGCTTGATCTCTGTATTACTGTAGTGGCACATTATTGAAATTGAAACCTTTAAACTAGCTGAAACTTTTTTCGTGATCGATTTTGTAAAATCACTTTATTCTAGAATGATGTAGACGATCTAAAAACTTATTACATATTTTAATGACATCGAAAGGTAATTCACATATTTTGTTATTTTCAGTATTTTAAACATACATTTTTGTTTATGATCATTTATTTCAAGAATATATCTGCAATCCCAGTAAGTGCTTTTGTTATGCCCTATGGTAAACATGCGGTCTTCTCGTAAAATTACAGGTTTAGGGAGAAGATTGAATATCCTGTTCTTTCTCGGTTGCTTCACACTTCGTTCAAAGCATGTATTTATAGATAAATCCACTTCCTTATTTTCTGGAATACTTTTATTCTTGGTTGTTCCATTAAACTTAACAGATTTGGTCTGGGCATGGTTTCTCTGATACCTTTCTGCATGACATTCACTTACGGAAATACCGACTATCTCTTCAATACTCACGTATACTTCATCTTTATCATTAACATCAAGTATAAATATGGCATGTGATAAAAATATTTTTTTAACGTAATAAACATATAAATCCATAAATATAACTTGTATGATCGGAAAGAATATTATCAACTATATTTTCTATTTTGGTTACGGAACGAGTTGTTGGTTTATTATAAAACGTTTTTAAATAACGTTATTAAGTAAATATTGATAAAGATCTATTGCGTGAAGTAAACAAATGTGACAGCTCTATATGTAAAACTGAATCTAAACCATCAAGAAGCCTTGTCCAATTAGCATATTAGTATTTTTGTTTCTGCATGCATGGCTATGGAAAAATGCCATTTTTTGTTAACATTACCATGGAAACCGTTAGTTTTGAAACTTAAATTATGAAATAAGAACAGAATAACGTAATTTGAATTTGAAAGAAAAGTTTTCATCAATATAAATATATCATGCCACCTCCCCCTTAAGAACACAAAATCAAAACATATTGCTAGGGCTCGACTACACCAAGACTGCATTGATGTATTTTGAGTAAAAGAAAATATAATGGCTAAATGATGAACTGGTTTCTATGTTAATAATGTTACGTGCTATTTCGTAATGTAACCTGAACTGCAAACAAATTATTTGACAAAATGCCAATGTGATATAACACCAAATCAATGAATTACATTGTAGTGTAATGGACCATTCTATAGGAGATATATATTGTCCTATAATGTTAATATCGCAGATTAAACATGACTAGAACTATATATCTGATCAATGTAATAGTATTAGCCGGAAATATTTAGGAAGTGTAAGGGTGCTATTTTTCATTGAGTGAGGCACATCACTAAATGGTTTAAATCAGAGACTATAATCAAACACATCCATACAAATGTTCAATTTATACTCCATCACCAGGTTTTAGCCCACCAACATTCAAATTAACCTACGTCCGTTCATACACAATTCTTGTTATCGCTATATCTTGGGAAGTACGACATGGATTGTTCTGAAATTTCATGTGCAGGTGCCCCATATCATAACGTTGTGTCCGTTTAATTTTGTTGTGGTTAGAAAATAAAATGACCGACAGGCGGCCATCTTTATTTTGGTAGTTTAAGATTAATATTGCTATTGCTTAAGAGTAAGTAATGTTCAAATGTCATATAATTGTGAGGAAAAAAAAGGAAAAAAGAGAAAAGAAGGCAGAAGCTTCAACTGCGTAAGAACTAATCAAGACCAAGCGATGGTTGGCGCCTGTAAACCTTTGGGATCACATGTAAAAATGAACAATTAGATAGCTGTGATTGTTTTCGAAAATAAAAACTTGCTCCGATATCATATCGATAATGTGTTAGATTCTTCTTTGAGAAAATACACATTAAACATTATGATTTTATTTGTTCAACTGACTAATGCTTTTGATTCGTTACATACAAAATTACAAACATAAGTTTAAATGGTATTGAAGAAATCTATTATTCCGAATCAGAGGTGTAGTCACCGTAATTTTCAGATTATTATGTTTGTGTCCGTAACTGTTTATTTAGAAAAGGTTTAATTTGATGTGTCGCTATGGCAGGTCTAGCGGCGGGAATGGTTCCGAGATGCCACTCTCTCCTATGCGAGAGAAGGTGGAACAGGAATACCGGGACATACAGCTGGACCAACTTGAGTTGGTTGCCACTCTGGGAATGGGAGGCTTCGGGCGTGTAGAACTGGTAAGTATTAGCAGGACCGGTGTTGTCTTTGACGTGTTTGTTACCGTTTATTATTATCGTATTGTCCTAGTAATAATATTAATTTGGTTTATATTTAACATGACCAGTATTACAATAAGTAGATTGGATTTGAAATTCAACATTCTTAATAAAGTCAGAAGCAACAACATTGACTGTGTATTTCGATAATAACTTCAAAATGCCTGAATGTGTTCGAATGAACCTTTACACACCAAACAGATAAAGCCATTGTTAATTTATTTGCTTACTTCTTTATGTTTTATTACCCATGGTGCTTCTTCAAATTCGTTTTGATATCATGATGCAACAGCAAAAAGATGAGTTTTGGAGCAAAGTTGGTTTTCTCTTCGGTGAACTAGGTCGAGAGAAAGCCATGTACACCATGTTTTTTCTAATAACTTTTAAAATATCCATCCCTGATTTCTTTGCGATGTTTCGTCTTCAATTTCTTCGCCTTAATTGTAACAACAGGTGCAACTTACGACCGACAGAAGCAGGACGTTTGCTCTTAAGTGCCTTAAGAAAAAACATATAGTGGACACTAGACAACAGGAACATATCTATTCGGAAAAGAAAATTATGATGGAGTCGAACTGTGCGTTCATCGCCAGGTCAGTTGACTGATTATAATACATTGCATGTTCAGTCTCAATAAATGTACCTTGATGTTGTTTGTCTGAAAACCGGTCCTAGGCCAGCTACTGAGACAAGACCCCGGAGAGAAACACTGAATTAATATCTTCCGTTTTCGAATTTTTTTGTTTAATGCCCTTACATTGAGAAACCGATGATAATGATAGATTGCTAGATGTAAATAACTGCTAGTTGAGGTTAAATCCTGAAGATGTGCCGTGACATATACCCGTATAAACGGTTTCAAATAAATCATGCAATATCCATAAACCAGCCGTACAGATTTTAGCATCGAGTCCACTTTTAGCGTTACTCAATTTTGACCCTTAGCATCACCGAAGGACGGAATAGATTAAGGATTGCGTTTTATCCATCAATCAGTATCTGCTGTTACTCATTATTTATCCATTTTGACAGTGGTATAGAGTAATTGTATAAAGTATCCTATAGATAAATAGATTAAGAACCAATAAAAACACTTGTCGTAAATGCTTTAAATGAATGTGACAATACATCATCTTTCCCCCTCACTATTTGATATTGTGGTGGTTGGAGTCAATAAATGCTCAAATGCAGAGTTTAATCACGGCCCAACTTGGACTAGTATATGTCCTTTATTTTTGGTTGTCCTTTTAATGCATGCTGTATTTTTGTCGGTAATGTAAGTAATTTGTTTAAGTCATTGTCTGTCGTCATAAGTTTTACAACATATATTGTTTTTTTTCCTGTTTTACGTTTAAATGTAGTGTTATGATATCTTGTGTTTTCATGAAACACTACAAATCAATTTTAAAACGTTTACATACACGACCTACCAAATATTTTTAAGACAATCCACAAAAACTAGGAGGTCACAAGTTTAGTAGGTTATCTTTTTCAGATTATTAACTGGTTTTGTCAGAATCTTCTCATGGTCTGCAAGAATCATTGAGTGATGTTAAAAATTATCCTTTCTTTGTAAATAAGGAAAACATGAAACAATTTTGCAGAAATATATACAAGATTTGAAAATTACTTTTTTGACAAAATGCAAGGTAAAACAAATACTTATTACGTAACTCATTTTTAGCATACTACTGGCAAAACTAAGATTAGATTAAACAAACATAACTTGGAGATTAAATTCAGTGGTACGGACTACAGCTTCCGTTCTAGTAAATATTGTAATACTTTGGAAGATTTTATCTTTCAATGTAAGATAAATACTTAGGGTCGCTTGCCTAGTTAAAATCAATATAACAGTAGCTGTGACTATCTAATAACTCTCTAATATCTGCAGGACATGGGCCTAAACGTTAACTTAGGTGAGGAAGACAGACTTTCGCAATTCACAGTGTATAACATATAATATTTGTTGAAATTTTATGTATATATTGAAACATGTTCTATGTTTGTGATCGATCCTGTCATATGGTTGAAACAATAAAATAAAGTTTATTTATTTATTAATCAAACAGATAGAAACATATATCTATTCCACTTAATCTTTGTATCATCCTTGTTGTAGGCAGATTTGTATTTTGTTTTATTGAATCACTAGATTGATGTCCTCGTACGGGAAAATATCCCATAGAGGATGTTAAACCTTGTTTTCCAAACATTACATTTTGCAGAAGGTTTGAAGCAGTGTTTGGCATTTTTTTATTTGAATCTGTATCGAATTTAACTTTTATAAGGCGTAATATTTGTTGGTATGGTTACATTAACCACATGTAACATATATTCTATGCTAGTGCATAGTTGAAAGAATCTGTGCATCTTTCATGTTGTAAGGGTTGGGATAGAGTTGGTTAATACATCTAGTAAAATTTGGTTTCTTTTATAAGATGTTATGCTTGTATAAGTTTTGATCATTTGTCTTTCTTAAAGACTTCTTCGTGTTACAACTGTATATTTTGCTGTGTTGACGGTGTATCTATCGTTATATAACATTTATCTACCGTTGTTTGCTGTGATATACTTGGTAGTGGCAATGACACAAGTGTATTCATTCTTTATCATGATGGTTTTAATGTATGATAGTTGTTGTTGTTTTTGCTGCTATTGCTGTTGTTGTTTTTGATGTTGTTTGTTTTTCATATGCAATATATTCACTGATTGCCAAGTAATAGTTCGTCACGTCTTTTTCTATCTCCGAGGCGAAATACGTCCAGTATCTGAAGAGAAGGAGATATTTATATATCTACGTATAATTATCACCAGGCTATACAGCATCTGCAGTGTAAACACAATAGATCCACCAGCAGCCTTAATCTGCTTAACAAGGCTTATAGTTCTGCATTGTTACTACTCGCTCACCAAAGGCTCACGTGTAACACTAGAGATAATGAAGCATAAACAACACGTGATTAGAATAAAAATGTCCAATCCAAAGCATTGGAATTTATTAAAATGAATTATACGTGAGATGCTTAAATGTTGAATTGTTGTTCTGTGACCTGATGTGAACTTTTCACCGCTAATACTTCAATCAATATACACTGAGGAAGTGTGTTATAGTATCTTTGATGTCTTACATGTATATGGTAAACTTCACGATATTAAGGCCATATGTACACCTACTCACTTGAATATTTATATAATATGAATTTAATAAACCGAGGTTATTTTGTTAGAGTGTGCTGAGCTACAATGTCACAAAACGTCTCATTATTTCTCTTTTTGATGAAACTACACATATATATTTCAAAATGAGGATAAATGGATCATTGTGATGTCATAATAACATCTAAATATTATCAATTATACAATACTACTACCTACCTACCTACCTACCTACCTAATACCTGTATATAAAGGTCAATATCAATACCCTGCTTACGTGCAAATACCACTTACCTGACGATCAGTTATCACGTCTTTTGTAAAACCGGTATTACCCAATTACATTAGCAGTAAACGCATGTAGTAATTTTCATTAGATAGTCTTAATTGTTTTTACGACATTTGATAAAGATTTTATATTCACAAGCATAACTTAAATTTCAATCCTACATTCAGTATGTTTTTTATTGTTTTTACTTTTTTTCTGATTTTGCTTCACGAAATTGTAAAAAAAAATATGTCCCTTTTTAGAAATGATTACCTGCAACTCGTCTTTTGTTTTCTTTTAATGTTATTGTTTGTGTTTACAGAATGTATAAAACGTTTAAAGACAAGAAGTATGTGTATATGCTGATGGAGGCCTGTCTAGGAGGAGAGCTATGGACCATACTACGTGACAGGTATAGTTCCGCATTGGGAACCAATCCATACAACAAACTGATATTTGTAATTAGATACAGCATACGCGCACGTGCATCCGTAGAAAGTATACACAGGGTTAATTTGTTTAAATGATTACTGTGACTGAAATAGCTCCGGATTATACATCTGTTGCTTCTGAAAGGCAGAACTACATACTTGTCTGTATAATTGGACTGTTAATATTTTGTATGATATATATATATTCATGTACATTCATAATTTGTAAAGAACGTTTGAATATATAACTAATGATAGTTCATGTGATACAGCTTGAAGATAATGCTATAAGATTCCAACACTTAAAGATAAGTGAAGCTGAAATATATTTAGTTAGATAACTGTACTGGTGCTCTGATTTTAGTACCATTTGAATAAGTGAAATCAGATAAAGAAAAACTCAAACATCTTGATTGAACTGGACTGCAATTAGTGTATATTCTTACCATCATCTGGAGTGATATGTCTTGTTGTATATTGATTACTCTATCTGTAATTGCTTTCACACAGACAAAATAGAGAATCAAACACGGCGTTCATTGGCAGTGTTTCAGATGATGCAGCCAGAGACTGAAGTGAACCAACAAATATATTGCTAATTCTTAAAGCACCCTTTCTCGTTACATAAACGAACTCTTTCACCTATAAATAGACCCCACTTTTATTATAAGACCCGTCTGAACCATGATTAGATACACTTTTGTAATTCATATCCGCCATAGTCCATGATATGATTATATCATATTGCTACCATTTACCATTTATTTCATGACTATCCCAGTCTGTCTCTCTGGTTGTAGAGGTTACTTCGATGACGCCACGGCTCGCTTCTGTGTGGCCTGTGTTGTGGAAGCTTTCCATTTCCTACATGATCGTGGTATCATCTACCGAGATCTGAAACCTGAAAATCTGCTGCTGGACGCGAACGGAATCGTCAAACTGGTAATACTGACCAACTATCATATGCTATTCGTTTATTATATAAAAGTGTAATTATCCAAGTCACAACAGAGATGTGATAGCCTTTAAGCATTATGTGACCAAAGCGTCAAATGATACCAAGACAATGGCTATAAGCCAAGGTTTCAAAAAAAAACTATTTTATTAATGAATAATACGTATTTGTTTATGGTCGCCGAAACGTATCACCGATACAAGTAAGTTTCACCGAACGTGTTATTGATTACCATTAGAATTTTAAACGTATAAATTTTATAGGTCGACTTCGGATTCGCCAAGAAAATGGGGCCTGGTCGGAAGACTTGGACTTTTTGTGGTACCCCGGAGTATGTTGCCCCTGAAATTATCCTAAACAAAGGCCACGACCGTGCTGCGGACTACTGGTCGCTGGGAATACTCATGTTTGAACTGCTGACCGGGAGGTAAGTGATGAAGAAGCCAGCTATAACGTTATTTATAAACACAGGACTTTCGATAATTTATCGTCCATTCAAATTTTTTAAAATACAGCTTTCCGTCACTAATGACCTTATTATTTCCAGTCCACCATTTGCTGGCACCGATCCCATGAAGACGTACAATATCATCCTCAAAGGAATCGACTCCATAGAAATACCTCGCAAGATTAACAAGATTGCAAACGTTCTCATCAAAAAGCTATGCAAAGACAATCCTGCCGAACGTTTAGGGTACGGCAAAAACGGAATATTGGAAATTAAAAAACACAAGTAAGTTTTGATAATACCGTTTTAAAGTATCCCTAAACTTGCTGAAAATAAGGAGTGTTAAATTGGTGTCAATCTGTTCGACTGTCGTTTAGCGTAATAGTTCTGTAGAGAAGAGATTTACTTTTTGGCTTTATTTCGAACTAAATCGGTTTGTACAATTATCACGGTAAGGTCACCAATCCTGATTGGTTTATTATCTATCGTTCAGCGTTGTTTATTCCATGTCCCTACTATAAGGTTTATCACATGAAACGTATTGACAATTCCTACATGGAATATGTTATTTGTTTTAACGATATATAGAATATATTCATTCGTGGCTTTACGATGAATTTTAACAAATCTAATATGAATAAATGACAGTTAACGAAAATGGATTTATTATGGTCCTTTCCAGATGGTTCCAGGGTTTTGATTGGGACGGTTTAAACAGTAGAAAAATTCTACCCACTATCATTCCAAAGGTAAGATATTCAGAATTCTTTCCCAGCTATTGCTTTATACTTTTTAATTGTACCGTTGAAAAAAGACACTTGAGAAACAGTAAATATTTAACGTGATCAAAACTCGTTATGAAAATCTCGACAAAACATGTCTTAAACTGATCTGACCACGGCCTCTAACATTTTTGTAATATCTCTATATTTCTATCTGAGTATTTCCGACGAATCCTAGATTAACAAAACAGCTATACGATGCGGTTTAATTCACTATTTTGGCCTGCAATGTGATTCTATGGTTTGTATCGGAAGGTGTTATTCACTTGTATATCTTTTGTACAATTTTCATTATATGCTTACAGAGAGACAATATGCATTTTTATACAATTCTTACATTAGGTACGGAGCCCAACGGATTATAGCAATTTTGATAGCTATCCTAAAAGCATTGACATACCTCCCGACGAGTTGTCTGGTTGGGATTTTGACTTTTAGTTGTGGGTATGTATTAAGTGAATGGTGAAAGGATGCGGTTTGATAAATCTGGTATTCAGCTAACTGACTAGTGATAGTTATTTCAGTTAATGATTTAATTGAGGCTTAGCGAATAATAGGGTCACTGCGCATGTATCACTATGCTTTGTCTGATTGTGACAAAGAATCAAACTATTCATTACAATAAAAAATACTAGAGAAGTCATTGGTAAATAAAAATTAGGCCTGTAAATAACCACGTCGGCGTGAAATCACCTTTTTATAGTTTAATGTTAAATCTTTGCAAACATAATTTGTGAGACTATGACTGGTGTAGCTCTTGTTTTGTGAATCTATCAATCACTCAACGAAATATCGCAAGTGTATCTTAAAACAATAACTTGGATCATCAAATTATATCGGTAATGTCGGTGTCTTTTAAATTTCTGTAAAAATACGCAATAGTTAATATATAGTGCTAACACATTTTCTTCTCTCTTTTAGAATTCTGAGAAGCCGGATTTGCCAAAACAAATGGTCTCTAAAAGACTTGTGTGAGATTTACAATGGTTCTTGTGTTATGGATGTTTTAGTACGTTCTCTAGCTAAATTCAATGAAGTTTCTTTCTTCACCAACTGAATGTTAACGCTATGGTTGTCCATAGAAATGATTAGTTAGTTATATTTTTTTAGTTTTTATTAACTTTGATTCATACTCTGTTGGCGATAATACTTGGTTCGATTTTTTATTTTATATGTAATAGCTCCGGTTTTACAACGTAAACAGATGGCATCTATCAGAAATCAAACGCGCTCAAACAAACTTAAAATATGTAGTAAATCTACTCTAATCGGTACTGAACTTTTAGAGTCGGTGACAGAAGTTTTTACATGAAACATGTTTTGTTCGAATCTCAAGATTTTCTTAATAAATTCTGTTGTGCATATCGTACTAGAGGTATATCATGACATAATATAGATATTCTAAAATTATCATATTAATCTGAAGTGTGTTATCATTCATTAAATGTCCGGAGAAAAAATCTCTTTTCAGAAGAGAAGCAAGGTCGTCTACCTGTATATGTCTTTTTCTTTAATCGGAATCGAACTTTGACCTCTATACGGTTGGTGACCTGAAGCTGCTATATCTTGTATTGATATTTTGAATTTGTGTTTCTTTTTTTAAGATACATACTGTAAACGTAATATTTGAGAGGTAGAAATATTTTAAGGTATTAGGCCAAAACATGTTTGTGATAATTACAGTTTCTGTGTGTCCTATAACAATTATTGTGAATGTTCCAACTCATCATTGCGTTTATTCGTTCAAAATTAACATTACGCTTAAATGAGTACGTTTATGTATCAGATTAAAACTGATTCGAGAAATTTGAAAACAAATATGCAAGATACTTGTAACATCTTATTAAATATGCCGAATCTTAACTTTAAAATATGTTCATATTTTTCTCCTATCCTTTTATTTAAATCATTAGATATTTGCAATTTTATTAATGTTTTTGAATAAATACTCGTTAGTATAATTAGAACTGATTAGACATGACTAGTGTTGTCACCTCTCTTGCGATTGTAAACAGGAAGGCGTCGGTGAGAATATGGAATAGAAGACCTGTGAAGTAAGTTAATTTTTAATGAATGATCTTGCTATATAACGGATCCCATGACAGGGTAAATGAATACTGATAATTGCAGTTGGGTATGATACTATCAATAGGGTTTTTATTGTCCTCCTCGGAGAAATAGCAATTATATGTATATGACGAACTAATCGATATTTCGCTACTTGTTCTTCAACGACAAGGAGATATATGTTATACTAGATTATGACCTGTTTTTTCAGAACATTTTAGTAGCAGTTTTTTCTTTAATTTCTTCTCGCGTTAATATGTTAACATAAATGTAACAATTTGTTAAAGACACTTTCAGAAACATACTTTTCATCTTTCGAATATTTTTTACATAATTTTTAACAAAAATATTCGTACACTAGAAACTACCTGAAATTCAAAGGTGTTTCTATGGGAATGACAATATTATATCATTAGGAAGTGATTTCCATGTCTGTACCAGATTATTGATTTCTTCAGAGCCCCTAGCTATTAATTACGGGGAAATGGGCGTGATATTGTCAGGGCTTATTCCATATCGATTTTATGGATTCTACTGGTATTAATCCCTCACTTCAGTTAGCTTACATCATGGTCCCGGAGGATTTATGGAGGTTAATAAAATATCACTTAGTTGATACCCGGTGAAATAAGGTACACGTGTGAGGCTTGAATAGAGTTAAAACATATGGTATTAAAATCACATCGAAGTTTTTTTCAAATTTATTGAGAGAAAGAGTACATATGGTTCATGAAATTGTGTAAAAAAAGAAGTAAGGATAAGATTTGACAGTTTGACAGTAATTCAAATTCATTAAACTTTGTATGAAAGTATTGACAATTGGTTTATTTACTTTGACAACAGGAGTCACCTAAATGATGAACTGAAGTGTCTATATAATTAATCGCACACTATTTCTTATCCTTGTTTTTTATGGTTATCATATAAAATACATTTTATGACACAAATACAAATACTTGCCGTAAGCATCAGCGGGTGTGTTAGTCATGTATAACGTTGATTTATAATGATCTAGAGACAATGTACGAATCCTGACCAATCATGTATCTCCTATTGTTCCCCTGAGAACGTAATACTGTAAATTTTCGTTTCATCTTATTTCTACAAACATTGAAATAATGAGTTTTATAATTTCGCTGGGAATTGAACTTCGTTGTACACGCGATCATGACACAAATCCCAGAATTAAAAACACCGCAAACATCAAAACGGTTAATTACAATCTATTTGAAGACACAGAAAGAGTCTATTTAATTATTCACTGTGACATTTTCATCACAAAGTTTTATCTCTATAAATCAAACGGGACAAAATGCATGAATGAACAAAGCACTATATCGTCGTTACCTAGTGATATGTCGCTGTTGCCAAGTGATTTGTCACTGTTACCTAGTGAAATGTCGCTGTTACCAAGTGATATGTCACTATTACCTAGTGATATGTCACTGTTACCTAGTTATATGTCACTTTTACCTAGTGATATGTCGCTGTTACCTTGGGATATGTCCTGGTTGCATAGTAATATTTTTTCGACGAAATTTAAAATGAAATTTTCACTATATATTCTTCGCGTTTAATAAAATAATTGATGATCTTTTCTCCTGTAGAAGTACATACTTGGGGAGAGGGAAATTTTACTGGTTTATAGAAAGCCTGCATTTTACTGATTGTTTCTAAGGGGAGTTCTCGAATGATGCAACGAACGTTGGTGCTTTAGCTGTTTGTCCCTTGCCAGCAACGTTATGTTAGTTTAATGCCCAAAATAGGTGGATTTGAGATCTCTACAGCATTATACTATTTGAATTAATTACAATTCATTACAAAAAAATGTAAAACTGGCTACCTAGTTCATGTTTTACCTATGTTCAAGATTGTTCACGTGCAAACACGTGACTAGTCTATTAGATAAGTTCATGCGTATAAGAAAATTGAGAGAAAGATGGATATTATGAGGAATGAGAAATTATCGATGAAGCATAACGGATTGATAAATGACATGTAGCACGGTTATTGACAATATGTTCCGGCATAAGGAGAAAACAGCGATTTGTTAATGATACTTATGTTGGTAGGACAACAGTATCTTATAGCTACATCGTTGTCAGTGTAAGAACACTCATTACGTAAATGTTTGTCATTACACGTGTGTAATATGACTTGAGTTGGTTGAAGTCTACATGTGTTTCCATTAAAACGTCATACCTTCATAGCGTCATATGCATGGCGACACATATAGAGATGAGAAGATCATCTACTCAGATTTTTTATTAATAAAATGTTGCTTTCGTGAATGATATTTGATGAACAGATTCTTAAATTCGTTTGTATTTCATTTGAGATTTATTTATACAGAACGGCTCTGGCAATTTCCATGTTATTGAACGAGGTAAATAGGAACCATTTTTATAATGGTTTCATAAATCTCACATATGGAAACTAGTGTAAGATTTCCTATCATACACACATGACATTAACGAGAAAGAAATAGGATGAGCCATGAGTGATGTTATTACATTTGTTTTAAATATGCATAAAGAGAATCTGTAGTTGATTAAATCGTTTAGGATTATTGATAATAGTGTTATTCATGTTGCATATATAACGGAATGTGTGGTATGGAGAGTATAAGTTGAATATCAAATTAGATTTCAAATGACATATTACGATGTTAGCAATAATGCTCCTTTTCAGATAGTGAAATGTAGAAAGATATAGAAGTTATATATTTGTAGTAAAAGTAGGTCCAATGATATAAGTAATCAGTTTCATTACAAAGTCGAAATTCTGGAAAAAGAAATGTCAGTTTTCCCCTGCAAAGAATTCTCGTTCTTAGATCATAGCTGTCAAGCATCATCATTACTTGTAGGTCTAATTATGTCTCGTGTAGATTGTGATCTGTACGAATCAAGCTGAATGTGTTTAATGTTTAAGAGATACAAATATTACATGGAACGTGTATTTAATCATGAAATTATGTAGTAACGTACATCAAGGTGTTCCGGTAGTTTCTTATATTGCACGAAGTTTATTAATGTGATATTAATATCTATAAAGGTTAATGCAATTGTATATGTATGTATATGAATTGTATATATAAGTATATATATATGTGAAATTGTGTGTATATCAACATCTATAGCTACATATGAAGCATCAACCGGATGACAAGTTCCACATCATTTGTTGTCGTTGGTTCAATTATAATGCATTACGTTGATGATACATTGTTTATTTTTGTATAAATTGGATTATGACTGATTCAACTGTGCGCTCATTTAGTAGTGCAACTGAATAAAATTTGCCAAACATTAAAACCGTGTCTTTATTGAGTCTACATATCCCTTCACTGTGATAATAATAGATCACAATAGCTTTGAATGATACTATATAATTGCCAAGTGATAGTTGATATATCTAAACGATGTGATAATGATATATCACAATAGCTGTCGTTGATTTTATATAATTTTCCCGTTATAGTCTATATATTTATACAATGTGACAATGATAGATGACAGTGACAGTGTATATATCCCTACAATGTGACAATGATAGATCACAGTGAAAGTCTATATATCCCTACAATGTGACAATGATAGATCACAGTGAAAGTCTATATATCCCTACAATGTGACAATGATAGATGACAGTGAAAGTCTATATATCCCTACAATGTGACAAGGATAGATCACAGTGAAAGTCTATATATCCCTACAATGTGACAATGATAGATGACAGTGAAAGTCTATATATCCCTACAATGTCACAAGGATAGATCACAGTGAAAGTCTATATATCCCTACAATGTGACAATGATAGAACACAGTGAAAGTCTATATAACCATACAATGTCACAATGATAGATCACAGTGAAAGTCTATATATCCCTACAATGTGACAATGATAGATCACATTGAAAGTCTATATATCCCTACAATGTGACAATGATAGATCACAGTGAAAGTCTATATATCCCTACAATGTGACAAAGATAGATCACATTGAAAGTCTATATATCCCTACAATGTGACAAGTGAAAGTCTATATATCCCTACAATGTGACAATGATAGATCACAGTGAAAGTCTATATATCCCTACAATGTGACAATGATAGATCACAGTGACAGTGTATATATCCCTACAACGTGACAATGATAGATCACAGTGAAAGTCTATATATCCCTACAATGTGACAATGATTGATCACAGTGAAAGTCTATATATCCCTTCAATGTGACAATGATAGATCACAGTGAAAGTCTATATATCCCTACAATGTCACAAGGATAGATCACAGTGAAAGTCTATATATCCCTACAATGTGACAATGATAGATCACAGTGAAAGTCTATATATCCCTACAATGTGACAATGATAGATCACAGTGAAAGTCTATATATCCCTACAATGTGACAATGATAGATCACAGTGACAGTGTATATATCCCTACAACGTGACAATGATAGATCACAGTGAAAGTCTATATATCCCTACAATGTGACAATGATAGATCACAGTGAAAGTCTATATATCCCTACAATGTGACAATGATAGATCACAGTGAAAGTCTATATATCCCTACAATGTGACAATGATAGATCACAGTGAAAGTCTATATATCCCTACAATGTGACAATGATAGATCACATTGAAAGTCTATATATCCCTACAATGTGACAAGGATAGATCACAGTGAAAGTCTATATATCCCTACAATGTGACAATGATAGATCACAGTGAAAGTCTATATATCCCTACAATGTGACAATGATAGATCACAGTGAAAGTCTATATATCCCTACAATGTGACAATGATAGATCACAGTGAAAGTCTATATATCCCTAAATGTGACAATGACAGATCACAGTGAAAGTCTATATATCCCTACAATGTGACAATGATAGATCACAGTGAAAGTCTATATATCCCTACAATGTGACAATGATAGATCACAGTGAATATATATCCCTACAATGTGACAATGATAGATCACAGTGAAAGTCTATATATCCCTACAATGTGACAAGGATAGATCACAGTGAAAGTCTATATATCCCTACAATGTGACAATGATAGATCACAGTGAAAGTCTATATATCCCTACAATGTGACAAAGATAGATCACATTGAAAGTCTATATATCCCTACAATGTGACAATGATAGATCACATTGAAAGTCTATATATCCCTACAATGTGACAATGATAGATCACATTGAAAGTCTATATATCCCTACAATGTGACAATGATAGATCACAGTGAAAGTCTATATATCCCTACAATGTCACAAGGATAGATCACAGTGAAAGTCTATATATCCCTACAATGTGACAATGATAGATCACAGTGAAAGTCTATATATCCCTACAATGTGACAATATCCCTACAATGTGACAATGATCACAGTGAAAGTCTATATATCCCTACAATGTGACAATGTCTATATATATCCCTACAAGTCACAAGGATAGATCACAGTGAAAGTCTATATATCCCTACAATGTGACAATGATAGATTACAGTGAAAGTCTATATATCCCTACAATGTGACAATGATAGATCACAGTGAAAGTCTATATATCCCTACAATGTGACAATGATAGATGACAGTGAAAGTCTATATATCCCTACAATGTGACAATGATAGATGACAGTGAAAGTCTATATATCCCTACAATGTGACAATGATAGATCACATTGAGAGTCTATATATCCCTACAATGTGACAATGATAGATCACAGTGAAAGTCTATATATCCCTACAATGTGACAATGATAGATCACAGTGAAAGTCTATATATCCCTACAATGTGACAATGATAGATGACAGTGAAAGTCTATATATCCCTACAATGTGACAATGATAGATGACAGTGAAAGTCTATATATCCCTACAATGTGACAATGATAGATCACAGTAGCTTTGATCTACACCATTGCCCAGTAGAAGTCTATAATTCCCTGTAGCGGTGACCGAGTGGTTAAGGCGTCCGACAATCTTTATCACTTGCCTTCCAGCCCTAGGTCACGAGTTCGAAGCCACATTGTACGTGGGACAATCGCCAGGTACTGGCAGCAGGCCGACTGTTTTTTCTAGCATGTCCTTAAATAGCCATGGCTGTTAATTGGACGTAAAGGAAAAGAAAAGAAAAGAAAAGAAAAAAAAAACTAATTTAGCTTTCTAGTAGATACCAGGGAATGATAAAACATGTATACGTAAGATGGTAAGAATGAAGAACTGTGACAATACAGGTAAAGAAACTGCGGTTTATGTATACCCTTTCATAAATAAAGCGGTGAGTCCAATGCTAACACATGTAGGCCGTTTTGAATTAATTTACAGGAAATCCAATTTCCGCTAAGAGATGTTGGTCTACAACCCTGCTTCTTATATTACAGATAGGATGTAAAATGCGACCTGGATTTATAATGGAACTGTCCATATCCTGTCACCTCGTTTATCACTCATATTTAGGTACACATATCAACAATGTTACTGCAGAATTCGCCGACATTTTCAAACCTTCCGGCCATCTCCAGATGATAACGTCATTACTTTTAAGCAATAGGTTGAGGATGACCGGAAGGCTCGAAAACTTCAGCAATATATTTATCGGTAATTGCCTTATGGATGACTTCATTATTTAATGGATACGATATATGAATAAAGGTTTCAAGGTTTTAAAATGTTTTCGGTTTTACCGAAACCTTAAAGCAATCAGCACGTATGTTTCACGGAAGTTATGAAATGGGTCGTTTTAGTATTAATATTTTTTCTTATTATCTCGACGTCGTTATTTTATTCCATTTTCGGATATAATTACATAAACTTGTCATTTTAACAAAGTCATCCTCGCTTTATTAAAACGCAAATACATTACAGAACTTATACAGTGAAAATAAATGCAGTAGTTTCATTCGGTGTAGTATTTGGTAACGTCTACATATATAAACACCGTGAATCCATTCTGTCAGGTCTTTCCGCGAAAAACTACTCAATCAAGCAAGCACAGAAACTAAACTGAACGAGTATTGGATGTTAGGATGAACAATGACAACTGTCATGGCCATAGTTCTTTTTTTATTGTTTCGGTAGAGTGTATTTATCTGTTTGGAACTGTTTGTCCCGAAAGTCTCAATATAAAAACATAAAAACAAAATAAAAACCTCATCAAAATGACAACGAAATCAATCTGCAATCAGTGTATAAAGGCATGAGAATTATTACTTTAGCAATAGTTAGATGTTTAAAGCTTCGACAAAAGCAGCCCGGCGGACAGCGACTCATAGTGTAGGTAAAGTAATTCTTTGTCAGCCGATGGAAGTGCCATAACAATATCTTATTTACTTTATCTTTCACTCCGGTGGAAATGTACTGTCAACATTCTGGTGTCGTTTATAGTTATATATAAGAAGTATGAAGAGGTATCCAAACAGTAACTTAAGTGGAAGCCTCGTTATGAGGACACGGGAGAACACCGGCCACTGCATTTTCATTACACGGTTAAAGATAGATTCTATTTTTCTTAAGTAACTCTTTACAGAGACAAACATCTTGAAACATGGCTGTCGTGGTGCCAATACATCGACATCGTCGTGCTTTGTTATAGACTTAATTCGAGGCTTACAGATAGCGGTAGGAACAAACAATATCTCCACTGTGTATACAGAGTTTAATGCTTCCTGTGCAAACTTATCTTCCTTCATACACTTAAACCATTCCAACTGACTCTCTTCGTCCCATTGGTAGTAACCACTGTTCTTCTTGCATTCTATCAACAGATGTTCCTTTTGTGCGACTTCCCTTCCTACAGGTTCTGGACAATGCATGTGATGAAAATTGTACATGTCTCTAACCTGACTATACTGAATGGGATGTATGGCATCCGTCCAATGATCACACGGCGATCCATTATTGTATATAGCTGACTGTAGTTTGTGTCCAACGTTTTCGCCTGCCATCACTTGGTAAAGAGTTTGGCCCACCATTTTCCTGTCAACTTTATATACGATTTCCACTTCAGTGGCACTCCAAGCTTTTTCATACGTCTGGCCTAACAATTTGAATGCCTCAGAATATTTTTTAAATGTACCGACATTTTCAAAATTGTTCAATTGATGTATGAGGTCGACGGTGCTTGCGAAGCAGTCACCAATGATCTCACAACGATTGTAGTGCATGGTGATGTGTTGAGTAGGGAACTTATCAATACGTTCCGGAAGCAGGAGGTTCAGTCCATTTGTGACATTACGTAACGAATGGTTGTTATAGCTACACGTCAAGAATTGCAGGATATCTAGGACACATGTCATGACCTTGGGTGGCGACCCTGAACAGGCCAGACAGTGATGCAGCACGGCTGTTTTAAGTTTATATGTAGTGGGCACGCCTGTTGTTGATGGAAAACTGGAGAACAAACATTCTTTTAGATACTTCAGAATCATATAAGCATGGCGATGAGAAACATGAGTTTCTCTGAGTATTCGAATTTCTCGGACACAGTTTGAAATTTTCCAGCACATTTCATGTTTTTTCTTGTTGCATCCTTTCCCTACCAAGAAATATAGGTGTTTCCAATTTTCTTCAGTGGCTGCCTTGCTGTCTAGTTGCACTAGAGATCGACCTTCCCCTCCAAGTTCAGATTTTGTCTGCCTTAGTTCAATAGCTGGAACAAAATCGATCAAAATGATGACAGACTTGTCATTTTGAGCTCCAGCACGAGGTGTTAGCTGGTTTGTGTTGCTGGTCCATTCAAAAACAAGACTACATCCATGAAAATATGGCGATCCTATCGTGGCTCCAGTCGCCAATCTTAGGACTCCAGTCGGTTTGTACACTTTACAGCATCTACATTCTTCAGAATATTGAATCATTTTGTGTAATGTTCCGTGTGAGTAAATCTTACAACAGTCACTGGTGTTTACCATTTTTATAGACGTGTCAAATCGATAGCAGTTACACAATACACTTATAGATTTCAACAGGTCATAAGTAAAACCAAATGCTAGCCTTCCTTGATTCAGGGCTCCCAATGTTCCTAACGATTTGAACCTATTGCAATATTTTTCAATGTGCCTGTGTTGGTCAAGTATTTGCATGAAGCCAGGACATCCGTCTTGGAGCGTAAACGTTGACGGAAACTTAAGTTGTGCTAGATAATCAAATTCTACTATGTAATAACCATCCGAATATTTCCAGTTCCGCGTTTCTTCAGCCATACTACCACAAGCCACGATTTTGGAAACCTCAAAAAAAGGATGTGTCTTTTTCAAGCTTCCCGACAAATGTCCCAGTAATGTTTCTACTGCAGTCCTAATTTCGAGAATTTCTGGACTGTTAAAGTCTACGAACAAATTATCTTGTATCTCTGAAACGAGTCGCTCCATGATATCTGAAAAATGGCAAGAAAAATGGACAGAATTAATACAAATATCCTATCCGACTTTGTTTCAGTTCCATTCGAGTTATGTCCCTTGAATACAACATCGTTTAATTGTTCTGTGGTAACATACACACACTGTAAATGGAGATTTCTCAATTGTCACGTTCTTTTGCCTTTTTGTAAAAATCCAATGCAATACATTTAAAAATGTCTGTACACTAGTTATGTTTATATTGACGACATGTAAATAACAACACGGTAAAGCCATTCAGTAGCTTTATAGCAAAGCTACACACAAGCTCAAAATAGAAGTGCAGTGAGCCGTACTGAAAAAAAAGAATGGCTTGTAGTTCGTATAGTATAGCTTACAGAGGACAAGACGTGTCTTCGGATCGCCCTTTCTACCTCTACTTTGAATAGAAATAAGATATTATCAATGTGATTACACAGTGCGATGTTATGAATCAGAAATGCTATGTTTTATGCCCGTGAATTGAAGCTTCCCGACGTGTCATGTCTAACTGGTGTTACAGAAAACGTATGGGATGGGGAATATGTCATTCTTGTCGGCCGAAATCTACATTATACGAAGACGGTAATATGGTCATGTAAAGATGCCGATCCATCATTACTCACCTTAATCGTTAGAAAAATGTTTTCCTTTTGAATGAATGAATAAGGATAAGTACCTGAAAGCTTTACCAAACAAGGGAATTACGACTCAATGAATCTATATATATCCTGATACCGTAATATATCTAAAGTTTCACGCTTCCGGTTTTGTGTATCTTAGCGACTGCTATATATATTTACGCGGGATTTATATAAGAGGACGATCACTCTGAAATACATGTAAATGAATTCAGTTTTACATCCTGTTTATGTATGTAGGGAGTAACCATGATAATTTATACAACACACGTTGTTTTACTGGTTTATTTCAGTGCACTAGATTCATAGAATGTTGATGTTACTTCAGTCTATTAAATATCCTGTCATGTAGAAATCCCGACATGTCAACAGAATATTAAATACTCCTCAAATTCAATAAAACTAAGGGAAAAAACTAACAAAAGAAAGACTTACACGGAGACTCTAGAAAACATACAAGAAAGCACACTCTATTTCATAGACGATGGCTGCCCCCCCCTCTCTCTCTCTCTCTCTCTCTGTGTGTGTGTGTGGGGGGGGGGGTATGTTAGCTGCTAATATAGAGACAGCTGTACTTGTATTCTGGTAGTGTGTTGTGTATGTCTAAGGAATGTTAGATTGCTGTGCTTTCTCAAAACCACATTGGTCTTGACAAAGCCTTTCTAATATATAACCCTGGCTTCTATTAGAGTTACTTCCCTTATAATGAGCCAGGCTGATTACACTTAAACGTGAAATGCTGGTATCCTTGAATACCTTTTCACGGCTTGGAATCTCTCGGCCAGGAATATCTTCCAAATTATCCACTGCCATTCATTTCCCCCTGAACTTGTCCTAAATGGAACAGCAAGATTACATTGGCTGAATTGAATATCACAATCAATCCTCCTGTACTTTTTTTATTTGTCCAAATCCTGCATCCACCAGACACCTGTATTACAAAAGTAATTATATACCAAACATGTTGAACAATATTTACAATTAACACTAATATATATATATATCCAAACTTTGACAGCCATTAGTAGCTTAGCAGTATAGCGCTCGGTTGGGGATTGAAAAGTCCCAGGTTCGATCGCCCAGTCGGGCGCGCAAGGACTTCCTGACATTTGGATAAGACAAAACTGAAATACTGATGAAAGTGATGTTAACAAAAACAAGTCCAAACTCTGAATGTTGTTTGATTTTATTTTCTGTGATGAAAGGGGGACTTTTTCCATTTTGTACTTGTAACCGGTTAAATTGAGGTCAGACCTGCTAGTATTTGGTGAGTTTGACAAGGTACATGTAGACATACATAATCAATGTTTCAGGTCCGAACATTCAGCACTTAATATTCAAGTCAATTTACACATGAATAACCTTACGAGAGGCTCAGTGGATTGTTCAATACTTAAAATGCCACTAATAAAAGACACTTTATGACTTTGAAATCTGCAGAAATTTATATTTGTATTAAAATCATGATAAAAATATTAACAAATCAAATCTTGACATGGCATTTGTAGCTCGTAGCTTATCATTCTGTGCAGTCCAGCCATTACTTTCCTGTTAAAATATGCCAAAACAAATATGTTCTTATTTTGACCTACAACCAGTCATTTTTTAATAATTGGTAGCTTAATGTCATGAAATTAGTTCGTTTGTTTCAATATATTCATGTAAGTTGAACACTTGAAAGTTTTAAATACCTTGTTTTTATTCACTCTATAAGATACACGTGTGATAGAAGAAGTAGAAGAGTTGATAATAGACAACTTATCCTGCCTTAGAATTTGAACTCAGATCTAGAGTTGTGATATACTGTGAAATTAAGTTTTACTTTTAATCAACCCATCCTGCGATATTATCAAAGAAATAAAACCGACTTTCTTAAATGGGGTACCTTGCATGTTCTAAAAAGACTGTAGACATTATTAGTTACTTCTTACTTACCACCAGCATTACCTGCATGGAAACCAATTTCCTGTTTATCAAATGTGTACTTCCCTAAAGCAGGATGCAGCATTGCTATTATGGCTATTATTATTCCAAGTAAAAAAATCAGAATTTATTTGCTGGCTTATTGAATTTTCCTGGTAGCTAAATAAACTTAAACTAATAAATAATAAACTAAATATGGCTATCCCTTCCCACTATTATACAAGTGTGCATTATGTTTACCACACTATTGTTTGATCCGCGTCCAGTAAATAGTTATAGTGTGTAGCAATACTGTCTACACTAACACCAGATATCTGTAATTCCTAGGTGAGACAAAGTGCAATGGTCCCATCTGATTGCTGTGGTGAGGGATGATAATATTTTAGGAGTAATCAAATGTCACATTACTTACTTCAGGTCTCTTGATGCTGGCTTATACAAGGGCGCTAAATCATCTGCTGCTGAAACAGAATTTGGATGGAACAGAGTTGCTTTACATTTTCTTAATATACAATGACATGTTCATGCATGTATTTGAACTCATATATATTGATTTAGTAAGATGAATGAGTATCACTGATCAAAATTCAATTTTTACTTAAAAAACATCTTTAATTTCAGTTAAGTTATCTATGGTGTTTGCTCAATCAATATTTAAAGCAAAACGTTTATGTACCTAACAAATTATTAAGCTGGGCTTCCTCCTCTGACTTTTAAACCCGCATCTGGTAGATTTCATGTTCTGTTTGTGCATCTTCAATATGTTGGTGATATTTTTCAAGTATTTCCAAATTTTCTCTTTCTGCAACAGCATCTTGAATATGCTTCTTAAACTCTTCACAGATAACACATACATCAAATTATTGCTTACTAAGATATGTGGGACACTCTGATTCCAACTGTTATAAAATGATGACAAACTAACAGATTCAGGGCAGCTTTCCATCTCCCTACATAAGTTTACATACTTCTCAAACACTGACTTCTTGGTGTAAAAAATTGGAAGAAAAATAGGGGGTTCCCCATACCTTCCACTTCGTGCACAAGGCTGAGGCAACCCTAACTCATCAGCACAAATCTTAATAAAACTTACAGCCATTTTGTCATTTTGAAATATCAAAATCTAAGATGGTTTAACTCCTGTGAAATCTAGGTTTTTTCCCCCATTTTCTGATAGATGATTTCTCAGTGTTTTCTCAGTAAAGTCAAAGGTCAGCCTAAATGTTTGTAAATGTTTGTACACATAGTGTCTGACTTTTGTATACATGTGTATAATATTTCCTCTTTCTTGACTTTAATGGTTTCCTCCCATGATGTACACTTATTTCTCATCTTTAATCATTTCACGGACTGACAGAATATAGTCAAACATTTCCTGTGTTCCAAAACTTTTGTAACAATTTTTCTTTTTGTTGCATGGACACCTTTTGTTAATTACATTTCCAACAAACAAGAAAGCGAGTCATGAAGGTCACTATCATTCACTGGAACTTGATTTAAACTATCAACAATTTCCTAATATGGAGAACAACCACCAACAATTTCAGTTAACCGTTCTATTTCAGTTTCATTTTCCTCGTCATTAACAGCAATAGGTTCTTCTGTTTTCACACTGGCATTTTGATTTGGATCATTGTCTTTTCCAAAATGTTCATCCAGCATTCTATCCGATTTCTTAAATGAAAAATAATCTTTTTTAACTTATCAACATTCTTAACTTATATTTGTGTTAATTATAAAAGACCCTCTAGGAAATATTTTCGAATTTAATTTTTAGTTATAATTTTTTTTTCTACCAGATAAAAGCAGTAACTAAAAATTCTGATTTTTAGAAAATAATTATCAAACTTCAAATATTTTGATTAAATTTCTGTTACTCAATATTATCATTTTCACTGATTTGATTTATACATATTTTATTTGCTCAATATAACAAATGGGATTAGGCACACGTTATCACAACTTAGAAACCATTTCACTCTTAAATTACCTTGCTATAAATATACAGATAAGTGGATATCCTTAATTCATTTTGATAATTTTATATGCCAATGGGAGAGGAGTAAGCCTAGGTATTGGGCGTGTGTTAACATAGTTTATACCTTTGTGTACCTTTTGTTTCAAATTTCTCTGTTCTCCTATACTCTTCATTTTCCTCATTTCTCACAGACTTTCAATTATAAACGAAGAAAGATAACTCTCACTAATGAGTGTGCAATACCATTGGTCAAGGGCGCCGTCTTCAGTGTTGACATTTCAACACAAGAAAACAACCCCGATATTCATCATTTCTACATGGAAATCGAAATTTCAAATGAATGAAATGTTGGAAATATTCATCAATGAATGGTTGTGGATATATGTTCTGAATATGACGGATGCGTGTACATTTATTTACGCTATTTGCATTTAGGAATTAATTCTAAATATTTGAGATGAAGGCATTTAACGCAATTAACAACATTCAAACTATTGTTATTATCTCAAACTTCATTTCATTAGTTCACATGCAACCGGCAAACACGGAAAAGAATGAACTTTGTTTTCACTGACGGCCATGCGGTAAACTAAAAATAGCGCACCAATCAAAACGAAACCTTCATCGGGATACTCTCTATGACGTCATTTAGTCTGCTTTCCTTGTGGAATGCATTATATGGTGTACCACATACATGAAAAGTTCAATCTCTGTTTCTGATTTCAAGAATTTGCTCGGCCTGTATTGGTTACTTTTCTTCCAGCATCTTGGAGTGATGCATACCTTCTTTTATTTAACTTTTAACTGAAAAAATAAAACCACGGTTCGGGTCTGTTCGTGCCCTTGCGACCGGATAAACGAAAGAGCCATGACTCAGTGCAAACATTTCGTAAAATATTTTATTATTGATGTATTGTTTATGTTTAACAGGAAAATCAGAGACTGTGCATTTTGAGCTTTACATCAGATGTAGCATTTCAACATCTGGCACAGGTAACTTTGATTGTCTGGGATTAATTTTGTGCCACCTGAACCGTTTCAACCGCGGGTCGGTTTGTATATGCGCGGGGAAAAACCGATTCGTCGGCATTATAAATGTAACCTTTGCATGCCTAAATCGGAATAGACCTGCAGATCTCTATACATGTCTCCAAATGCTTAGATGAAATACGGTAGAAAGCAAAATAAAATCGGTGGGTTCTTCATTAACTGATTAATGAACAACCTGGTGTAACTGGTCAAACCGATGTGAACTGATAAACAAACAAACAAACAAAAAACAATAACAAATAAAGGCTCAGGTCACGCGCGAATTTCAGGCTGGTATTCCGAAAAAAAGATTGGATAGGTCCTACGGATTTATTAGTCCTAGCCTGTTGCAATGTTTGCGTTTACGTACAAAATGTAATCGGTTAACCAGTAAGTCACATTTAGGCCTGAAACCACACCTTATCACAAACCGAAAGCAGGTCAAGTATTTATAGCAATGAGCTAAGTTTACTTGCTGGGTATTTATTTCCGAGTGGGTCGGCGAAGAATTCACACTGTTTTATAGGACAGATACTACGGATACAGACAGTCGACAGGTATGTTTACTTCACATATTTGACTAACTACAGATTTAGAATTATAGCACTAGGTGGTCCAGTGTGTTACCACGGACTTTTCGGGTCCGAACTCGCCCCACCAGCTTATTGCGATTTTTTAATATAGATATTACCAGGGACGTATAATACAGATTAGGGTAGTATAATTCTGTATTATACGTCCCTGATATTATTATAAAATAATTACACAAACACACAGAGCTTTTAAGTAGGCAAATATAGAGTGATTATGTTCCAGTTTATGAGGAGAACTATATATAACTACATGTACATGTAGGATGACAGCTGATTTCACTGCAGAGACAATTCGGCCGAAACTCGATACCTGAATTACATGCATGTATACATTGTGTGTACGTTCATAACATTCCGTCAAACTTCGTCATGATGAGTAACAACTATACTTGTATAATTGGTGGTGGCTAGATTTGAAAAGATCTGTAATCGTCTGTGTAGAGGCTAGGGTCTGTTTACTAAACCTAGTCCTATATGTTTCTAAATTTCTTCACCTTGACTTCATGGTTGGTAAAATATATGTTGTATTTACACAAAGATAGATAAAAAAACATGTAAGGGTGTTCAGAACATTGTTTAATCTTGATTTAAAAATTTTAAGGGAAGGTGTCTCAACCCCACTGTTGGGTAGAGATCTAGATTTCCAAATGTTAAATTTACAATTATTTTTCTGAAAGCATGACTCCTGATATTATTCCAGATTCTGCTTTTTTATACCTTTTTAATTTGTCCCCTTGTGTTTTGATTACAAATATCTGATGCTGGCAAAACTGACTGGTTTACTGTTCAAAGTTTTTATAAACTTTTACCCTTAATCTATATATGTTCCAGTGTTGGCAGATCTAGATTCTTTATTTGTTAGGGTACAAGAGGTCTTGTGCTGATTGAGCTAACTTGGATGCACATCTCTGGACCTTCTCTAAAGTAATAAAACTTTTTGGGGCATATAGGACTATACAGTAGTAGTATAGTTTCAAGGAATGGGCACATTAGTTATAAAGTATTAAAAAAAAACATGTTCATTCATACAGCTGAATGTTTTAAGTATCAATCCCACAGTCTTGTTTGCTTAAGCATTGTTAACATGCTCACTGAATTTTAAGCTTCTCTCACACCACAATACCAAGCTCTCTTTCAATTGTGATGGTGGTCACTTTTAGAGTGACCTAGATGGATTTTAAGATGTTTACATTTGTCAATATTTAGCTCCATTAGCAACTTGTCTGTCCAGCTACAGACCCTGTCAGTGTCCAGTTGCAGTGATTAACCATTCTCATTATGATCTGATGATCAATAGATCTTAGCATCATCTGCAAACATTTTAAGCTTCTTGTTAAGAGTGTTGTTTAGGTCATTCAGAAACATTGAAAAGAGTACTGGCCCTTGAACAATGCCATGGAGAACCTGACAAGTAACTTGTTGTGTAGTTGACTGGTATCTGTTGATACTTATTTGAAGACTTATATTATGGTGTCAATTTGTCATTTTTGGTTTAGAGCTACTATCCATTTTTCTGGTGCTTCTAAAAGTTGTGTGGTAATGGATTTGCCTCTTCTGAAGCAATGTTGGTTTTCTGTTTTGAGTTTTCTTGAAGATGGTTTACAATTTCATCCCAAATTGACTGGTTGCATTTCGCTTCCCTTTTATAAAAAAATTGCATTAACTCAAGCATGTTTCCAGTCAGAAGGTAATTTCCTTTACTATAATGATGTTTTAACAAGTATCTCTTGTAGCATGATGATTTTGCTAACTGCTTTTTTTTTTCTCGAAAACAAGGATGAATTTGACTTTTCAATTTTTTGGAATTCATTTGTTTTTTCCAGTTGTTTTTTTTATCTCTTTAGTTTTTCTTTTAAGCATTGTTTGCTATGTTTCTAGCTGCCTTATACTTATTGTAGTTCTCTTCTGTTTTAAAATGTTGGTGGTTTTTCCAGAAATTCTTTCCTTCTGATTTTATCCTATGTTTAAGTTGGTTGACTGATCCATATTACACATACTGAAGCAGGAAGAAGTAATCACAAATGTCCTGCCTTGCAGGGACTTTCCAGGTATATCATGGAAAGCCCCAGCCAGTCAGAACTTCTATACATAACTGGTAAGATGACCTGCACTCACAACTTCTACAGTGCTATAGCCATATAACCTAGGTTCTTTAATCAACTCCAACAAAGCCTAATCTCATAGGGCTTCTACTTGAAATGGTCAATGGATGTCCACAGCCCTGATGGGGCTTAAACTAGCTACTTCTCATGTTTTTCATTTTTCCCAATGGCTAAAGAGAAATTCCCACAAGTCCAGACAAGTATTTAAGTGACCTGGCCCCACTTGTATAAAACATCTCAACTTGAGATTTCCTCAAGTCGAGATTTTCCTCAGCTAATCTCCTCAGAGGAAATCTCAAGTTGAGATGTTTTATACAAGTGGGGCCAGAGCTCTCAGCTTTCAACAAGGCTAAAGGGAAAGTGGAAACTTAAGTTGATCTCAACTTATACACTGATATTACCTGTTTGTATGCTTGAGTTTTCTGGTTTCTATATCAGGGATTTAATTTTTTTTGTTTCTTAAAGAAGATTAAGAATATAAATGAAAAGTAACAACTGGACAAAGTCTGGATGACTCGGTTGTTGACGAGTGTCTGTCTTATTTCTAACGTTAATGGTTCAGGTCCCTGTCTGGTAGCTGTATCAGCCACCTTCTGTTGGAGACAAACTTTCTCCACAAAACAGCAAGGACATCTTACCATATCTTTGAAGATCTAAGAAATAAGAAAATGAAGTGTTAAAGTAATACAGCATACATGGAAGTATCCTGGAAACATTGAATAAAGAAAAGGACATCAGACATAGATAGTGCATATAATCATATTATAGCACAATACTTTCAGTGCTAAAAGAACTATAATACAATTTCCATTAGAATATATACTTTTATAGTTAACAAAAGGCTAAGTAAAAGGCAAACTAGATGCTTGACATTATCATTTCTTTATACCACCATTTAAATGTCTTGTCAGGACAGTTGAAATACCCCGGACATCTAGGTGACAGGCGAGACATTCCGTGATCGAACCCTGGACATTTCACCATTCCAGTTTCCTCCCACAGTAAGAACCCTCACATGCCTCCATCGAGGCCAACAAAAGTGATAAAAAAAGTTGGATAAATGTTGTTCCAAACTTGTTTTAAAATAAATCTTATATATTTAGTTGAAATATGCAGGAGCAATATGGTTACTGTACAAACTAAAATATCTAGACAAAATGGACTGTACAACATCACTACAAAATACCTACTGGTGATGTAGGGCCAAAGTGGACTGTACAACATCACTACAAAATACCTACTGGTGATGTAGGGCCAAAGTGGACTGTACAACATCACTACAAAATACCTACTGGTGATGTAGGGCCAAAGTGGACTGTACAACATCACTACAAAATACCTACTGGTGATGTAGGGCCAAAGTGGACTGTACAACATCACTACAAAATACCTACTGGTGATGTAGGGCCAAAGTGGACTGTACAACATCACTACAAAATACCTACTGGTGATGTAGGGCCAAAGTGGACTGTACAACATCACTACAAAATACCTACTGGTGATGTAGGGCCAAAGTGGACTGTACAACATCACTACAATTACCTACTGGTGATGTAGGGCCAAAAGAATTAACAAAATTTAACCTGTCAACATTAACAATGGAGACTTCAAGGGGACGATCAAAATGTACAGGATTTAAAACAGAATTTATGATATGCAGGAATCTTCTTTGATGAAGCTTTTTAGTAATGAATCTGTGAGATATGCTTCCAAATTAGTGACCAACATCCACATTACATTGATATTTCAATGAAATGTATCTCTATTCGGTACAATTTGTCATTTTTGAGTCCAGTGTAGAGGAGCTCTATCAGCTCCTGTATTGGAAAATTGACATTAATGTTTACAATTGAAATATCTGATAATGAAAAACTGTGTAGTGAAATGGTTGACTATTCGAATGAATTATCCACGACTAACATTGACTCTGTAGGTAAAAGAATAGTGATTGGTGTTAACTTCTGCTGTTGGTGTAGTAAATGATTCTTTAAATTACGTAATAAATTAGATACACAGTACTTCACAAAATCATTAAATACAAATAGACCCTCTCTCTGTATGTGTGCATGTGATTGTATGATAGTAATACAATTGTAAATATGCCATCTTGAGTATTGTATATATGTGTGTGTGTTTTATTGTAGGGAAAAGACTTTGTAGAAGTTGTATAATTTATGTCCAATTCTGTTGCGGTTGAAATGTAATGAAATCTGTTAAAATCAGAATCAATACAATTTACCTAGAGATGTATATTTGTATCCACGTAACTACAACTTTTCAACATTTACAGTTGTGTAGGGTAGTATGATATTATTAGTACATACATTTATACTTCTCGTGTATCAATACAAAAAGTATTGCTATCTAGGAATGACATAAGGAGACATACTGAGACCTGCTTGATTTAACTTATTTTGACTTGGATGCTGATGTGTATGTCCTTTATATTTTTCATTGCAGAGATAATGGCTGACAGCCAAGAAATTGATATAAGCCAACGTTACCAGGCATCCATGGTTCTCAGCGGAGTAGGAGATGCATTAGGATATTATCATGGTCGATGGGAGTTTTGCAACAGTGGCAAAAAAATTCATAAGGAACTTGAAGAACTTGGTGGCCTGAAGAAGATAAAAGTTGCATGTAAGTAACAACGTCATAGGATTGGATCTGACTAAAATGGGAACTCAAATAACTCTGTATCAAAACAAGATGTGTTTATGAAACATTATGCCCCTGGTTGCAACAAACTTCTGAAGTTGTACATTACAACAGTATTGTGCAAGGCATGTGCTAATTGGGTATACACTTTGTGTGACATCATTGTAGAATGATTGAACAGTTTTATTTGAATTGTTAAAATTGTTCAAATGTAGGTCAAAGGTCACGATCAAGGTCATGTGGTCAAAGCATTTGGAACCACAGGAAAGATCTTGTCATAAGGAACACACATGCGTAATATGAAAGCCCTACTTCTTATGGTGCAATAACTATGGGCAAGGTTAAAGTTTACAACAGACACACAAACAGACGGACAAACAGACAGACAGCACAAAAACATCATGCCCAAAATTTTCAATCAGGGAGCAATGAATAACCTAAATTTAACCTAAATTTAAAATGTGGACTGAGATAACCTTGAAGAAATGTTGACCCTGATAACTCAATATCAAACATAGGGACTCTGATGTGAAGATTAGTATAGTGTATAGTTGAAATACAGACTCTGATAATCTTGTTTAAAAAAGGACTCTAATGACCTGCAGTTCAAATTTGGATTCTAATAACCTTGTGAAAATATTGAACATGATATCTAGTTAAAGCATGCACTCTGATAACTAGTACTGCAAATATGGGATCCGTTAACCTAGATATAGTAGCTCACGTGGCCGAAATGTCACGCATGTCAAATAAGTTCTGCACAACAACAAAAATTGAAGTTCAACAAAGTGTGTGAAAAGAAATTATGTTGATCCATATTCAAGGTCACAGTGAGAACTTTTATATGAATTGTCTTCATTGACTAAGACATAATTTGAATCCAAATGGTTTGAAATTTTGATGCATTTGTGAAAAGTGCAACAGAAGTCATCAATTTTTCCAATGCCATTTCAAGTTTTTCTCTTCGTCAAAGAACCTCTGCATTTTAATTTACCAGAATAATTTGCTATAAACTTAAGAAAGATCTTTCATAATGAAGGGAACTCTTATTAATTCAGTAATGGTGTTTTATTAAATTTCATAGTTATTAATTTGATGACTTTTATTTCAGTGCCAGCATGGAATGTGAGTGATGATACTGTAATGCATTTAGCAACAGCTGAAGGTGAGGTATACAACAATAGGATACAGTTATGGATTGATGAGGTTGATACAAGGATGTAAATGACAGTATCAATAACATTTACATTATAAAGTTGGATTTTAACATCCTATCATTTTTGTTTTAGTTCTATCTTTTTCGTTTTTGTGGCATGGAAGGGGCGAGCTACATGAAATATGATATTGTCAAATGCTATCTTTTTCTATCTTGTCAATAGGTACTTGATTAATATTAATTAGAATGATAATGGGAATATTCTAATATGATAAGGTAAGAACCAAATGACTTATTTTTTTGTACAGATAATTGTGATTACATTCTGTACCACAAGAATTTCATTCAGCATCCATAACTATGATGACAAAGATATGAATGAGATAGTACTCAGGATAAACATCAACAAATAATTTTTAAAATGGAAGTTGAAGTTAAGTTTTTTCTGTCTGGTTTAATTGAGACTCCTGATAGTAAATCTGACCCTTTTTTAGCCAAACATCACCAGTTGGCTGTTCAAACCACCTTTCGTTGTTGGTTCATTGTCTTTCTAGCATCTGTCATTAGGAATGATAAGAAAGATAAAAGACATTTTATTATATTGAAAGTTACCGATTGTTATCTCTATTTCTTGAGAAATGCTAAATAGGTCGTTTTCAAATTTCATGTCTCTGGCTGTGTATCAAACATTTGGGGACTTATGGGCAAATATTAATGGCCGACTGACAGCTTTACCTGAGTTTGTTATAGTTATTCGTTAGAAGAAATGGGTTGATGATCTTGACATTTTAGACTATGGCTACCTGTCTACTCAATGGTCAGTTCACCAGACTGGAATGACAAAATTGGTATTTATATATATGTGAATTTCCTGAAAAATTCAAAGCAATGTTTGGTAAATATTAAGTCTTTCTTTTCCAGCATTGACTAAATGGGGCCATGAGAGCGCTGATAATGACAAAACACATCTGTATTCTCTTCTCGCTCAAAAATATATTTCCTGTATGGGTGATATGGGAGGACGAGCTCCAGGTATGTATTAGTGATAATGTGCACAAACATTATAGGTTTCCTACCCTGTCTGTTACTGATACATCAAAATGATATGATTTTTTCAGCTAAATTACTATCTGACCTTGTATTTTAGTAATGCTAATCATCGCTCCTCACTTCAGTCTAAACCATCTATTTATATTATCTCAGTTGATATACAGATAATGATATCTCTAGTACAGCCAATGAGATACTGTTGCTTCCCTGATACTGCGGACAGATACACACCAATGTATTCCTGGAACCTAAAAAGCTAATTTTATCATAATTTTGATATCATTTTAATGACATTTTAACTCAATGAGCATTTTCAGTGATTCTTAGTGTAAATTGTATACAGGTCTGCCATATTACCAAAATTAAGGGAAAAGTTGTGATTAGAATAATCAAAATGGTTATACAAAAAGCAGCCTTTAAAAACATTGTGTATGTGTTTGATTTCTGTTTGATGTCTGTTTGTAGGGATGACATGTATGGGTGCTGTAAGATTCTTAGCATCATCCTACAAAATACCATTCAATCCGAGGTAAGATACTCTAAAAAACTATTCTGATTATCAAAAACAGATTTTTTCTTTGTTTAGAATAAAAATTTATTTGTTATTGCCTTTTGTCTATTGCCATTAATCCGTAGACAATTTAAAAATTTGACCAAAAGTGCCACGTCAATAGGTAGGATCATTTTTAGGAAATCTCTCCTCATACTAGCTGGTGGTTACCTCTCTGAACAACTTATGGGAGGCCTACTGCATGCAATTGGGGTAAATTTTTTTGCCCAAGGACATAACCATGACAACACAGACTGGTCTGTTTCTCAGCTGCCAGTGAAACACAAACTATCACAGGTAGGGAGCATTTGAACACTGAATGGACTTCCGATAAATACTAACAAAGAGAGTTAGATAGTGAAAATCATCACAATTTCTCAACAGTCACCTAGAGCAAAAATCTTCTATTAGCTCTTCTTTTAATGTAAGCCAAGACCAAACCTGTGTGGGGATCATAATATATACTCTACTAGAGACTGACCCAAGGGGAGGGATTATAAAGAATCACCGAGGAATCCCCCCATCCACCCACAAAAGAGGACAAAGGACATTTATCTGGTTCGACACAATAAGTGTGTTGTTAATTCATTAGTATTTCTATTTTATTCCAGAGGTGGAGGGTGTGGAGCTGCCATGAGAGCCATGTGTATTGGACTGCGGTATCCAAGGTATTGTCATACAGCGTATTTATATAGTGATATATAATATTTTCTTTATGCTATCTGTGCCCTAGTTACTTACATATTGAAGTAATTGATGGCAATCAACAGAATCTCAGTTTCTCAGACAGTTAGTTACATGACATTAATATACATAATATGACATTCCAGCAGCATTTCATATTAACTTCCAATTAGACACCTAACTGGATGGTAACAAAAATCTCTAGTCCCTGGACACCACCACAAACAGGACATGATTGAAAAACTATGTACTGGTATATCTACTACATTGACACCACAGGGAATTAATCTCAGAGAGTAACCATTCATAATCTGTTAATCTTATCATACAATTTGGTTGCTGTTTTCCAGACCTGAAGACATTAGTGATTTGATTGCAGTCAGTGTGGAGAGTGGGCGGATGACCCACCACCATCCAACAGGGTACCTCGGAGCCTTTGCTGCAGCCCTGTTTGTCTCTTATTCTATACAAGGTGCAGTGTCTTTTGTCACTGTACCTGTAGATATTTAGTATGTAGTTGTATCTTCAGTAAATGGTGTTGTTATGTAGAACACTGTATCTTGACTAGAACTCCACCAGTAATCTTCAACAGCTAGTTTCCAGGAAGGACATATTCTCATACATAACATACTAACCAATGTAATTTCATGGTCAAATTTAAAAAGAAATATTATTTTTATTCAGTAAGTATCTAAGTTCAAGGAGCCAGGGAATTTGTTAGAAAGTAATTGCAAATAATTTAACTACAATTGTAAAGTTTTTGATTTCTAAATAAGTAAACATGTCAAAGTGTGTTGTATAGTGTACATCATGGAACATTTTGAGGATATGCTAGAAGGGTCCAACCAATTAACAAAAATTATCTTCAAAACTTACTATGTAGTGGTGCTTAGCCTGCAGTTAAACATAGCTCTCTTGGCTGTACCTTAATTTAGCCATATCTGGATTTTAGGGAAGCCCCTAAGGAGCTGGGGAGCAGCCTTGCTGAATGAGCTGCCTCAGTGTAAGGAGTATATCATTAAGGCTGGACACTGTGTAGAAGAAAACACCATTGCATTGTAAGTTTTGTGTAAGACATTAACTTGGCTACTGTAGTGATATATTTTCAACTGCTCATTTATGTCAAAAAATAAATGAAGTGTTTGTTCACACATTCATTACTGTCCATGAGGGAAAGTACCTGAGGGTATATGAAGTACAAAACCAAATTTTCGTGTCAACATGTCCTAGATGCAATGATCAAAAAAAATTGTTCAGAAATTTTAGATTTTTATTTAATTATTGATTCAAGGAACAATGGATATTTCAAAGATGCCTGGACAAAGTATTTGAAGTTGCGTGGAATTCTAGATGGCACCTCTGAGCCTGTGTTCCCAGAAAACTACAGTGTGGAAGAGAGGGACAAATTTGTGACCTCTGTCAGCTTCAATGGATGGGGTGGAGCAAGTGGGCATGACGCTCCAATGATTGCGTAATTATCATCTCTCAGGTTTTTATTGTAACTTTGATTGAATAACTTGTCATATCCTGTTATCTTTACAGAACCAGAGAATTGCAAAAGGTTACCCTTTGTTAGTACTTGTTCCATTATATTTTGAGACTGATCAGGAAAACAACATTTTTAACTGGCAACCATATTGGATTTTGGCAGTTGAAGTTTGTAAATACTGTTTCTGAAGAAGCACCAGAAGGATATTCCTAAATCTTGATGTGAAAGCTTCCTCTAATCCCTAATTATTGCTATTTATTGAGAAAAAAATGGAAAGATATCCAAAACTTGATGTATAGATTCCCCTTGATTTCTTGTGGCATCACAATTTTGAGAGTGATCATGAAAATAAAAAGGCTGACAGGTGGCCATCTTGGATTTTTACAGTTGAAGTCTATAATCGCAATATATTAAGAAGTATTGGAAGGATACATATACTGGAAATTTGGATTCATAGGTTTGCCTTGGTTCCCTTGTTTTTCCTATTTGATTTTTTGAGACTGATCAGAAAAATAAAATGGCCAACAGGTGGCAGTCTTGGATTTTGACAGTTTAAGTATGTAATTGCTGTTTCATAAGATGTATCTGAAACTTAATATGTAGAATCCCATCAGACGCTATTATGCCTGTTCAAGTTTTAATATGATCCAAAAAAAAAACTAATGACAAATTGTTTTTGCTCTTTCTGGAGAAGTACTGGATTGATCTTTCTCAAATTTCGTATGTAGGTTCCCCTTTGTCCTAGTTGTGCCCTTTGAATATTGGACTGGCAGAAAAACAAGATGGCTGACAGGTGACCTTTAGTTAATAGATTTTGACAATAAATTATTGTTACTGTTATTTTTTGGGAAGTGCCGGTACTGTATTGATCTTTTTCAAATTGATTCCCTTTGGTCACAGATTTTAGGACTGATCAGAAAAAAACTAACTGATAGGTGGCCATCTTGGGTTTTGGAATGAAAGTTTGTTATTGCTTTTTCTTGGATGGATCTTTCACTGTTATCACATGTTCATTCCCCTTGGTCTCTATCTGATAGGCATCATGGGTTTTAACAATGGAAGATTGTTATCACTTTCTTGGGAAATACTGGAAAGATTGCTAGTTGTAACATTTGCGGAATGTTCAAATTTCAAATTATTAAAAGCAATAATAAGAAAGAATAGAAAATATCGGATAAAATTATATTCTAAAAGAACAAAAAATAAAAGTCAGACAACAGTGGGCATCAAAATATCCCTCTGGTATCTCTTGTTTTGCTTGTTTCCCTATCAACACTATAATTCATGTTAGAAAATGTCATCACTTATATTGTATGAGGTTCTGAATGAATAACTCTCTATATCACATCATCAATGTAATGTCTGACAAACATTTATAGATGATTTAATGTTGTCCCTCTCTCATCCCACAGGTATGATGCTCTCCTTGGCTGTGGTAATGACTGGGGAGAACTTTGTAGCAGGTAAGTCTGTATTCAGTCAGGTGTGGTTATGGCTGGACAGAGTTCTGTAGCTGATAACTCTGATGAGTCAGGTGTGGTTATGGCAGGACAAAGTTCTGTAACAGGTAAGTCTGTATTGAGTCAGGTGTTGTTATGACAGGACAGAGTTCTGTAACAGGTAAGTCTGTATTGAGTCAGGTGTGGTTATGACAGGACAGAGTTCTGTAACAGGTAAGTCTGTGATGAGTCAGGTGTGGTTATGACAGGACAGAGTCTGTATGTGGTAAGTCTGTAATGAGTCAGGTGTGGTTATGGCAGGACAGGGTTCTGTAACAGGTAAGTCTGTATTGAGTCAGGTGTGGTTATGACAGGACAGAGTTCTGTAACAGGTAAGTCTGTGATGAGTCAGGTGTGGTTATGACAGGATAGAGTCTGTATGTGGTAAGTCTGTAATGAGTCAGGTGTGGTTATGGCAGGACAGGGTTCTGTAGCAGGTAAGTCTGTAATGAGTCAGGTGTGGTTATGACAGGACAGAGTTCTGTAACAGGTAAGTCTGTGATGAGTCAGGTGTGGTTATGACAGGACAGAGTCTGTATGTGGTAAGTCTGTAATGAGTCAGGTGTGGTTATGGCAGGACAGGGTTCTGTAGCAGGTAAGTCTGTAATGAGTCAGGTGTGGTTATGACAGGACAGAGTTCTGTAACAGGTAAGTCTGTAATGAGTCAGGTGTGGTTATGACAGGACAGAGTCTGTATGTGGTAAGTCTGTGATGAGTCAGGTGTGATTATGGCAGGACAGGGTTCTGTAGCAGGTAAGTCTGTAATGAGTCAGGTGTGGTTATGACAGGACAGAGTTCTGAAACAGGTAAGTCTGTAATGAGTCAGGTGTTGTTATGACAGGACAGAGTTCTGTAACAGGTAAGTCTGTAATGAGTCAGGTGTGGTTATGGCAAGACAGGACAGAGTTCTGTAACAGGTAAGTCTGTAATGAGTCAGGTGTGGTTATGACAGGACAGAGTTCTGAAACAGGTAAGTCTGTAATGAGTCAGGTGTTGTTATGACAGGACAGAGTTCTGTAACAGGTAAGTCTGTAATGAGTCAGGTGTGGTTATGACAGGACAGAGTTCTGAAACAGGTAAGTCTGTAATGAGTCAGGTGTTGTTATGACAGGACAGAGTTCTGTAACAGGTAAGTCTGTAATGAGTCAGGTGTGGTTATGACAGGACAGAGTTCTGAAACAGGTAAGTCTGTAATGAGTCAGGTGTTGTTATGACAGGACAGAGTTCTGTAACAGGTAAGTCTGTAATGAGTCAGGTGTGGTTATGACAGGACAAAGTTCTGTAGCTGGTAAGTCTGTGATGAGTCAGGTGTGGTTATGACAGGACAAAGTTCTGTAGCTGGTAAGTCTGATAAGTCAGGTTCGGTTTTTATTGGACAGACTTCTGTAGCAAGTTTCATGTAGTAATTTCTGTGCTGTATAAATCAGTACAAATAAATAACAACAAGTTCACATCACACACATTGGCTGAACCCCAAATTTTCAGTGATGGAAACCATTCAACCAAACAACCAACTATTCATCACTGACATTCTTTGACATGGCACGGTAGATGATATTGGGTTTGCCATTTTCATTGAAACAGTGAAGAAATTAGAGTTGAAGTTAACATCAAGGTGATGATGTCTGTACCTCAGTGTTGTTCTGTTAAATATCCTTCAGTGTGATTAGGTTGGTAAATGTTTGATTAAATCTTTAATCTGAAATTTGTGGCTGTGTTGACAGGTCCATGTTTCACAACGGGGACAGTGACAGTACAGGTGTGATAGCCGCTGCATGCTATGGAGCCATGAACGGATTTGCTGGTGTTCCGGAAAATCTTTTCCGTGTATGTAACTTATTACAATGTAGATACAAATAGTTTCATACCCAACATACCCAACATATCGAAGCAACACCAGTTAGTAAGTTATTTATTGGTCTAATACTTTTGCCTCTAAGGGTGAGGCATTATTTGGATAATAACAACATGTGTGCTTTAGAAATATTGAAAATTACTCATTTTATAAGTCATTTGAATTGAATTTCGAGGAATGAACTTGAAATTTTGGGTGTTAAAAACGATTTTTTGTATAATGACAATGGGCTTTATTCAGCATTTTGTAACAGTATTGACATTGAATTGAAGATTTGATTATATTGCAATTTTTCTTTGCAGCATTTGGAATACCGAGACAGGCTGCTAAAAGCTGGGAGAGCCATGTATTTGTTGAGTCACACAGATGAAAATGTTTCATTGGCTGATATTAATGAGGACCGATCCAAATCTCAAGGTTTACTTTCACACATCCAGGAACATGAAGAGTTAGCTGAATCAAGCCCTGGCCAAGGATCTGATGTTGCTAGTTCACAAGCGTCAGAACATCAAACCACAGAGGTTGTCGACTCTAGCCAAGGATCTGATGTTGCTAGTTCACAAGCGTCAGAACATCAAGCCACAGAGGTTGTCGACTCTAGCCAAGGATCTGATGTTGCTAGTTCACAAGCATCAGAACATCAAACCACAGAGGTTGTCGACTCTAGCCAAGGATCTGATGTTGCTAGTTCATAAGCGTCAGAACATCAAACAACAGAGGTAGTCGACTCTAGTCAAGGATCTGATGTTGATAGATCACAAGTGTCTGAACATCAAACAACAGAGGTAGTCGACTCTGGCCAAGGATCTGATGTTGCTAAGTGATGTTGTTAAGTGATTACGTCCCCAAAAGAGACATTGCTTACTGAAGTGTTAAACTTAGGTTTAGCAAGCTTTGGTTATAATACCAGTACTTGTGCTAACATACAAAGGTGGTGGTGATCAAGTATCTCCCATATCTTGTATATAACAATCTTTTCTCCCAGCATTGTATGTTTTGTATAACCAGACGTCCAATACAGTTAGCAAATGGCAGTAACTTTTACACTAGTGTTACCATGACAAAAATGGACAAATACTCAGCCAGGAACAAGATTTTTTCTACCACCAATCATCACGTGGTGAAGTACATGTAGGTATAGACAACTCCAACTGGGAGGTACCTATATGCATATCATTCACCTTATTTAATGTGTTATTGGTTATATACAATTTGTTATCTGTTATTTTCTGGGTGTTTTTTGTTTCATTTTTTAAACACATATTGATATGTTTATATTTTACAAGAAATAATAGGGGCCTATGTTGTGTGTTATCTAATTCCATTAAAAATACACTGGAAATTGTATAGTTTAATAAATTATTTAACATATTGACTTTGTTAAACATACACTTCATTGATATTGTGATGATTACAAAACTTTAAGAATTATTTTTGAAAGAGGAAAGTATTCTTGTTTTTATGCACATACTGGAGGTTAGATCATGAATTTTATCATTTTAACATTTGACTTTTGTCTTGTGGTAAAATGGAAATTCATGATCAAATCTCCAATATATGTATAAAAACAAGTATACTATCCCCTAAATATCATGATATTTGAGTTTATATTTCATTACAAGTGTTTCTTATTACACTTACTAATGGTGCTTTCTTTTACCTAAATTCTTATTGTATATTTGCCACTAGATATGTATGAACTAAATATGTTTTTTTATCATACATGTACCAGTGTCATTGTGGTGTATATTCTGGCCCTTTAGTATATATCCTGACACTTAAGTATATATCTTTACACTTTGATATATATTCTGACACTTTGGTATATATCCTTACACTTTGGTATATATCCTGACACTTTGGTATATATCCTGACACTTTGATATGTATACTGACACTGTGGTATATATCCTGACACTTTGGTATATATCCTGACACTTTAGTATATATCCTGACACTTTGGTATATATCCTGACACTTAGGTATATATCCTGCCACTTTGGTATATATTCTGACACTGTGGTATATATACTGACACTGTGGTATATATCCTGACACTTTGGTATATATCCTGACACTTTAGTATATATCCTGACACTTTAGTATATATCCTGACACTTTGGTATATATCCTGACACTGTGGTATATATGCTGACACTTTGGTATATATCCTGACACTTTGGTATATATCCTTACACTTTAGTATATATCCTGACACTTTGGTATATATCCTGACACTTTAGTATATATTCTGACACTTTGGTATATATTCTGACACTTTAGTATATATCCTGACACTTTGGTATATATTCTGACACTGTGGTATATATCCTGACACTTTGGTATATATACTGACACTGTGGTATATATCCTGACACTTTAGTATATATCCTGACACTTTGGTATATATCCTGACACTGTGGTATATATTCTGACACTTTAGTATATATCCTGACACTGTGGTATATATCCTGACACTTTGGTATATATCCTGACACTTTAGTATATATCCTTACACTTTAGTATATATCTTTACACTTTGGTATATATATTCTGACACTTTGGTATATATCCTGACACTGTGGTATATATCCTGACACTGTGGTATATATTCTGACACTTTAGTATATATCCTGACACTTTGGTATATATTCTGACACTGTGGTATATATCCTAACACTTTGGTATATATCCTGACACTGTGGTATATATCCTGACACTGTGGTATATATCCTGACACTGTGGTATATATCCTGACACTGTGGTATATATACTGACACTGTGGTATATATCCTGACACTGTGGTATATATACTGACACTGTGGTATATATCCTGACACAGTGACTTTAAACTAAAGTTATCACTTAAAAATATTGTACCTACACTGCACCTAAACACACATTACAAAAATCATCATCAGAAGCAAAATTTGGCATAAAGCACAGATAGTACTTATCTATACATGATCGGTAATATTAGATTTTGTAATTGTAAATTTTAACAAATTGAATTTTTCCAAATATTGAAAAATTTACTCTTATGCTTTTTATGCATTTTTGTATTTTGTTTTACAATAGTCTTTTACTATGTAGCATCCACACAAAGAGAACTTACAAATAAATGTCTTCTTAATGAATTAACAGGATTTACTGATGAACAAGATGATCTTGTAATACTTATGGTCAGTAACATAGAGAATGCCACAGGGTATTAAGAAGTGATGGAAATTAATCACTGATAACTGTATGAATATAGTGTTTGTTCTATAGATAGTAGAGGATGTGCTTTATGAACAAGAAGTTTCCCTCCTCTGTGATATTTATACACTGTCCATTCAGTACTAAATTACCATGGTCGGGCAGATTTTTTTAAAATACCTGGGGAAACATGTTAATGTTATCAGAACTTCACTGGTGCAACCCCTAACACAGAGGAAGAGATGTGCAACACTCTATTATCTGAAGACCTCCACAACTGTATGAGACAAAATTTAAGCAGGTATGCTACATCCAAACACTCCTTTACTACCTGTAGGCAATGCTTTCTGAGAACTGTCCTAGATTGTCAACTATGAGATATTCGTGTGAATTCTTTCAAACAGCTTATAAGCATGGGATTCATAGTATCTTGAAATGAAGGGGGTATCCGATATATTCAAATGAATGACCTTGGACCTTTCATGGTCATCATATCAATTATTTTAACATTTTTTCTTCACTGATTGAAAGAGGTATATTGTAAAGAGCAATGAATCCGAGGATGAATGGCTTTAGAAATTTTTATTGCAATTGTAATTTGTCAGGTGTGCACTCTATTATATCTGTGGTCTGACTGGTCTGTCGTCCATCTGTAAATAAGTCTTGTTATAGCTATTTCTTTAGAAGCATTAGATAGATCTTTCTCAAATTTGATATGTAAGTTTCCATTGGTCCCTTGGGAGTGATAAAAAAATGGCTGACAGGCTGTCTTGGATTTTGACATTGAAAGTATGATATTGTTATTTCTTGAGAAGTACAAGGTATATTTTTTCTCAAATTTCATATGTTGGTTCCACTTAGTCTTTAGTTATGTCCTTTTCGTTTTGGATTATTATCACTGTTTCTTAAGAGAAACGTTCAAATTCCATAAGAGTAGAAAAGATGGGAAAATATCCAACTTTTAAAGAACAAATAAAGACATACAATGATGGGTGTCAAGATCCCTCTGGGATCTCTTTTTCATTTTCTTGATTGATTGGTGAAATGAAAAAAAAAGAGTTGTGATGAATATTTAAACCAAATATACTGAAGGTTTTCAAGGGGTTCTATGTTTTGTTGTTTTTCAGAATAAATAAAAATTACAAATAATTGAGATAAAAAAGATATTAAGAGACAAAATCATAGTCTATGATGACTGCCATAAAGATATCCTTTTGCTTCACACTTTTAATTAACAAATGAAAATTTGTTTTGGTGATAACAAACAATAACTGAATTATTGATAGCATTACCAGTATCATTAAATTGTTTTTCTTCAATGAAAAAAAAACAAAACAATTTTTGCTTTATACAATGCTTTATCAGATTGAGGACTACATCATTTTAATACACGTAATACAAAATGTTGTTGTGACCATCCCAACAGGAGCGTTTACCATCACACAGAGCTATTCTGTAGTGACCATAGCGGTAGTGCACATTCTTGTCTGCGTAGATCTCGAGAATATGCTGATGACCATTGTTGAGACTGGTGTAAACTGCCACGGTCTTTCCTGCTTCCAGATCAGCAATATCTTCTTTGGAGAGAATGATCTCATGCTTATGCATTCCAGGAGGAGTCATGGCTGTTGAGGATGTGGTGTAGCGCTCCTCTTTGTTGGTGTTACCCTCAATGCTGTGAACTGCGTCAGGTTTGGTATGGAAATAATTGGTGTTGACAGCCATGTTCATAACGAGCTCCTTAAGGGCATCTAGTTCCTTATAAATAGCATTTCCTTCCTGATGTGTTGGGACCACTGGGTATCGTAGTCTGATGTTTCCAACAGTCGGTATTTCACGTAGAATTGTCTGAAAACCAGATGGTACAACCTTATGAGCATGTCCTGATCTGTCGGCAACATAATGCCCTCCAACTGCCTTAGAAAAGAATTCAGCTGGAGTTAAGTAAAAGTTATCTTGGTTAAGGCCAAGGAAGGCCTTTTCAGGAGTTCGTCCATTATGTCCATGTTGATTAATTGTGTTTGCTGGGCTCTCATGAATATTGCCTGGATAAAATTGCAAGTTGTATGGGTTCCAACTAAGAAGTGGAGTCAACCATACAATTTCCAGTGGAAGAGCGTAGGTGTACTTAGCAATAAATTCTGTACAGTCCTGTTTATGTGTCGTTCGATTATATTGACAAGATTTGTAAGACATAGGAGCCACCTTATCTTGTGTGGTTGTCGCTACCCAGAGAGATTTGTCAGCATACCCGCGATTGATAATTGTTGTTCCCATAGCTCCCTTCTGTGCCACACGGTACCAGTGGTGGTAGTGGCCGATGTTGAGCGGTGTGTCATTTCTCGGAATATGAGCATTGAAAGCAGTAAGGCCAAAAGACCCACCAGTGATATGAACAGGGTAATTATCCTTCCCAGGAATTTCTTCCATGATGGCATCAAGTGTTGTGTAATGGGTAAAGGTTGGGTCCTGTTTACCATATCCAATGTCAGCATATAATGTCCTTGAAGGCCTGCCATACTCTCCTAGTTCAAAACGTGCAGCCTTTGATCGCGAGAAATCATATAGACTCTGATTTGCGGAAAGTCTGGCTGCCAGGTCATCTTTCACAAAAAATGATGCTAGCTTGAGCTCCTGTTTGATTGGATGACAAACGATACGGGTATCCCAGTGTGCATAGAGGGCAGTTCCATTAACTACTCTCATGATTTTTGTAGGATTAAATGGATGACCATCTTCTAATCCCTCGTTGACCAAAAACTCCGTTGTATATGCTTCTCCCAGCCACCTGTTCTGGTTATGGGCAGCACCGTCAATCCATGCACCTTCTAAATAACAAAGTACTGGCTTGAAGTAGCGAGTATAGTCACGGATTTTCGTGTCTTGCTGTTTGAATGCTCTAAAGTATTCTCTCATCTCGGCAATCTGTTCAGTGATATTGTGCTTGGCCAAGACAGAGTGTGGCACTTCCGGGTATGGAATATCCTCAGTCTTGTGCCATTCTTTACTGTTCCTGCTTGGCATTTGTAGTCGATAGTTTTGTGCGCGTAATCTGAACTCAACACCATTCATAACAAAGACATTAGTGCCAATGTATAAAAGACGATCTCGCGTCCAGGCCTCTCCAAAATCTGCCAGAATCGGGGAGGACACTATATCATTAAGATAACTCCGTGTTCCCCTGTTTTTAACCATTTTCTGCTTGATACCAGAGTCGCCATCGGATCTGATTCGTTCTTCCACACCAAGCTGCTGCATCACCATCTGACGGGAAATGCCCTCTAATGTCTGTTTCATGTCTGCCAGCTGGACGTCCATTGGATTCATTGTGGTAGTGGGTGTGGTTGGTGCATGTGTTGCACAGACACCATAGTGCAACAAGCACGCTAACACTAATGTTATGGCTATCTGAAAATTAAAAAAATCACATTTATTAATTGGTGTTTATGTGAATTTTAACATACACAATGATTAATCGTTAAAATATCACATGCTTCCGTAGAGAAAAAAGAATGCAGTTATATTTCTAAAATATTATTAGAACTGTTGATCTGTGCCAACAATTATGTAAAATAAAAAAGTAATCTAAAATTTAACAGAGGAAGGCAAAGTCTGTTTTTTTTCTAGACGATAACTGGGAACTGGAATTGGAGACAAAAATATAAAACAAAAAGACAAAGAAAATCCATATAAGGAAGTCTAGGGACATGGACGATTTGAATAAAGGAATTAATATAAGATCACAAAACAAAAAGGAAATAAAGAGCAAAACAAAACAAAAAAAAAACCAAACCAAAAAAAGAAAACTTCGATAGAACATCAAGTGGAATTGAGATGCACACAAGTAATAGAATGAAATCAAAATAAACTAAAAAGATAGAAAAATAGGAAAGACAACATGAGGAATCGAGGGGACACGGAAGGGAAACAAAAGACCACAGGAGGAATCTAGGGGACACGGAAGGGAAACAAAAGACACAGGAGGAATCTAGGGGACACGGAAGGGAAACAAAAGACACAAGAGGAATCTAGGGGACACGGAAGGGAAACAAAAGACACAGGAGAAATCTAGGGGACACGGAAGGGAAACAAAAGACACAAGAGGAATCTAGGGGACACGGAAGGGAAACAAAAGACACAGGAGAAATCCAAGGTATATTGGACGGAAATGGAAAGACAACTCGAGGAGTCCAGGGGGCATGGACGGAAATGGAAAGACAACTGGAGGAGTCCAGGGGGCATGGACGGAAACGGAAAGACACTTATTAGCCAACCATCTTTACCGAACACACAAAATGGACAATCCTATAGCATGTGTAAAGATGATGTGGGCACGATGTACTATATGCATGATGTGTGCATGATGTGTACAGTTTTTGGTGTGCTGTGTGTTACTGTAGCTGTACAATTGTATTTAGATTTAGATCATAGGATAATAAGATAAAATTCAGGATAAAATCAGGACAAAATTGTTACATATGTATTGTTTGGGGAATTAGAAATAAGCAATGAAAACTCCTGTCATTCGCATGTAATTTTGTAAACTCCTTTGATAAGCAATGTTATTTACATGAAACATATGAAACATTTTTTTCACTGTAAATTTCCTTTGCAATGAAATTCTGTTGATCATAAAAATCTGTTTGAAGAAACAGAAAATAAAATCTAAAAAAATTAAAGTTATTTTTTAATATGAAAGGTTTTAGAATAAAATTCAGAAATGTGTGTTAATTTTTTTCATTTCCTACTCATACATAAAAAACATAGATATCCTGCATTATGAAACAACATCCAGGAAAATCACCCCAGCGACAGAGAGAGAGACATGTTTGTCCACCTACCATGATAGCTTCTGCTCCCTCCACTGAATACAAACACTTTGAGGTCATGGTGGGTTTTTATTAATTATTTATCTTATCAAACACCAGGTGATGGTAAGAATCCTTGCCTCATCTAGTTCACCTTAGATACAAGACAGAATAGTGACCAAACTGATAAATTCATGTATGTTTCACGCGCTGAAAGAGTGTCAATCGTATAAGTCAGTGAGGTCTTAGATATGAAATCAAAATTATACAACCACTTTTTATACCATAGCTATCAATTAATGTAGTCCTAAAATTTCAGTCGGTCAGGTCTCCCAGCTGTACTACCAGAGGGACTAAAGATTTGTCTGTCAGTCAAGTCTCCCAACAGTACTACAAGCGGGGACTATAGATTTGTCTGTCAGTCAAGTTACCAAACAATAGTACTAGCAGAGGGACAGTAGGTTTGTCTGTCAGTCAGGTTTCCCAACAGTAATACCAGAGGGAACTATAACTATGTTTGCCAGTCAAATCTCCCATAAATACCACCAGACCTGAAAAGGTCAAGAGGACCTATAGCCTTTGTGTTTGGTCAGGCGTCCTGTGGTATCAGCTCCTCTAGTTCCATTTATAAATTTAGCTCAGACTTGCGTGTAATGATCCTGAGAATGTTCTTACCAAGTGATGTTATTAAAACTTTCGGGTTAGTTGAACTGTCAATATGGCCACAGTGGCTGTCATCTTGAAAAAAACGCATTTTAAGCCTCTCCAGTTCCATTGGTTTACTTGCTCTACATTTGGTTGAGATGATGGGGAAAGAAAGCCAAGAAAGTGTTATTTTATTGCCGCATCAATACTTCACATGGCAGCCTCCGCAGCCATTTTGTAACTTGATTTTGCAGTGATGGCCTTTCTAAACAACGCCTTTACAAAGTTCTCAAAATCCTTCCCGTGGGATTCACCTTAAGTTTGTCTGAAATCATTTTGAGATGCTTCTGACCAAGTGTTGATATCTTCAGGGTCAGTCGAATATCAAATATAACTACTATCTTGAAAAACACATTTTAAACTTCCACTCCAGTTCCATCAGTGTTGTCATGCTGAAATTTTGTGGGAATGTTGAAAATCCAAAATGTAGAAAGCGTTGTTGGTTTTGTTACCGTAACTGCTAATATTCAAAATTGTTTTAATCATTAAATAATGATTTACATTACCACTACTGATTTTATATCATGTACAGGTCTTTATGGTCAGTCAACTATTAAGGTCCATGGGTACCTTTTGAGACTGTACCTGTCTTCATTTTTTATATAATATATTGTAGTATGTTACCAACGCTCACCAAATTTAGATTTGAGTGCATCCTGTTACCTACATTCACCATTGTTTTTATGTAAGTACCTCTTTCACCTACATCATTTTGTGTGGAGTACCACCTGATACAAATATTGAATTAAGTAAGCAAGTACCTGTGATACCTTCCTTTACCATTTTTTATGCAACAACCTCCAATCACCTACACTCTCTGAATTTCGAATGTTACCTTACCGAATTATGAAACGGAAGTTAATTAATTGGTATTGCTAATTTTATAGGTAAATTTCACGTGTTTTTTCATTAAGAAGAATATTAATGGAACTGATGAATTATTGAAGGCTCTTCCTGTTTGTTAATTTTGTCATATCAATAACACACATCCGTTAAAATGTGTTAAAATTGAGAGTTTTTATGAGGAAAAATAATACTGTTTTGTGTCTAACATTTGAGCTATGAAAGTAAAGGCATATTTCACACAGTGTGATTCTTGATCTACATTGTTTTTAGTATGTGTGTTTATGAACATTTTTGTATCGATAATTGTTTGGGAAATAATCAAGAGTTTAATGATTATAGGATTTAAAACTGTCACCAAACATTTATTTTCTATAGTAAGTTCTGAGTTCCGTCAGCATCAATTCAAAATACAGTTATTCTCTGGAACATTTAACAAAGGGCAATAACTCTGTAATAAATTGCTAGCCTAGACGTTGATACACTGTACATTGTCTTAGTATGACCTATGTATGCCTTCATTATCCTGGTTCAAATGCAAGCAAAGCTATGATTCCGACATGGAATTTTAGCAAAGGTCAATAAATCTGTAAATAAGGAATTGTGGGTTTTTAATTTAGTAAAACCACCTAGTGTTGTATTCACCAGGCTTTATGATCCTTGCTTAACTATGGTCGAAGTTATGTTCTGCACATGGAAAGGACAGACGGACGGATTCACAAAGTGGCAAATATATGTTCCCATGAAAATGTTCAGGGAGTGTAACAACAGCATTGTATTCTACTGAATTATCACGTTCCCTAATTTACCATCCATCACATTTATTTCAATTAAGGTGATAATTTATATCATATTTTTAATTTTCCTTTTTTAGCTGTACTTCACACTTTTAAATATTAGAAGTAACAACTTCAAATTTATTTCAGCTGATATAACCAAATTTGTTTTCAAATCTAAAATGAGAAATTTTAATGACACATTTTAAAGCTGATGAATTCTGAAGTATACACATATCAAATTCTTTTAATTTGTCTTATTTTATGTGATGATGTAAGAATTTACATTCGTTAATAGTAATCTATATCTGTAAGTTGACTATGCTGGTAGATGTTGGTTTTGGTCACATGTACTAAGCTACCTGATTATCTTGACCGTATGGAAAGTGATACCAGTATCACTGGCCACCAGCTGGACAGGCTGATAGTAAATAACAGTCGTCTTGTATCTTGCAGATGTTTTACTAGATCTATTTGTTGATTTGTACTCATTTCAGGTCACCTGAGACATACTCTTGTGTAACCTTAAGTGATAGCTTTCCGGTCACCTTCTGACTTAAGTGTGGCCTTTTACGCCACCTTTCAATGAACTGTTGACATTTGTTTCCGAAACTGTTAAACACGTTTTTGAAAAAAGTTATAGAAAACTTTCCATAGAGAGGTAAATTATACTTGTGAATGATTTGATTCCTGATGCCTGGGAATATTGTAAATTCCCCTTCATTGATAAGCTTTCGCTGCAGATACACCAAAACGTTTCATACTTCTGCTCAAGATAGGTTCTTATATCCAATATTGTTTAAGGTATCTCCATGAACTTATTTTGATTGTCATTCTGAAGGTCTAGTAGTGTTTTTGCTATGATAGGAAATTTCTTTTTATGTCTCCAACGTAAGAGAGAGAAGTCAGTATTTCCTGCGATACAGTTCTAACTAATTGTGTGTTCTTGTTCTGTATTTTTCCGCCATAAGATTTCGTATTTACTCACCATAAGATTTCGTATTTACTCGTCATACGATTCGGTATTTACTCGTTATATAACTTGGTTAAAATCAATGCCCATCAACTGCAATCATCATCATGTAACTGTAAGGCTATTAAAAGTAATTTTGCATTATCAATACTGAAGTAATCATTGTACAGCTGAGTACAGGTGGAGTTTTTAAGTGAGGTTTGCATGATTAGACCAACCACAAAACATTTCCTTAAGCAGCTGTAAACTTGACTTGCAGTTATGAAGACCACTAATAGTTTTTGTCTGGCATGGGACAAATCACATGGTGAGATACAGGTGTTATTTTTCCACCGGCAGAGTTATCATGTGTGTCATACTCCAAATTGTTAAAGTGCTATCATCACGAAACATGCTTAATGGTTATATATGCATGAGCATGTACAAGTTTTCAATGAAGATTGTACATATACTTGACAATTGATAGGAATTTGTTAATTGTATCATGTTAAAATTTTGTATTTGGATCCACATTGAGCTTCATTTCTCTCTGAGTGCACATATTTGTGTTATTTGTATACTTGTATATTTTAGATTCTGCTAATTTAACATTCTCTAGAATTTGGCCATGTTAAAGTTTTCCATTTTAGACTTTATTTCTCTCCAATTACAAAAGCAATCATAACCAAACCTAGAATATATTTATTTATATCTGTTTGCTAATTCCTACACACATTTCAGATTCTTATTTTTTCTACTATGATATAGTGTTACTTGGACTTTGTTATTTTAACTGTGCCAAAGTTTTATATTTAGCTTTGTGTTTGGTTGTTTTCTCTCCTAGCACATAAGGCTGTAACAGACAGACTTGGAATACACATGTACTTATGTCTATGTATGATCATCCCAACACACATTTCAGACCTTGAATTTCTCCTACAATTTACTGTTAATTGGACAAATAGGATTAATTAACTGTATAATGTTAAAGTGTCCTGTTTAGCTCTACATTGAGCTGAATTTCTTTTTAAGTACATGTGCTGTCATAACCAAACCTACAATACACTGGTCATCTGAACAACTATTTTTGGTGAATAATTTTGCCGTTACCGAGTATTTCAAAGTTAGCTTGAATAACCAGATATTTATTGACCATGTCTGTCGAATATACCCTTCAGAATTTTAAATCATTTTACACCACAGACTCTTATATGTCAACCACATACCTCCATCTTTTCCTACAAAGAAATGAACATGGACAGCTTTCCACAAAGCTGTATGATAAGCATGACAATTTCAATTTCTAATTTCTTGATACTAACATTCCTGCATAATCAACCTATGTTGTTTACATGTCACAGTTGATTCAATATTAAGGGTTTGTTCCAAATATTTCAATTTTCATGAAAATTGCAAAAACTGATAGACACTCTCACAAAGCTGGACGTGTTTGATGCACATTGGTTTACCTGCTGGTTCCATTGTTCTCATTTAGGAATATGACATCACTGGCATGAATAGTCCCAGATTTATATGGAGGATGAAGCTGAAGAAGCTCATTCTTCTGAAACATCTGGTCTTAACCTGGTACTTTTACAGTTTCTGTGTAAATGGGGATTTTTTTTCATATTTTGCCCTAGTTGTCTTGAATTTGAATTTCAATTGTGATTCTGTTCACATGTTGGAATTTTTTTATTGTTTTTAGAAACAAAACAATTTTTTTCAAGATTTTCAGCAGAAATACAGCTATTAAATCATAAGAAAATGGTTATGCCTATTTGAACAATGGATATAATGAAAACAACATATTGCATAACTGAAGTAACAGGCATGAAAACAAGTTCTATACAAAAAACAAACATTACTTGTCATTGTTATGAATATTTATTTCTTCTCAATATAAATAACATATCATATCTTTGTTCATGACTTTATACAAATTGTACATTGCGTTTACTGGGATGCTTTTTGTTACAGATTTTTCTTATTATGCACTTTCTTCAACGTTTGCTTCATGAAGACTGATAGTTCTCTGATATCTCAATCCATCAAAGAAAAAAAAAATAAAAGACAAAAGACAGAAATTTTGTCAAATGGCTTATATAACCACCTCAGACCACACGTAAGTCATGTGGTCTGGAAAAGCAGTTTTTTCAATTCAATGAAGAGTACAAAGGTTCCACTAAATTGTGAATATCTAAATGATTTTGTGACAATAGTGTTTTCACGGCTATACAAAATATGTGTCCACACAATGTTTAATGATTCGTGTATATCAACACCTGTAACAAACAGATCCCAGTCTACAGTATCTTTATCACAGCGAAATTTTTTTCAAAGCACAGGTAGTATGTTCAGCACTAATACAAACACTTCACTAACGAAATGTGGGAAGAAGTCTCTTGGTCCAGTGTGTTAACCATCCAGGAAAACTGTTTAATTCTTGTAAATTTGGCAGCAAAAACAGATGTATGCATCCATCTCGTCATATGTACAGAGTAACTTGCATATCACAGAAATCAATAATAAAATATTCATAACTTAAACAATGTAGTCTTGGAAACAATTTTTTTTTAGAAAAATTACTGTCTGAATATTCCATTGGTGTGTTGTTACCTGCATACACAATCAACACTCTTCCAGGGAAATGTCTACTTGACTCCAGGACTCCAAAATAAATAACTTCTATTGATGATTCAGTTGCCTGTCTATTACTTTCTAAGCAGATACTTAAATTCTGTTGGTAGTACCCCAAAAATAAACCCTGCAGTCTTAGATAAGGTTAGATGCTTTACTGGAAAAGTATTATACAAAACCTGGAGTCTTGGAGGAGGATAAATGTTTTACTTGAATAACCCTTGACAAAACTGGAATCCTTGAGTCCTGGAGCAAGATAGATATTTTACTGGAATAGCCCTTTTCAAAACCTCAAGTCCTGGCGTCGAAAATTTTCATTGCAAAATCAATGTATGTGGATTACTTAGGACGTGTAGACCTATCTGAAATTGATGTTGAAACTTCCATATCCTTCTATACATATTTCACATCAAGTTGACTATTGATATTGATAGAGTTTATATACAAAATGCACATAGTGATCCGATCTCCACTACATGTGCCACTTTCTCTGACTTTCAAAACAAGTGATTTGTATGATAAAACATATGTATAAAACACAGTTCAGGATACCACCATGATGTGATTGATCCCCAGATGTACGAATGTACATACCTTTTATTTTTTGTGACACCCACCATCTTTACAGGATTTCAAATGAGAAATTTATAAAATTTCTCATTAAAAACATTTCATGAAGGAGCACAGACCATCTAAACCTTTACTTCAAAAGAAATTAACACTAGAAAGTGACCCTTCAAATACATTTCAATTTTATAACTGAATATTTTGTTTTTCAGTCTCCTTTACAACACCAGCTCCAGAATTATCAGAAAGATACAAAGTCAGTGTTAAGAATATTGAGAACAATTTGAAGTGACAAGAGAGATGTTTTCCTAGTCTACAAAGAATCCTGATGGCCCAGATCACTCTCCTTGTTTTTCATCCACAACCTTCCTGTATATGTAAAAATGCGTTGATTGAAGGAAGATTTCCTTGTCTACAGCAGTGACAAATGAACACATCAAAATGGTGGTGCTTTCATGGAAATGTTGCTTCATTAATGCAATAAACTACAATGCATTGCCATGTCTATGAATACAGAAATCAACAATATGGAAGCTTAATAAATAAAACAATGAAAGACAATGGACTGATTGGTAGTTTTACCTTATAAATTCAGTGATATTTGGACTCAGATATTTTTGAGTCCTGGACTGTCTTAGAATTGAGACTCCTCAGTTCTTGAAAATGGTGTTCTGACTTAAAACATCCAATCAAAATTATTTAAATTACACATGTATAATTATGTACCAGTGGACAGCCATTTTACAATTCTCACCACTTTTCTACTACACTAAATGTATATTCCAGTGTATAAAGCCTATGAATAGTTAATTTCTTGTTAAATACACATCTCTTCTTCTGCATTCTTACAAAAGTTACGATAAAATTCTCTTTTTTTTTGTCTGGATTTTTTCTGATTGTGACGAAGAATACAATTTAAATGTTTTGTATCTCCTCTTTCCTCCCTCTCATTTGCTAATCCATTTCAGAAAAAAAATTACATTTTAGTTTCCACTCTTCTTTGTTGGATTTACAAGAACCTGATAGTCTCTACCTTAACTCTTTCAATTGCTTGTCATTAAAAACTTAAATTATAACTTATCTTTCTGCTCATGGGTATTTTTCTCTGAATCAGTTTAGTATTTCATCGCTTTGAACAACAAATTACATTATACATTTGATAAGTTAAAATAGAAGAATGAAGGAAAATACAAAATGATGTCAAAATTTTGTCAGATATATCAGGCTAGAACATGGAAAAGGCTTTAAATATATGATATATGCTGCTTTTCTCTGAAAATTCTTGTTAAATGACAGGATTTGTTCACATTGATAAAAACTTACAAACAGTATGTGAAAAAAGGCACAATATGATTTTTTATGTCTTAATTTTCAGATTTAGGTTTTTACTTTTAATAAAAGGTGAAAGACAGTACATAGCAAACTTACATAAGGGCCACTGTGTCGTAATCAGTATGAGTGAATCAGTTTTTCAGCACTGACAAATTAACACATCTTTTTCTGAAAAAGACATGACAATAAACAAAAGAAATGTGCTTTAAGCTTACAACTTGGATCAGTCCTACAGGTAAGCACCAGTAAATATATTTCTAAGAGACATATAACCAAGTCAACTAATAATATGTCTATTCTGTAAAGGATTCTTTTCAAATGGCTTTATTTGCACATTTTGAGGTAATCAAATTTCTATTGCCACACAGTTCTCTCCCTTTGTTCAACCTCTCCATGCTTTGGAGGATTTGTCTGTTATTTTAGGTTTGATCTTTGACCCCACTGGTTTATTTTTGGCTGTAGTTGTTGTGGTTGATGAGGTTCCTGATGACTTGTTGGTGGAGGTCGGTTTGTCTGCAAGTATACAAAACATCACATTAACTCAATGTATTTCTTGCTAACTACGTAATTTTATGAAACATCAGTAATTTCTTAATTCATTAGGAATTAAGAGCTCATATCAACAATATTATTTATCACTAAATTTTTGTTTTCATTTTGGTTTTGTTTTGTTTTTGTAATGTTGGAAAATTTACCCATACATAAGTTAGGACAATCACCATTAGATAAAATATTGAGATCATCTACTAAAATGAAATGTTATATTTACATGTTACTTTAATACCAGTGAAGGGCCAAACTAGACAAACTAAATTTTACTTTTGCCTCTTAAAAACCTAGTGAGACAAACCTAGGAGAGTATAATCACAACTTAGAATCAATTCTAAGTCCATGGAATAGTCATTGATATTTTCACAAAATTTTGACAGATGCTAAAATGAATTCCAAATGAATGTTTAGGTAACTGATGATGGAGAGCTAATATCCACTAAAGATTTACATCTAATATAACACAACTATGGCAGTCAGGAAACAAACAACTGTTAAAAACCAAACAGCCATTAACTATTAATATATCACACGGTCGTTAACAATGAGTTTATCACACACCAGATGGGTGAGGCAGACTTTACTCCCAATTACTAACTCTCTGTTACACAGTGATACAGTACAGCCTAGAATTGGGTCTTGCTACTATAACTGCATCTAACAAACGTCAAGAATTAATTAAACACTGAAATCATGATGTCATAAATGGTCAACTCTGTTAACAAAACTGATAATATATCACACACACTAAAATTATGTTGAAATGTTTGAGAAAATGTTTTCCTTTCCTTTCCTTCTTTTTTTCCTCCTCTCTTTTCAACAGATAATATTACTATATAAAGGCCATGAGAAAATCCATATTCAAATTGTTATATATCTTGCACTATTAAAAGCTACTTCACACCTAATATATGTGATCTGTGCTGAAATTGTTTTTTCAAACAAATTACAAGTCTATGACATGACATTTGTTAGGTTACACCACATAGGTGTGATTTCTCATTGTTTTATCTCTATCAAGTTACACACTTTCAAAATTATTCTTTGTAGCATGTTTCTTCTGAAAGGGTAGCACATCAGATGGGTAGCATGTATGATTTACTGGCCGAAGCCCTAAACAGTGAAAGGCCTTGAAAACAGGTCAGCTCTCGTTTGAATTTTTATTACATATACAGATATTGATAAATTGACAGTATTAGTCAAACAATACACTCAGAAATGGTGGCAGTTTGATGACTAATATGATAATTCCTATCTGAATGAAAATTGTATTTTTATGTGATCTTTCCAAATGAGTTCTATGTCAGTATATTGGTTGTTTTAATCTTCACACACATCTATTACAAACATTTGTAATCTAGTACCTTGTTTTGATCAAACATATGAGCCTGAAACAGGAAGTTGTACAATTTGCCTTTTGATCAACTCCTTAATTTCTTCAAATCTTCCACAAAAAATTATCAAAAATTTCTATCAACAAATGTCAAACTTTACAATCATTGTTGTTACAGATTTTCTCTATCAAATCCTTCTGACTTCAGGACAACTTGATTAACAAGTGAAGTTCTTAAATGCATTAAAATGTGTTAGAAGATTTGCGAATATCAGATTTTCTTCACAAAATCATCAACGATGGTTGACTTACCTCTGACTGCAGGGATGCTGGATTTCTTTGACTTTGCAATAAGGTATGGATGGGTCGCAGTATTTCCAGATGTCTGGTTAGAAGCAGTCTTGGGTCTCTCTTTTGGTCTACAGTTAGAGACAGAAAAGAATATGATATACCTGCATAGGGTTAGTGCCCATGTATGACCCACAAATAGAAATTATTCTAAAAACATTTGGTATTAAGAATGTCAAGTGCAAAATTAACAGTCAAAATATATCAAACTGATAGCTGTAAAATGATAAAAAGATGTCTCCAATTTGGTTATATTGACTTGTGAAAATGTTCACTAAGCACTGCTTATCTTCCCTTGTGAAAGGCCTGTCTATAGCACATAAAAACTGCCATTTCTAGAAAGTGTCAAGTGACTTACCTTGTAGTAATCCTTGATGTCTGACCTTGGCTACTCTGACCTTGACCTTGAAGTGGTTTTAAGGCTCTGTGAATTAAATAATCCATTCCATATAAATACAAACTTGCCAACAATTAATACAATACATTGTGAGGTGTATCAGGAGTAAAAGATATCAAAACAAATTAAGATTAGAGAAAACATTATACTTCTAACCTCTGATCCATGTTTGTAGCATTAGGTCGCACATTGTTTTGGGAGTTAATACGTGACTGAGCTGCTGCTCCGGTCTGTGAGGGGACATTGCTGTACGAGGAAGGTGGTGCTGTATTTCCAGCTGGAGGTGGGGCTGACCTAGGTCTAGAGTCCACTGACATAGCAACTTCCTCTTCTCTAAGGTCAAAGGTTAAGAAAATTATGACTCAAAAGTATGCTTATATTTGTGCTTTCTTTTAACAATATCTTAATGACTTCAAAATTTCAAGAATTCATTCAATTTGGTGCCAACTCAATATATAACACCTTTAAAGGATACTGCTTGCGTTTACGTTCAATAGCTTTGAGTGTAGCGGAGCTGATCCTTGGATGGGAACTGGAAACACTGGACCTTGTCCCAGTCTGTCAACAGAAATCACACACAGATATAAATCTTTAAACATGATGATACACACAAATATATAAACTCTTAATGAGAAAAAGGCAGGATTACTAGAAGTTCAAGAAAATGGTTGTTTATGGAATATCGTAATGTTTACAATATTATATTTTTTACATATATTACTTATCACATAGGTACTTATACATGTGCACGCATAACAGGAAGCGGAAGTCCACACTGATGGAACATGAGGACAACACTGTAAACTCAATTTCTTCTGCCTCTACTTACACTTTCCCTCAGGCGCCGTTCCTCTTTTGCTTGGCGGGACTGGGCAATTAAACTCATCCTTTCCCAAACAGGAATTTCAAAGAAAATCTCATGAATATCCAACAAAGCTGCCTGCAGCTGTCATCAACCAAAAGGAAAAAAGAGTATAAATAACTCCTTCTGTATCTAATACTTCCAGAATTCCCGATATGTCCACAAGCTGACAGTCTGGTGTGATACTTTTCATTATCAAATTTAAATCTTAAATTTTCATCCTAACTAAATTTATGCTTTAAATTTTATGTTTAGTTAATAAAGAACCTTTTTTATTAATCACCTGTAAAGTTCTTTCACATTAATATGAAACAAATTGATATTCAACAAAACAGTGAAGTATTGAACTGATCACCAGCAGTGTTGAAATAATCTTTGATAATAATGGTCAATATGAAACAGGAGATAATCATCACATACACTTGATAAAACAATATACAGAAATCAATACTTTATATAGAGGATCTGGATTTACTATATGACAAATTACCACCTACATGGGTACTTACTTGGTAGTTGTAAGTATATCATATAGAGGGCTACCTTATAGCTGAATAATACATCAAAAGTGAATTACCTGAGCAATAATTCTGTCTAAGAGATGGCGGTCAGAATTAGAGAAATCTCCTCGTTTGATCGGTGTCTCTGCTTGGAACTGCCAGGCAAAATCTTTAGTATCCTATAAACAGAGGTGAATTTCTGATTATTTTATATATAGTACAAGGTATGTACAATGACATTGCAGACATGTATTAAGGGTATTCTGTACATCTATAAAACTTTTTAACCCTTTGAATGCTATATATTGAAGCTTCCCTAAACCCTTAACTGCATACAAGCTAAAAGATCTTAAACAGGATCACCATCAACTGTACTTCAGTTAACTTCCTTTAAAATGAAATGGCTTTAAATTAACCATTATATTTTGTCTACAGTGGTTTAAATTTTTCAGTCCACAGAAATATCTTGCAGTACTTCCACCTCTTACCTCTCTTACATCAGTGTTTGATTGTGTTCTCTGTTTCCTTGATTGTCAGGGCTAAATATTACTCAGTAGTGAAAAGAAATTCCAAATGGCAAACTTTTATTACCTTAGGATCTTCAATACTTTTTAGACTTGAATGAAAGGCAAACTAAACACAGGATCAATTTCTGACCTGTCATACTTGCAGAAAATTATCAACATGGATATCTTGAAAGACACACATGATCCTGTCATCTGTTTACCTTGATAGTTTTGAGGACCTCCTGGACTTTCTCTGTGCGTAGAAGTCTTCGTGTGAGGTAACCTTTCGCACAAGCTGACACTCGATCAAAACATCGCTTCAATTTGGCATTGGTTGCCTGCAGAGTATTAAGTAAAATGTTTGGTCAAGTATCAATATCCCTATCAGTGATTGTTCGAGTTTTATAACAGTTTTTCTTTCTTTATGCAACATACCAAAATTATACTGTTAGGAACTGTATATATATTTCAGCAGGAGGTATGAGTGCATTAAATATTGTAATATGAAGGAGTAATGAAAAACATTCTGCCTTGGATAGGGTCTGAACTAATGACCTCTCCCTCTCAAGGCAGGCTTATTTCCACTAGTCAAGACTAGTAAGATAATTTGTACATTAATAGCAAAATCATGCTTTGTAAAGTTATACCAAATAAAACATCAATATTATACATTTCTACAAGTTTCTGAAAGACCTTATTTTGTTTGCAATAGAAATGAAAGTTATCTTTCATCATTACTGGTTCATTTCTCTAAGGACTTGTGAGTAACATGATTTTATAACACAGAGTACTTACATAGTCAGGTACAATCACATGTTGGTCAGAAACTGGAAGGGACGGCTGTTTGACTGGTGACCTCAGCACTGGTTTGTGAACTTTAGGCGTGGGCGTAGAGTGATTGTTGAAAGTGAGGCTCTGTTTTGGTGTGGCTTTACTAAAGGTGCTGATATCGGAGCCATTATCTCTAGGATTGTAATACAGACTAGGACTAGGAACATACGAGTATTGGTGACTGGTATTAGCATCGTCATGAGGTGGAGATTGGTAGGACTCCCCCTGCTGGTCATGTGGATTAGACGATGCATACCGTGGATCTCTGATATTTTCCTGTGAATTATATGGAGGGCCTGGAAGTCTGTGTGGATTGTGCTGTGAATATTTTGGAGGTGGTGGATCTTGATGATGGATGGTATTAGAAGTCGGATGCTGCGTGGAAGGTTGTCTGAAATAGTTGGGATCTTGTATGTCTACTGGGTGATGGTAATTAGACTGGTGTACATACTTTGGCTGACCTGGGGCAGGTGCCTGGTGTGACACATTACCATAGGCATGTGTTGGACCTTGTGGATAACTGCCATGGTCTGGCAAATATGCTGCATTGTAGGGTGCATGGTCCTGCTGCGTGTGTCCAGACAGCAGATTCCTCCTTTGGACATACTGTTCCAGGTATGGGTAGCTTTGCTGGTGTGCTTGATATGCTGGATCTGGCTGCTGGGGGATGTTTGTGTGACTAGGAATGGGAGGCTGCTGAGGGTTCGGTTGCTGAGGATTGAGATGAGGTTGGTGATGAAGGTCAGGCTGAATATTAAATTGAGAGTATGACTGCGACTGTGTATTTAACTGTGGATGAGAATATGAATGTGAATCTGACTGCGAAAATGAATGTGAATTTGAAGTAGGCTGTGAATATGAATTAGAATGTGAATTTGACAGAATGTTTGGCTGCAGATGAGTTTGATGCTGTGGAGGATGGTCTGATTGTGAGTGACTCAGATTATTCCTGTTTTCTTGGGGCTGATGCCTGTAGGTTGTAGGTTGCTGCAACACATAATATTATAATAACATTATAATGTTTGTCATGCATAAGGCATATACATGTACACTGAATAAATGTTTGCACAAGTTCATCTTACATAATTTACTTTGCCTTAACAGTACTAACTGTTTTAAGATGATATCTTTTTCATAATTATTTAAACATAGTCTTCAAGTTTAGCAAAATTGTCATTAGAGCAAATTATTACATCTTATTGAATTTTGACCAAGACCTTAAAAAGCTTAATAGTTTAGCATAGACTGGAACAATCAGAAGTATTACAAGGCATGGAAAATCATTGAACCATTTTGTACGCTTCCTGGAACCTCCTAAGAGTGAGACAAACTATACCTGTTGGTTCCCAGGGAGACTGTTATAACTAGCCGAGTTTTTAGTGAGGAACTCTTCCTGTTCCTGGAGTTGATTTTGGTATTTCTCAATGTCTGTTTGTAACACCATTTGTTCACGTCGCTGATGGACAAACAACTCTTCAAGTTGTTGTTTCTGTTGTTCAATCAAATGACGGCGTAATTTGTCAAAGTGTTCTGCTTGTATCCTGAGCAGTTCTTCTTCATCAGCCTGACTCAAAGATTGCAGACTTGAGGTGAAAGACTGTATAGTGGAGCGTATATCAAACGGTGAACTTGGAGAACTCTTTTTGACATCAGAATGCTTTGGAACTTCAGTCGAATCAGCATCACCTTCCAATGAGTGACGTTGAACATGGTTCAAATATTTCTGGATGTGTTCAGCTTTTGCTTCCCTCTCTCCATCAGAATCTCCAGGTGCATTTTTAGAAGGTATAAATTCACTACCAGCATCCATATTAAGTTTACGTTGTACACCTTTGCTGCCAGATCTCTCAGCAGCCTTAGTGTTGGGTACTTGGCTATAGTAACCAGAATGTGTATGAGCCACTGGATGAGTCAGAATCGGTGGGGCATGCTGATAAGAAACAGGGTGGGATACTTCTTTCTTGGTATCCTGATGCAGCTCGTAAATTTTCTGTGAAACATGATCATGAGTGGGCCTCCCACTAATGTTGACCGGCATATTACCTCTGATGGTTGGACGACTCGATTCCTTTTCTAGTCTCTGTGTGTCATGGGTACCTTTTCCTGATTGAGGCCGTGATTGGGCAGCTATCCTAGGATCAACATTTGAAGCCCTAGTCTGTTGACCCTGAGTGGTAACAACATTTCTGACTCTTTCTGAAGACTGAGACTCATGGGAGTCATCCGGTCTCCCCGATATTCTCTCTCCTAGTAAATCCTGACTACCCTTTAGGGTACTAGTTTGTGACCCATCATCAGAGTTCTGAGATTTTATCAACAGCTGATCCACTTTAACTCTTGCACTTGCATTAGCAGGCCTACCAGGCATCTCCGTTCTTCCCTGGGGTTTCACACGGATCTCATTTTCCTTGTCTGAAGTGTTTATTTCACCTTCAATACTTTGTCCATATGTTTCAAAGGGCATGTTTTTTATCGGACAATCGACTGGAGTCTGGGGTGAATCTGCATCAGGACTGAGTGCAACTTTACTCAACATGGATTCTGAAGATGGGATGGTAACACGGACACTAGAAGGTAGAGTCCCACTATCTGATGTCCTACCCTGTTGAGTTTGACTGATCTGCCCCTGCTCATCAGAACCAAACTGTATACTATTTGTTGGGGTGACATCCAACTTCCGCACTGATATCTTATCTTCCAAAGATTGACTAGCACTGGTACTAATTTCTGTTACCAAAGGATCAAAATGCACTGTATTTTTCAACCCTTTGGGACTCATTCTACGGACTGGTGCACCTCCAGACTGACCTCCTTTTACTGAGCTTGTAGAGCTCCTTATTGAAGCAGCCGTGACACTGGCACGAGAGTGACTAATGTTACTACTGCCACTCGTGTTACTACCAAAGGATTGTTCCGCCGAGCTGGGAGTAGATGCTGGTGCACTGGAATCAGAAGTTTTTGGCGATGGTGTTTCTGTGCTTTTATGTATATCTGTCTGTGGTGAGATATTGTTTCGTCTACCACTAACTCGTTCAAAACTCTGTCGACTCTGAATTGAAGACTGTGCAGAAGAGGCAGCTTGTGAAGACTGAACAGACTGTCGTAATCTAGCAATATTTTCTTGAATTTCATTGCTTGACGTCGAGTTGAGGGTACTAAGTGTTTCCTCCATGTTCAACACTTTAGATAGCTTATCCAGTGTATGGCCTATATGTTGCTGTCGAACTGATGTGAAACGTAACCCATCAATCTCATGAGGTAGAGAGTTACATCCTTCCAATGACGGAAACTCAGAACTTGTTCCACTTCCTGTTGTTTCTGATTGTCCAGATGTTCGTCTATTTCTTGAACCTGTCTGTGAACTGTTCTGAATTTGTTCAGCTTCTTTTTTTGTACTACTAATTACTTGTTTCGTTGAATCAGATTCTGTCTTACCTTTTGATTTGGCACCAACATTCAATTTTTTACTATCAACTTTCTGATTCAGAACATGTTTATTATCCTGGACATTCCCTTGAGTGGAATCCTTGACAGATTTTTTATCATTAACACCAGCTTGATCTTTTTTGGTGTTTGAACTAGATGAAGACTGAGGTAAATCTGTATTAGACATGCTGTGGTCCTGTGACATTGAACCAATACCAGAGTTTTCCAGACTGCTGATATCATCCTTGCTATGTGAGCGACGGGTTGGAGGTGAAAAGTTGATACCTTCCGCACTAAGTGTTCGGAGATCAGGCTGAGAATTGGAGTAATGTCGAAGGGACAATTGTCTTAACTGCTGCTGCTCAGTCATTTGAGATGAAGGAGGTTTGGGTATTGCCAGAGCATTCACTCCTTGAATTTTGGCCAAATTTGGCAGAGAAGATAGCGAACTAGATCTTCTCAAAGTCTCAATGCTGTTCCCACTGCGAGTGACTGTTTTGGTTTTTGGAGATGCACTGCTCTTTTTCTGACGTTTGTCTGGCACTGGAATTGGAAGCTTTTGTTTTGATTTAATTGGCTCACTTTTGGGAATGTCTTTTTCTCCTTCAGAGTTAGTCCTACGTCTGCGTGTCTTTTTCAACACTGTCATTTCACTTTTTACTTCCTCGTCTGATTCTTGTGATCCTGAGCGATGACGTCGGCATGCTGTTGCAGGAATTTTAGACTTAACTTCCACTGGACGACTTGGCCTTTCAACTTTTGCTTTTACAGTTTGACCATCTACTGCTGGATTTACAGGAAGCTTTCTATGCTGCTGTGTTTTTGGAGTTATGTCCCTTGTTGGAATTTCTTGTTCCTCCAATTGCTTTGGTTCAGTCCATCTAGATGCTTTCTTTTCCTGAAACAGAAGAGATCACCAACTGTAAAATATATCAAATAACAACATCACATTGTGCTTTTGACAGTTAACATACATAAATCATAAGAAAACTGTAAATGAGATGTGTAATGTAGATGAACAGAGGACCTTGTATGAGTGGTCAAGTTGTACAGAATTAATTATACAAGTCTCATAACTTGATATGAAACCAGCCTTTCAATTTCAATTTACTGGACTGTCACTTAATCAATTGTGTGTGTGTGTGTGTGTGTGTGTGTGTGTGTGTGTGTGTGTGTGTGTGTGTGTGTGTGTGTGTGTGTGTGTGTGTGTGTGTGTGTGTGTGTGTGTGTGTGTGTGTGTGTGTGTGTGTGTGTGTGTGTGTGTGTGTGTGTGTGTGTGTGTGTGTGTGTGTGTGTGTGTGTGTGTGTGTGTGTGTGTGTGTGTGTGTGTGTGTGTGTGTGTGTGTGTGTGTGTGTGTGTGTGTGTGTGTGTGTGTGTGTGTGTGTGTTCATTAGAGCAGGGACACAAATATAATATTCTTTACATCACATAACTATTACTATTCTTTAGAAAACCAAAGATAAAATTAACACAATTTTGTTTCCCTAAAAGACAAGCACATTTTGAACCAATCAAAGCATTTTTCACTTCTGAGACAATCATTTAGCAATTCAATGTCTCATACAATATTTAGAGGATACCAGGGGTAGAATATTACTAAGCATAACTGAAGAGATGTATGTGATAAACAACATCATATATATTGATATTGCATTCTTAATTCACATATAAGCAATCATATGAATAAACATTTTTAAACCATAAATGTGAAATTGATACATATTACAGTTATCTCCCTTTATAAAATTTCCATTTCCCATCATGTTATTTATATATATTTCAAATATATATTTATATTTTCCCAATTATATTAGTAATAAATTATACATTCCCTAAAAACCTCATCATCTCCTCTTTGAAAGTATCTAAATTGCATTACAACTGTTTCAAATTTTATGACCCATATAGTGTGGAACTCTTTTAGAAAGATTTGTATTAGTAAGCAAACTGGTATATCCTTAATAAGTAAAGCAATTTGTTTTTGAACAACATATTGCAGTGTTAAAATTGGTAAAAAGAATAAAACATAACTTGTTTGAATTATACTAAATATATCATTGAAACAAAACCATCTATTTTACAAGTTGATAATTGTTTCACATGTTGTAAAGACTATACAACATTTGATATTTTCAAAAAGTATTTACACACATTGAAGAACCACGATAACAATAATTTCTGGTTACGATAAATACACACAAGTCTTGTTAGTACAGAAACTACTAGATATTAGATATAACCACCAACACACAAAGACCTCATCACATCCCCTTCATACTTAATGTAAGTCAGATAAAAATGGGATTGTAACTAGAGAGAGAAAGATCAAGAGTTTTCAGGATATATTTTGTGACTTCATAAAATACCATGTAGCTGCTATCCTATACAGGATAAGAAAATCAAAGTTGCCCAATTTTGAATAAATTTGTTATGAACAATATCTGAAAATGTTTTAAGCTGATAGTTTCTTCAATGAAAATTTGTATAAGTAATACGACAATAGCATTATTTATATGAAGAGACAAGGTACACAGAAATAGTCATTCAAGAATCAGTGGTTTGGCAAACAAATGATTATATATCATGGTCAAAGCATATCAAACTCCAACGCCCAGAAAATGAAACTCCACATCAATATATCAAAGAATACAGATCTACAGATATATAGAATATATAGAGATGATATATGTGTTGGATTTCACCTACAAGCAGTTTGGATAGACCAACAGTACGAGGAAGGCTGACCCGAGACTTTAAAGAATAACTTTTCTGAAAGTGTATAACAAAGTTTAAAATCAGAATATTAGATAAATAAGGTAATGTGATTTTTAATGATTAATGAAGTATTTGTTTAAAAAACATGTTTAATCTTGTGAGTTTATGATGAACATTGGTATAGATTTTATAATATTTCCTTTGTAGTATTAACCGAAATATATATCTCCCAGGTAAGTATGTGTAATGTGGCTGATCATTAAAATATAAAGGACCTCAACATGACCAATGTCAAGGTCAAAAGGGTCATATGTCTTTAAGCAGTTGTGATTAACATCGAAAATAAGGTACATTCAAAATATTTCAGTCTCGTCAATATTTTCCATTACCGTTTTGATAGATAATAATACCATTGATTGTCCTTGACCAATTTTTGGCATTAGTAATTATAAGGCACAAAATGTTGGGATTTGTTTAAAGAAAAATTATAATACCATTATTAAATCAACAGACTTATTTTGTCAGTTTATTTCAATTAAAGTGTATAATAAGGTGCAATAGTTCACATGACAATTAAACCACTTATTACGATCGATCAGTACATGAAATGAGTAATTTTACTTACAGAAAATCAATTATGATTTTGAAACTGCATAGTACATTATAAATACAAAGTCAATAAACATCAATTTGTATACCAGTATGATATATTTGTAACTCTCAACTGGTTTTTAAAATTTGTCTATCTTATATAAAAAAAAAACATCAAATGAATAAGAAAATGTTCTGTTAAAGAGTCCTTGATTTTACATACCTCTACATCCTTTACTAAAGAGCTCAGGCGCACATTCATCTGTTCTCGCTGGCGTGTCTTACGCTTGTAATCATGACGCATGGCTTGTCTTTTGTATTCCTGCATTTCTTCACGTCGACGCGCCGTCAACTGAAATATTTACATTTATTTTATCAGACCACAGTTGGGTCACCGTATCCTTCATTTTATTTTCTGCATACTGAATACATGAAATATTTTGTTACATACTTAAGAAATACAGAAACAAGTTTACAAATCTTCTATTTAAATCATCGTATCAAGGTTACCTACAGACAATGATGGCACTTTTTTCTTCATACAGATACTGAAATGCACCTATCAAATGAAGTTGTTTTTATCTATGCACCCATCGCTTCTTTTCTTTTTCTTTTTGCACATATGATATCAAATTAATCTTTTATCATTTTTACATGTATCAATTTATCTTTATTTTCTACATCTTACAAACAGGCAATGAGACAAGAATAGATATACATTTCCAATGAACAAAGTGATAAGTAGAACATATTGATACCGAGTAGAGAAGTAATAATGGATGCTGACAATCACTTCTCATTGTACCTAGACTTAATCACATCTCTACTTATTATATAAGTTATATAAGCATCTAACAAACAGTCACTAATTAAGATCCAGGCAGAGTAGTGAACAATTGTATTGCAGTAACAATACTTCTGGGACCCATGCATCGTACATATCTATTGAATAGCCAGTATTATGAAATATTTATACAGCCTACTGGTATTACCATAACTGTACATTAAACTAAAAACTGTAGAATATACCTATCATAGAGAAGAATTACCACAGGTGGTATATATATATATAGAATGGGGATGGTACAGGTATACATAGAGACTTACCACAGGTGGCAGTATGGGGGTGGTACAGGTATACATAGAGACTTACCACAGGTGGTAGTATAGGGGTGGTATAGATATACATAGAGACTTACCACAGGTGGTAGTATGGGGGTGGCATAGGTATACATAGAGACTTAACACAGGTGGCAGTATGGGGGTGGTATAGATATACATAGTGGCTTACAACAGGTGGCAGTATGGGGGTAGTATAGGTATACATAGTGGCTTACAACACTTGGCAGTATGGGAGTGGTATAGGTATACATAGTGGCTTACAACAGGTGGCAGTATGGGGGTGGCATAGGTATACATAATGACTTAACACAGGTGGCAGTATGGGAGTGGTATAGGTATACATAGTGACTTAACACAGGTGGCAGTATGGGAGTGGTATAGGTATACATAGTAACTTACCACAGGTGGCAGTATGGGAGTGGTATAGGTATACATAGTAACTTACCACAGGTGGCAGTATGGGGGTGGCATAGGTATACATAGTAACTTACCACAGGTGGCAGTATGGGGGTTGTATAGGTATACATAGTGACTTAACACAGGTGGCAGTATGGGAGTGGTATAGGTATACATAGTAACTTACCACAGGTGGCAGTATGGGGGTGGCATAGGTATACATAATGACTTACCACAGGTGGCAGTATGGGGGTGACATAGGTATACATAGTGACTTACCACAGGTGGCAGTATTGGGGTGGTATAGGTATACATAGTGACTTACCACAGGTGGCAGTATGGGGGTGGCATAGGTATACATAGTGACTTACCACAGGTGGCAGTATGGGGATGGGGTGATACAGGTATACATAGTGACTTACCACAGGTGGCAGGATGGGGATGCCATTAAATGTTATACAGGAGATGAAGTTTGGGTTATACATGGCAGCTGATGTTTGAATGGTTGGGGCCATACTGTCTAACACACGGGCTCGCTCCTCAAAGTATTCCAGTAGGTCACCCATCATACATGGCAGTAAGTCCTACAAAATAACAATAAAGTTGGGTTGTATTTATAGCTTAAACTACACAATCTTACCAAACCTTAATACCATTCACAGATGAGTTAAAGGCCTGCAGACACTTAAAATATTAAACATACTTATTTTAGTATGATCAAACTTCAGTGCATTATAAAATTATCACTTTTTGGTAAATTAGTGCAATGATTATTAAGTGCATCTAATATGATCACAACATTTAGAAATCACAATTTTCATAAGATTACTCTAAGGAGAAGGAGGTCTACAATAAAGTCAATTAGTTCACCTTTTCTGGGGAATAGAGTTCATTCCTGATATAATTATAAAGGTACATTCTTCACAATACAGTAAAACTATACCACATACAAGAATGGTATGTTATATTCCTGAGTTAGTTGTACATACATATAGATATAGGTACACAGTGGTGTCACTACTACCTGAGTACAACGATGTTCTTACCGCTACAGAGCACACCAATAAGAAAGTTAATTTCAATAACAAGACATGAATACTACTAAACAGCATAAGAGACCCCTGGGCTTATTACCAAGCAGAAGCGTTTGTACATGGTACATGCACCTATATACGTCTTACATCATATTTTATATTCTATCCACACATGTGATATTCATTTAATTTAAAAGAAAAAACATGTCTTTGCAATATACATTTGATGCCAATGAAAATACTTAATTATCATTATAATACAATTACTATCAATATTCTATAATATATTTGAATTCATTACACTCTGATAAAAATCTCCCTGAAGTGTGATTAATTGAAGTGATTTGTTGCTATGTGATAAATCATAATGTTTACTGATTACATGTACACAATCTATTCCCACATCAACAAAGAAGTCAATCACCGATTTATAAATGATTAATCTGTGTGTAGGACAGGTGCCAAAATTACCAAACTAATCATTGATTCAAACATTATGTAGGCTTGTAACTTCTGTTGTGTTTATATTTTGAGTCAGTGACCTTATTCTGTACACATAAAAATGTAGGCTAAATTATTATTTCTGTATGTTCACAACTTTGTCAGACCAAAAACTTCAAAGAGTACAACAAAATCAGAGTTGTATAACTTCACTATCCTAATGCTTAGGACAAGTAGCATTTATATCTTTGCTACCTTATATTTATTACACATTATGTGAGTATTGCGTAGTCTTGAAAATTAAGATTGTAGATCATTATATCCCACATACAGCTTGGACCTGTCGGTGGAAACGTGAAATCCAAGTTAAGCTCCTGGTAATTCACTACAGGTCACAAGTATCAATCTAATCTAATCAGCAACTTTTTGAAAATATGTATTTACTGTATAATTTCAAAATTTCAAACTATCTTTTTCTGTGGTACTTCTTCAAAATGCAAAATGTTCTTTTCAAAGACATTGATCTAAATCATACAAATCGTTGTAAATTTAATTTTCAAAATCTCTAAAAATTAAATAAAAAATGAAATGAGAATAATTAATGTTAATTGTTAATAATTAATTTTGCAACTTGTCAGGTGCTGAAAAAAATTGGTCTCATATTATTGTCAAAGCTGAGATTTATTTAAAAATTGGTACATTTCCAAAATGGAAAATGTATATATATATATATCTTGCTCCAGTAAACCTGTACACACATCAAATAAACACAATCTCTCAATCACGTCCCTTGAATCCAAATGTATTGTGAAAATATTGTCAATGCTGATCAATAGAAGGACAGACCGGTATATATTACTGTTATTATATGTGTGAGATATCATATCTACAGTTGTGGTCAATATTGGAGCCAGAAAACCACCTCCTGCCTTGTACACACACAGTACATATTATATAGATGCAATGACGGTGCAGGGATCAGGACCTGGTACCATTTAGATATATTTTACACATGTTCCATCAATACTAAGTATATATCTCTCTACTAGATAAGACCAGAGTGCCAACATAAGCCTTTTGAAAACAGTGTTAATGAGCACTAAGCTGCTATTTTTAAAGTCCCAAAGTTTACTGTCTAATTACACAATAACAACCATGTACTGGATGTAACCCTAAGTTCACTAATCTGTATAATCTGTCATTATAGGAGATGGGTCGAGCCATGCCTAGTGCCTTACAATAACTTTGAGAAGATTTTTCTAGAAAATATACTGGCATCCACAATATTATTATTAATACATCATTTTCACCTGTGCTTTAGCAACAAGAGAAATAATTTCATCATAATACAAATCATAAAACTTGCATATTTTCTGCTCATGTTTTATTTTTAAAACATTCCATATATATACTTCGACAGTACTTTATTTCTTTGAAGTTTCTTTGGTTTATGCAAATAAAAAGTTTATCAAGAATATATTTCAAAAGACAACAACTTTCTCACCGTGCTATAATATCAGAGATTGTGTGCTATAATATAAGAGATTGTGTGCTATAATATCAGAGATTGTTCTCGGCCATTACAAGCCCATCAAAATGATACATTGTATTTTGGTGACTATACCAAGGAGATTAGCCAGCTGGCCTGTAGCTTGGTTTAAAGATGACAGAGCTACTGTTGGATCTTAAATGTTTTTATGATGCCCATTAGTCAAAACTAAACAGACAGTACTTGTATATATCATTTGATAAGAGTTTTTACAGATCTTGTGGTTAAGAATATATCCTTTATTTTGATATAAAAAATGTCTTTGATATTTGTATGTATCACTGAATACAGAATAATTCTACATACATACTGTTGCAAATGTTCTAAGGTAGGAAAACATATTGACAAATAACTATGAAATAAGCCTATAGTAATTAAAATTTCTGCAAAAGAAAGTTTACATGTAATTCAGGGACAACAAAAAAAATGTTTTGGTACATCTAGTTGCAGTAGTGTTTATGTAAATCATTGTAAAGTATACCATCACATATAAGTATTGATTGTCTAATTCAGTCATTCAACATATATATATATATATACAGAAAGAGAGACAGATAACATTATAACATTAAGACATCTATACATGTATACAATTTTACTTACAGGACGAGGCACTGATGTGTCTTTTGAGATAAACCTGAGGACTTTTTCCTTTGGAGTGTTGAGACCCATCATGTATGACAACTATATATATGTATCCTTGCTTGATTCAGGATTAAAAGGAGAATTGTACTCTGATATCTACAACCACAGGAAAAACAGGTACCCTCATGGAAGTTGTCTGATTAGTATTCCAATGGAATTAAAAAAAAAAAATCAGCAGTTAACATCTATATTGTGTTACTAACTATCACTCTTAACACAATTCCATATGTCAAATTAATTCACAAGTCTTTGTCATAAAAATATACCATGCACTTTCTCTTTTGAGAATATTTCACATTGAAAATGTCAAAAGTTATAAACTTCTAAAATTAAAATATTTTTATCCAGATATTGGAGAGCTGACGTTATTCTTCTGATTCAGAGGTAAACACATAACTGTTGTGATATCCGATGTTCCTAACTAGTTCAAGTTGTAAAGTTAAATAGCCAATTAGTCTACGGAACAAGTGTATTTATAGCTTATATCTATCATGTATTGGTGCCAAAACTCACAATGTCCTGCTCTCGTCATTGGTTTAATCTCAGATTAAATATCAAAACATGTAGCTAATACACACAGTATGTGTGTTAATCATGAGACACCTATATGTAAACAGACTCACATATATACTGTATATCCCAGTCAGACAAAGAAGTGACACCACAAAACACCTATTTATTTCATAAAAATTCACACCCTCTGTTGCCCAACAAGGAAAGAGATTAACATTTTGGTATACTTGCAACTGTTGTTTTGACTTCTAAATTGACCTCAAACTGAAAGACATTTCTACATTAAATAGTGACTTCAAACTTTCCATCTTCAGATGATAAAACCAGAGTAGATGACACACAAACAATATGCTAGGTCCATGTGCAACATAATGATATTGCTGTATCCCATTACCCACTCATGAAACCCTTTCTGAGATTCCAGAAGAATCTTGGCTTCAACACTGTATGATCTTAAAGTTGATCTTTTCTAAATCTCTCCAAATGTCCTTCTTAATCACTTGATAACAAAGGAATCTTATTAATGAAACCTAAGGAAGAATCTAACAAGAATTTCTTTCAAACTTCAACTCTAAAAATAAACAAGAGATCCCAGAGGGATTTTGGTGCCCACCATTACTTGATCTTCATTTGTCCTTTAAGCATTGGATCTTTTCCCTTCTTTTTTTGTCTCTTTTCTGTTTTTGCTCTCAATGATAAGAAATTTGAACATTAATCCTTTGCAGAAATAGCAATAATAATCTTTAACTGCCAAATCCAAGATGGTCAGTTGGAAGCCATTTTGTTTTTCTGAGCAGTCCCAAAATCAAACAGACACAGCTAGGGATTAGGAGAACCTACATATGAAATTTAAGAAAGACCTATACAGTTGTTCTAAAGAAATATCAATAACAAACTTTCAAAGTGAAAGTCCAAGATTGCCACCTGTCAGCCATTTTGTTTTTCTGATCAGTTCCAAATGTAAGATACAACTAGGGGACAAGGGGAACTTACAAAAGAAATATGAGAAAGATCTATTATTTTGTTTTTCTGGTCAGACCCAAAATCAAATGTGTACATCTCAAGAAATAGCGATAACAAATATTGATTATGGACAGGCCAACTGACCGACTATGGACATAGAGCCATTTGTATAGCTCACCATCTGATGATAGTGAGCTAAACAAGATGGCCTCTGGTCAGCCATGTTGTCTTTTAATGCAGATACAAAATTGAGAAGTCACAGCTTGGGACCAAGGCATCAAGTTTGAGAGATATCTTTCCAGTACATATGAAAAAAGAGCAAAAAAAAAAACTTCCAAGTATCAAAATCCAATATTGTCAGCTGCTAGCCATTTCGTTTCACTGATTATGATCATGGTCTCAAACTTAAATAGGAACAGAAACAGACGATGGGAAGGGAAGTCTGACCATAAACATTGAGTTTGAGATTTATCCTTCTAGTACTTCATGGAAAAGCAATACAAACTTCAGCGGTCAAAATCCAAGATGGCTGCTAAGTTTATAAATTTATGCATTGATCAGTGTTTGAACTTTATATGTATACATTGATCATTTTGATGATGAACACTATTTTCAATCAAAGCACTCTGCAACCTGTTATTTAAAAACATAGTACCAATCAACCATTCAACATCATGGTGCTCAGAATATATATAGTTATATGTTCATGACATTTTTTCTCTGTCCTCAGTTCTACAACAGAAACTTGAGTTATGATTGATAATGATTAGAAAAAAACAACAAACTGCAAACATTCCATTCAGTGTGTCAGTATATCACAGCTCCAAACATCATACCTTGATTTGTTGTGGTGTATAATTGTGCTGTGGATTATGAAGATCCATATTGGTTTATCTGTCGTCAAATAAAATCAAAGTTATGTTTCTTATGATGACAGACTTAGACTATCAATTGAATTGGTATAACAATAATTATCACTTAAAATGAATCATATTACACCTTTTGTATTCGGAGCTGAACTGAAGACCACCCACTTCTATTATATACTCCATTTTGACATGCTATCTACTTTTAACGATGTGCAGTGGAAGTTTTCATGCCAATACAAATTCCTACCAAAAATCAAGCAACAAATTAACAAAAATGTTCTTTTACCGGGGCGATGGAAGGGGCTATCAACCTTGAGCTCATGACAGTTGAAAGAACATAACAATTTAATCTACACTGCAATAAAGACGACAACTTCATCTTAATCACCATAATATTGTGTCTACCCTATTAGGAGAATCTTTATTGAATCCTACAAGGTAGCCATCCAAGAAAATAACCACTTTCTGAAAATGATAGAAGTTCCCTTTTTGTACCCCTTTTTACCTCTTGTTAATTTTAAATTTTGCAAATCATCTTTTTATTTTTTTCCACAAAGTTAATGATCAGAGGTATCAATTAAGAGTCTACCATTCAAAATAGAAAAGCAATCAATCATATCCAAATACATTGCAATTATAATTTATGAACTTTTAAAATGTATTTCATATTTATTTTATTATTCTGTAATGAACCCACGGGCCAACACAAACTGGTTCTTACTTAAAGCTAGGGAGTAGGTATGTATATATTACAGGGATGTAAAATAACGTTCCTTTATAAATTCATTGAACAGCAAAATATATGGGTTAGATTATCAACAGGCATGGACTTATTGCCATGTAAATTAAAAAAATATCATTTTATCTTTGATTACATTTAATTTTCATTCTACCAACAGTTTTCAACCAGATGGGAGTGTAACAGGCTATAAATGCCCATCTAGTCAAGTGTATGAATACACATTCGGTGGTCAAGCTGAGACGTACACCAAAAAGTAATCCTGGTAGATATAATGTAATATTTACATTCTGTGCTACATTCGCCTACATTTCATTAATATGCCAAATTGTTGTATATGAGGCAGCATACTAAAATGTAGAGCAATTCAGTTGGTATTGGAATTAATAAATCAAGATGTCTCCTAGGTAATCAAAACTGGCCACCAATCACTTTAATTTCAGTATCAATATTTATACAGTAATTTGTTGACTGACATATACAAAACTGTTGGACTTAAGGAAGACCTTCACAAAAAATAAGTAACTTTACAAAGCTATCAAATTATAGCAGAACAATTTTTTTGTAAAACATGTGAATTTGCCACTAAATCATTATTATCACCATAACATACTAGATTACCAAGTGTTCATCTGACTGGCCAAACTGTAAATGTAGAATCTGTTACAAACAAAATGCCGTCAGTTACTGACAGGATTGACTTCCATTTATGATTTGTTTTATATGTATACTACGATTACATTGATTCAGCTGGTGTTGTAATTAATAAATCTAAATGTCAATGCGGTATCAATAAACTGTGTACTGCCATCTACAAAGTTGTTGGACTAAAATCTATCAAATTATAATATCCTGTAGAACAAATTTATTGCAAAACATGTAATTTGGCCACAAGTTCATTGTTATTGCCATAACATACTTGATTACCGAGTTTGTCAACTTCCTTTGCTACGGTACAAACTGACAGTCCAAATTTCAAATGTAGAATCTGTTTCAAACAGAATGTTGTCACTTACTGACAGGATCAACTTTCATTTATAATTTCTGTGGTAATTCTGTTTTGAAAATGATATCAATCCACTCCATGACACAATAACGTAAATAATTCCCGTAGAAACACTAGACACATAATTCTGTGAAATCTAACTGAGAGCCACATCAGTTTTTAATGCAATATCAACACACAATTTTATTTCAAATGAACAAAAAAAAAAAAAACATTAGAAAATAATGTAATTACTGAAATTATTACGAGAGTTTACACTCAATAATCAAGTTAAATTTGTGACTACACCACTTCATATCATTGCAATTTATGATGATATGAGGAACTATATTGTTACAGCTGTTCTTTGATTTAGACTTGCTGACATCAGTATTTGCTTAATTAAAACCCTGATAACATCAGTAAAAACAAATGTCAAACATGTTAACTAAACAACCATGTAATTAGTGATCACCAAAAATTTCAATATATAATATGATAATACAATTCCAGTGAGTAGCTAGAGATCTAGAATTGCCAACAAGTGTATTATTACACAAAATATTCAGATAACAGATACTTGTAACCAGTTTACAATTTCACAAGCTACCTATATAGAATATCTCTTTCTGTAACTCTAGAGTCTAGATAAAAGTACCTGGCTGTCAAGTAGGCTAGGTAGCTAGATCATTTATATTTTTTGCAATGTCTATAAAATGACCACCACATGCCCCTTACCACTGAAAAGGACAAACACTGCTACTGTGTATCACAATAAAAATACATTTAAAGATTGATATTCTACATAAAAGGGATCCTAATGTCACCACATGATGGTCCTAGAAGGGAACTTCTATAGAGCAATAGCAAAGACTCAATTACAATCACCACCATGGAGAAGATTTATATAGGATAAGTCTGTTATCGAATCCCTTTATATATATATATAACAAAATTTGTTGAAATGAAAAATCAATTACAACGGACATCAATCTGTCAAAACCAGACCTAGAAAACAAAGATTCAAAATAATGTATGATACAAGCGCATTTCATAACATTCATTTGAAAATTCGTAACATTCAATATTAACATCATCATATATATGGCCTATAGCATGTACCTGTTCAACACTGCAGCACATGTGCATGTCTGGTTACATCGCAATTTTGGCGAACAAGTTCGTACACGACGGTTATTTCTTACCTATTTCCACAAAGGAACGGATTACGCTATTTAAAATGTCCTTGATTTACGATTATAAAGATTCGCACACATCTATTGCTCTTCAAAACCATCCTACACATGTTTTGTTCCTCTTGAACAGTTCAAACTTGATGAGACGTCGACTTCGGAACTTCTCGCCCGCCATTTTATAACAAACCGATGTTTAGGTTTTCCGAATCTGTCGCAAGACAACATTTTTGATTGGCTTAATATATTTGAACCTGTCCAATAATAATTGTCGTTTTATTTATGTATCATTGTCACATGATGCAGTGCATGGCGGAACAGAATATGTAAACAACTGCTGTGGAAACTGAAAGTAGAGAATATTTTGTAATTGAGACATGCCGTGTACCATGAATTCATGCGTTAGACTATGATATCAAGTTGACATGTAAGTTTCATCTTCTGATTAATCTTCAGCCAGTGGCTGTAAACAATTTGATTAGCGTAAGACTAAGAAAGTACATGACATTCAATAACTGCATTAACTATTAGTATCATGAAGCAAGTATACACTGTAGAAATTAATATGTTCCATATGTTTAGATTTCCCTTGAGCCTTAGTTGTGTCCTAATGATTTTTGGTCTGATCAGAAAAACAAAATGGTTGACGGACAACCATCTTGGAGTTTGACAATAGAAGATTGTTGTCTCTATTTCTTGATAAATACAGGATGCATCTTTCTTGTATTTCATGTTTAGTTTCAGCCTTGTCCATTTTTGGAATGATCAGAAAAAACTGAATGGCTGAAGTGACTACCTTTGATTTTGAAAATGAACATTTGTTAAAGCTAGTATTGAATGGATCTTTCTATACTTTCAGATGAATTTTATTGGGATTCTAGGGTGTACATTTTATTTTGGGACAGATAAGAAAAGCAACATGCATGGTTGATAGGTGGCCATCTTGGATCTTGACAGTGAAAATTTGTAAATGATATGCCCTTGATCTCTAGATATAGTTATTTTGATTTTAAGACTGATCATTAAAACAAAATAGTTGACAGGCAGCCATCTTAGAATTCGACATTGATGGTTATGGGAAATACTGGATAGGTTTTTCTCAGATTCTGTATGCAACGCTTATATTATATATTAATGACTCTTGTTGTGTAGATTAGTGATGCACACAAGTCTTTGACTGTGGGAGGAGGCTAGAGTACCCAAGGAAAACCCACAAGGCCAAGCATGTTGCCCCATTTTCTCGTCCAATTTGTCAGCTATTTGAAAGGAGAGTGCATTACCACTGTATCACCCAAATTTATCGTTATCTTTGGTTTATTCTTTATTTTTTTTACATAGATGCATGCAATTATTAAAAAAAATAACAGGAAATACTTGTTTTTTCTGTAGAGTTTTACATTTCATCTGAATTTCCCATTTTCTGTCTTTCTGATATCTTTATCCTTTTTTCTATGTGTACTTTTTCAGGTGACATAAACAAGCTTAATAAAGCAGACATTTCACATGAAGAATCACAAGTACAGATAGAGACCTGTGGTGTACTGTTTAGAAAATAGAGAAAGCATTCTACAATGAATGCCATTATATCGCTGTGTCACTTCTGTGAACTACATGGTCCACAAGTTCTGTTTTGTACCCAGCCAAACCATCCCCAGGAGTTGGGGAGTGGGGACAGTGTTGTAGGTGTGGCTGAGGAACACTACAACACCATGCAGCTACTACTGTCTCGTACACAGGGAGAAGGTGGAGCACAGGGGCTCAAGTCACCTGTCACTGAACCCAGTACACCTACTCCTTCATTTGCCAACCACTGTGAGGTAAGTCAATAATAATCCTGGTAATGACATTGTTATATCCCAATACTTCCAGCTTTACAATATGAGGTGAAAGGTGAGAAATTTATAAATGTGTAAACTATCAATATATAATTATCATGGTAGTTTGTGCAGATTGATTATGATCTGACGCTTTTATAGATCAGAAATGGTAAAATGCTACATAAATTTCAGTTTGCCTGTAGAAAAACTACTAAAGAGGGTAAAACTGTTTTGTATTAAATTTTCTCTAATCCAGGGTTGTTATTCTGTAAAGCCTGGTTTTGTGAGTCACGATGATGATGTAAAGGTCAGCTATGTAAGCAGTCGACAGCCTCACAACCGAGAGGTGTTCAGCATGATCCGACAAGCCTGTTTACGAAGCCTTAGTGGTGAGGTAAGTCATCAGTTTGTTGTAGGGTTTTGTTGTGTTAATGGAAAACAGGGAATTGTTACTGGCAATCGCAGGGGTCTTCTTACTGGTAATCAAAAGGGCTTGATTTATGATACTGACGGTCACAGGGGCTTGATGTGTGTTACTGGTAATCAATGGCTTGGCTTGTGTTACAGGTAATCACAGGGGCTTGTTACAGGTAATCAAAGAGGCTTGATATATGTTACTAATAATCACAGGTCTTGTTATTAGTAAGGACATGGGTTTGTAACTGGTAATCACAGGGGCTTGGTTGGTTTGTTATGAAGTGGTAGATGTATTTGTGTTTGTTGTTGAGAGACAAGTTATGTTGATCACAGGGGCTCGGTCTGTTTTAAGGAGGTACCATTTTTTCAGGATCATAAATCACACTGGTATTTAAGCTGTAGGACCAGTTTTAAGTTTTTTTTTTATTTGGTCCACATATATGCTGTACGCTTTCTTACGATGTGGTGATTATTGTTGATGTTTGACATACCGGAAAGATAATGGAAGGCAGTTCTTATGAAGTGGTATCCATTATGTTGACCAAAGTTTATCAAGGTTATCAGTGAAATATTTAATAAAGTTTGCAAATGAACTATACACAGACAATCCTTTATTTTATTGACATATTTCAAAAAACGTAGAATTCTTATAGTCCCATATCATTTCTTCTTTTAAGTTACACGAAGCCATTCATATTGTAAACTAGCATGGCGATTGTTCTAGAATTTGACCTATAACCCAATGACTTATCAATCCCAGGATGCAAAAGGCTATTGTAAACTTCCACGATTGCTTTGAAGTAACCACGAAAGTCAAGAAGATATTATTGTGATTCATATTAAAAGACATTATTAATTTAATCCATGGAGATTGATATTTTTATTTCAACCTTCAAATCATCCTCAAATGACTGCAAATGAAGGTTCAAGAGGATCTGTTTCAGTTACAAACACCTGACAACAGGTACTCGTAAAATAATCAGTATTGTCTGGATACTGTCTCGTACTGGTATACTGATATCCTTCCTAGTTTATTTTTCATCCTGCCAATCATTTTTTTTCTTTCACATATAAGCTGCAAGAATACATAAGCTGCATACCTGACTCCTGAGGGAAAAAATATGCAGCTTATTATCTAGAAAATATGGTAACTGATACTGATCACAGAAGGTTTGTTAGGGTAAGATAACTCATATATGGTTTTAGTCTTTGCATGGTTCTTTTTCAAACTAACTTAACTTTGAAAAAAATATCTGATTTTGATCTGTAATTTCCAGGTTTGTCCAGGCACTGAAGGACCTATATTTTTTGGGAATGACCAACAAGGGCATGTGATATCCTACTCCTTCCACATAAGAGACTTCCAGGCTCGAGGGTTTCAGAGACGATACAGCATAATTATTGTTATGATGGATAAAATTTATTTATTGAATTCCTGGCCATTTCTGGTGAAAAATCTCAAAATAGTAGTTGAACACTTACAAGAGAAAGCTCAGAAAGTTTATGATGTTGAGCAAGCTAAAAGTCCCAAAGAACCTAACAAACTTGTGTCATTTCATATAAATCCGAAACCAGCTCGTTCACTTATGGAGTTAACAGAAGACAGAAACATTTTCAAGATTCTCCATGTTTCATTTGTGTGGATACTTAAGGCATGTGGGAATCGTATCACAGAATCACTTCTAGAGGGGCCTCCAACAGAGGACTCCATTATAGACATGGAGAAACAAGAAGGTATGCACTTCTCTCATCAAACAGGATAGTTATCTCAATTCCTTATATGTTAGGATAATCTTTAAATGCTTGCAATGATTGGATGGCATATAAACTTGCAAGCTATTTAGTCTACCAGTATTAGATGGTTGGCTAAACTTTAAATCATGTTTGTCTTATCGTCCATCCTTCCAAGATCTCTTTTTTGAAATTTCTGTTTGAGAGCTTTTTCACATTCAGATTTTCCAGCTATAGAAAACTACTTTTAAAATCATATTTGAAAAAAAATTCAATTTGTAATTTCCAATATAGTGCCTTTTATATAATGTAAATGTAAAGAGATGTTTGATAAAATATCTTTCCAAATAAGAAATAAAAAACTTGCGTCATAGGATTTTGGAAAACCAGGTTCTTGTGCTATACTGATGTAGAAAATTGTATTTAGACAATGACAGCAGCAACTCTGGTTTGTCGTGAGTTATGGAAGTGAGTTATGGAATAGTCCTTGTTTTTACAATAAGGAGGATATTAATATTGGTGTATTTTAAGCAGACTGAAGGAAGCTTCCTGATATTGTTAGGACAACAGCGTGTTATTTAGAATAAATATAATTCAGTATTCTGTATTTGTCTATTTTAAACAGAGACTGAAGAAGGCTTCATCAAATTGTTTAAGAAGAGTGATACAGAGGAGGATGAAGAAGAGGAGAAGGTGACAGAGAAAGAGGAAGAAGAAGAACAGGAAGAATCATCATCAGTGTCTGCTGTACAGAACATCAGATATCTACTGAGGGTTTGTATTATAATAGTGAATAGTTGCAAATATATTTATATACAAATTTCTTCAAGGGTAGGGGGCTAGAAAACCAAAACCTTGATATACCTTATGTTGCAGGTAATAAGTAGGGTCTTGTACTGGTGAACTGGTATGCTTCCTGTTTTGGGGAGGGGGGAGGGTTTTATTTATCATCTTGCCAATTTTGTTTTTTTTTTCGTCCACATATAAGCTGCACACCTACTCACGAGGAAAAATAATGCAGCGTATAGTCCGAAAAATATGGTACTGCAATTTTCTATAATTGAAGGGAGAAAATTACCAAAATCTTCAAAAAACACATTTTTTGTTGGGGCTCAAACAAAATCTTTTTGATGGACAGCACTTTTTGTGGGAGCTAGACAACCAAGCTCTTATATATACCACAGGTTTTGTGTGGGCTAGAAAATGAAAATTTTGATTTACCACAGTTCTTGTTGGAGCTAGAAAACCAAAATCATAATATACCACAGGTTTTGTGTGGGTTAGAAAATGAAAAATTTGATATACCACAGTTGTTGTGGGGCTAATCAAATCTTGTATAAAAAAATAAAGGCTATAGATACCCTAAATCTTCACATACCACAGTTCATGTGAGGGCAAGATCAGCAAAATCTTGATGTAGACTAGATAACCCAAATCATGGTTATACCACTGGTTTTGTTGGAGCAATAAACCAAAATCTAATAAAGGGACAGAATTCAAATTTGTATTAATCAAGGGGAGGTATTTTCATTGTTATCTGTTATCATATGTTAACTGAACAATAATCAGTAATATTAGAATGTAATTAAGATAAAAACTTAATAAAACCATCAATATAAATTGTGTGTGTGTTGTAAGTTATCATGTATCACTGTTCTGTATATATCAGAAACCTAACAGTAGGTTATGGTACAAAAGCCATGAAGGCAGGAAATCTGACTGTTTATGTAGATATAGATTCTATACTAATATGATATGGTGTTTTGTAGAGTCTTGGGGCGAAGAAGTTCCATATCCTAGCCCACCATGCTGTTATTGGTAATCAAGTTATTGTCAGAGGTGCTTTAAAATCAGCTGTAAAATCGGTGTTAAGTGCTCTGAAGGTAAGTACATTTTCAATCGCGTTTTTGTCTAATTATTTGAATTTGGAACTAACTGAAATGTTTTTTGTGAGCCATTGTTATATAAAGTACAAATTAGATTTAGATTAGACTCACTTCTGTTCTTTGTGGACTTCCTTTCATTTTTGCATTTGTATAGCAATTTCTCTTTTTATTTCAAATTTTAGATTTTTCTACAGGTAAATTTTTTCCCCAGTGGTCATCAATCAGATGATGGTGTGTAAAATCTTCACTGGTCATCAGACAGATGATGATACAGAATATGGTCATAATATGTCACCCCTTTTGTATGGTTGTGATGTACCTCATATCTTTTAACATACATATTTACCAACTTCCTGATAATGTAGAGATTGGATTCCTGTTGCAGTGTATTGTACCCAAGGGATGCTGCCGAGTTGTGTCATACAGTCAGGATTACGAAGCCTCCTGGAAATGTAACTTCCTTGGCCTGGCTCCAGATGTTCATATTCCGAACCACATCATGGCCACTGAGATGTTTGTATTGGTGGAGGTTATCTCCCCTGTTGGCGATAACACTGACCCCTCCACTACATGTGCCATAGACCTTGATCAGCTTAGAGAATGTGATTTTAGCCTGGCCAGTCCAACCTCACTACCAGAGAAAGGTAAACGGTCATAGTTCCAGAAGGTTACTACATTTGAAGACATATTGCATCATTTTATGTCTGTTACTGCAAGATACACATGTCCATTATGGAATAATTCAATTGAATTTACAATGGAAACCACATAAAATCACTGTTTGAATTTTCAGTCATGTTGTCAGCAAATCACTCCATCTAGAAACAATAACACAAACTGGTTTGTTGTATGGGTATTCGTCAATCCTTTATGTATACAAATGTATGTACTTTTCTCACTTCTCACTTGTATCTTTCCCAGAAAGAGTTGCTATATCTATTGTTGGGTTTTCCCATTCTGTTTTTTTGTATTCTTTTAAACATCTAGGTAAAACATTAAAGAATGAAATTCAGTTGCTATAAAGCTAGATGTTCTGGTATGCAGGATATGGATATTCTACAATGCTATACAATTTGGGTTCAGCTCTTACACCAAATTGTCTTCTGACCCAAATTCTACACTGGTAGAATGACTGATATTTTTATAATTACCACCTATAGCTTTTGGTTTTGTTTCATTCTTATATTCCTGCCATTTTACATGGATCTGTTTAGTGTTACCTGTGTCTAACCCAATACACCACATCATGTCACATCCTGTCACTTCTTGTCACATCATGTCACATCATGCCACATCCTGTCACATCCTGTCCAAAATATCAGTGTCATATCACTCTAGTGAATTGATTTCTTTAAGGATTTTGATCAGAGTGAGCAAACGTCAAATGGGTTCTTGTTTCCTGATTGAGGGGTCAAGGTCACCATTCCTTTTATGGAAATTTGTCACATTTTCCTGGTTTAGAAGTCAAGGTCACCATAACTGTTGATATTAACATATGGCAGAATACTTCTACTTATAAGATTAAGGCTGTTTATGTCTAACAGATATTTTCTTGATTACGAGAATTCCTCACAACATTCTCATTATTTAGCAACTCTTCAGGATGTTTTACGTTCCTGTGTGTTGTTGGTGTCATATTGTCTTTATTGTATATTCATACCTTTTCTCTCTTTTAAGGACCTACTGTTTTAACAAAAATGGAGATGGCATTGAAAAATGAAAACCTCACAAATGAAGTACTAGAACAGTATCTTATATGTCTCAAAGAGGAATGGATGAAGTAAGTTATTTTTGTCCACCTCCCATCGTGTGAAATAAGCATTCATTGCTTCTATAAAACTCCAGTCATATAGAGAACTGTGAGACCAAGTGTTTGAAAAAATATTTCTATGTCCATGCTTAGTGGAGAATTGAGCTGAATGCCATTCAGCCATTGAACGGCTTTTAAATAGTATACCAAGGTATATTGTCAGGTCATATTAAGAATGACTGTACTAACTATGGATATTATTTTATCTGGTCTGAAATGCATCAGTACTCTGTGAATACAGTTACTGTAATATAAATAGTCAATACATCATAAAACTGTGTAAATACATTCGTGTAATTGTAAATCTTATAGTAATTTAATATCAGATAAACAGGTAATGTCACAAAAAAAGCTCCTTCCTCTAACTTATACCAAAAAGGAAATGTCCATCCTTGAGTAAAAACTTGGAAATCAGTCTGCTTTGGTGACACTTATTTGTCCTTCAAAATATTCCACTCTGATAAATGACCCATCTTTCTTTTATCTTGATATAATGACTGACCTGAAAAATGTGACAGTCGTTATGACCACTATTGACAATTCAAAATTACACATTTAATTCTTGTGTTATTTGCCCCCTGGAATCATTTATTATTTTGACTTGTCTTAAATACATGTATGTATATGGAAAGAAAGATTTCAGTATTTTCTACAAAAAAAAAAAAAAAACAATATATAGAATTACAATAGATGTTACCTTGTATTTAATTCCATATGAAAGTTATCAGATTTCTTCATATTTTTTATTAATAAACCTTTCATAAATCCATATCAATTTTAATTTTTAATTGTTTGTGATTTAATAATCAATTGAAAATGTTGACAACCAAAAGTTGTATGACTTATCTCCCCTTGACAAAAGCCTTTAGGTGACGTCATCTTCATCATGGCGAAAATACATAGCCAAAAATTCATGCTAGATAGTGGATGTAACAGTAATATCTGTGAGAAAAATTTGACTGCAGATATATTATCCTTCAGTTCAAAAGGTGGTAGGTAAATAATCCGATCCCAAAACAGCCTGTAAAATAAAAAGATGAGTTCATTCCAGTAGAACTGAACATGGAGATCTAACCAGCCTCAGGAAGTATAATGTAGTTCATCATTGTTTGGGTACACTTATTGGATATGGATGTGTTTGTAGCGCTATAGAGTGGGATATCCTAGCCAAGTCCTTGTTTTTGTTATGAAATATTGGCATTAAAGAGACATGATTATACATATCATGTACAATACATCTAGGCAACAGTAATGGTAAAAATCATTTAAAGATTTAATTTCATAAATTATAATATAAGTGAAGATTGTTTTATTTATATTGTACTATGTACCTCCCATACCTCCCATTTGACAGATTCACTTAAAGAGGCTTCGGATTGGACACATCCCCATTTTCACACACAATGATTTTTGCCTACCCTTGAATGTTTTAATTTTTATAGGAAAAAGAAACAAATGATAATTGTATCAGTAGGTCTGATAACCAAACATTTTTCAGTCATTTTGATTTTTCATACTGTATTGTTGTCTGTCACGAATGCATCGTATCTGGGATCTACCCTACATGCATAGATTTAAATAGCAACATCATCATCAAAACAAAGTGCTGTCAAGTTGTTGTAAGGGAAAAGATCTGCTTAAATCAACAAAGAAAGAAAATTATGTGTTTATGTCTATAAGAATCTACACAATATTGTAAAATGTTTTTATGTAGTTCTCAGTACTTGATTAAGAGTACTGGGATATTTAGTAATTTGTCATCCACGTAATGTGGCAACACCTTTATTTTTTTCATCAAAGTTGATAAATGAATTAGAAATGTATGCAAAAAAATTATAAAAAAGAATTTGTTTTATGCGATAAAAGCATGTGAAAACTTCACTAGAAGCCACTCCATTCATGTAATTATGTTGAATTATGACAGTAATTGGGTAATCTTGTGAAATGGAGGTGGGAATGTTAGTGGTTAGATACAAACATGTAGCTGTTTGATGTACCTGGTAGTTATTTAACATTGTTCAGCATAAACAGAAGCAGTTAGAAGAGCCATTTACTTCATTTTAATCATATGAGTAGGCCAACACTTCTATTCTGCCAGTGATAGGTTTTGCCATACCAAATTTCACTTTTAGATATCCTTAGTGAGTGCTAATTAGTTGGTCAACAATCCCTCACTGATAATGATATCATCTTGCAAAAATCTACAGGAGTGTTTCTATCAAAAGTAGATATTGGTCTATATATTATAAATGTTTATATACCAGATCTACAGTAAATACTGGTATTGGATAAAGAATGGGGATAAATACTATAATACTGCTTGTTCTTTTGGACATGTATCCTTACCCCACCTGATTTCATCAGACATGAGAACAACTCAAAACAATTTGATATATGTATATAAATAGCATTAAAACATACAAAGTATGATGGTTTCACTAAATTATCAAATACAGACAAAATGTCTCAAGTCCTGGCACCTTGTGTTAGACTGAATTCCAGAAAATGTTGCTATGACAAAGATGTCATCAATTACCGACAATCAGGGGAGACAAGCAAGTACACTTTGAAGTCATATAATGAAAAATGTTTTTATGTGCATGGTTACATGATAAATACAAGTTAGTTTTCCAAAAAAGTATATACTAAGAAATCTTATTAGAGCTTTTTTATTGAAAATTGATTATACAAATGTAACAAAAATTATTGTCTCTTTGTTTTCAGTAAAGTGAAAGTTCTGTTCAAGTTTACAAAAGCTGGTGGCAGCAGATCTGAAGAGGATACAAAGAAACTTTTACAAGTTGTTGGTGCTCAGGAGGAGGACAAACAACTACTGAAATTCTGGATGACAGGACTTAGCTGTCACTACAAAACTCATATTCTTTCTACTACCAAATCTCACCACTGAAGACAGAGAACAAAAAACTACACCGTGGGTACTCCAGTTCTGGATGGCGGGAAGTAACTGTCACTACAACACTCATATACTGTCTACTGCAAAATCTCAGCGTTGGATAAGAAATAATGCAAAAGTTAACTGAAAAGATATTGTATACTGTTCATTGCTTATTGTTTTATAAATTCTTTACATGCTACAAGGTACCAGTACAGTGTTATTCTAGCACTGAAATAAAACGATTTGTTTGCATGATCTAAATTTATTTGATATAAATTGACGTATAAACAGCATCAGCAATGAAGAAAACCTTTTTCAGTCTTTCACTCATTAAAACTTCACATATACTCGCTAAATTTAATAAAACAACTCCACTTTCCAATATTTAAATCATATACAAAAGTGATTCCTCTTCACACAAGCATGCTTCAGGCCAAATTGGGACAACACCCAGACCCACCAATTACACAAATTGGTCCCCTCTTTCCCCTATATATTGTGAAAGTTGACAGACAACAGAGGCTGCAGTATCCCTATAGGTCACTTGGCCCATTGTGCCAGGTGAGCTAAAAACCTTTCTATAACTTTGGATAATACCTGTAATACAAGGTAACTGTTGAGGTATAATAGTTTTCATGTCTATCATAACAGAGCAAGAGGTTCTAGATATCCTGATGTGTTGCTGTTTGTTGGGCTGTAGGAAAGAATGTGAATGACTCCTTCATGGCAAAACACACTATTTAAAACATTTAGGATAACTGATTACAGACCCATGCAGAGACATGCTGGCTTCTGCACATGTAGGGGGAGAAGTACCTTTGTAGGATCAAACAAAATTCAATGATTTATGTAAATGAATTTTATTCCTCTGGTGTCGCATAATACAACATGGCAGACAAAAGACAAATAGTCAGTTATCACATGAAATACCACATTTGTCCAAACATGTACAGGAATTATACATTTACAAGTTTTCAACTTCTCTTCTGTTTGATATTTGCATCATTTATCAGAATAACATAATGCTATGAGGAAGAAAAGAAAGACAAGGGTACAAAATTATTCAGTTTGTCGATGTTCTTTGTCAACCTGAAAAATCAAGAAGTTCTATTTCTATGTACTTTTGTAGGAATCAACAACAATGATACATTTATTAATTACAAATTTGTAATGATTGATATGATTGTTACAATAAGTACTTGATATATAATGACAATATCATGAATAACAAAACTGATAACCATTAAAATGAGGCAAAAATTACAAGGTGGGAATGATATCAACTAAAGTCTCTTATCAATGTTCAACAAAAAGTTAGCAAGTCTTTACATTCACACAAGTATCTCAATGAATAACACCTAAATGGTATGACATTTCTTTTGCAATTTTCTTTCTCATTCTACACGATTCATTACTTATTGTATAATTTGTACCAATTAGTAATGAATAAGGAATACTTGTAACATTTTTTCCATGAAATAATGAGAAACACAAGGACAAAATTGATGTACGGCTAAAGAAGAGTAGTCTCCCTTTAACCGGAGAACCATTTCAAAAAATTACTACAGTGGAACACCACCAGTCTTCTTGCCTGAAAGACTGTGCTAAATAAATGCCGAAGTAATGCATATGAATGGACACATGCCATCCATTGTCTCACATCCTCAGTGAGTTTGGACATTTTACACATACAATTAACATTGATGGAAAAGATAGATATTCTTTGTCAATATTAGAAAAATGTTTCGAACTCTTGTGGGCTGTTCAAGTAGAACACAAGGATCACAGGTGTTGTTTGTAATACTGGTAGTATATTACAATTAACTTGTAGCTGTACCTAATAATTCCTTCTCCTCCTCTGTCCTCTCAACCAATCTGAGGAAATCACTCTTGTCTGCAGAGGTAATTGTATTAATTGTTTCAAACCTATTAATTTTCATCAGACAATGGCTAAATATCCACCAAACAGATCTTTATCTTAGACATACTATTCATGTATAAGCAATTGTTTTTGACCAATTGTTGACAATTATTTCAGCAACTATAACCATGGCAACAAATACATGATATACAAACTTATGTATATCTACAAACTTGTACAGACAAACCTGTGCTAGCTCCAATCACCTGGAGTAAAGTGCATTGCTGAAGGACACAACTATGATACCCAAGAACAGTTGTACTGCTGCTTTGGTTGACATTAGCTCTTCAGCTTGAAACTCTCTTTGTCTTCCTGATGTTCTGGATCTCTGTGTAAAAGATGTTCTCCAAACAAAAACTTTGTCTGTCCATCCAGGTAGATTTGTCTGTCCATCCAGGTAGATTTGTATGAAAAAAGATTGGGCTGGTACATAAAATGTATTTGTTTTCATAATACTCCCATCGACAAGATGTGTTGCTTTGATTTTTTTTATGTCTGTAACAAGTCAGAAGATTTATTTTACTGATGGAAAAGTATTTAAAATACTTGTATCTATTTCCCCATGATAAGCTCGCCCCTCCTGCCAACAGAGGGTTACATGCAGTTTGTATAAAATAAGTTCTCTTTACCAAGGAAGTTTCCTCTGATTTCCCTTCACCCTAGCTTGCTTCAGACCTAATCTGAATAATATCCTGCTATTCCTTAAGAAACAAGCTTAAGATAGATTTTACAAAAATTGATATAGATTTTCCCTATTGAGCTCTGACTCTTACGCCCCTCGGGAAGGGGTGGGGAGGGCAGACCCACTGTTTATATATAATAGGTTCCCCTTCCCTAAGGATACTTGCGAACAAATTTTATTAAAATCATCTCAGTCGTTCATGATCCATAATAATATGTTACTGGTTAAAAAAGAAACGAATGATTTCTATCGCTTGTTTTTGGGATGAAATCAACTACCGTATCACTAAGGTTTATAAATTCGATAGTGGGGGGAGGGGGAGGGCGCACTTTTTCTCCATTCCCCTGAATGAAATTATTTTCACCAACCGCATTCTGGTGATTCAAACTAAAATCGATAAAATAAAAAGGGGTTAGACATAAACAGAAGAAAGAAAGAAATGGATAACGAAGAAAGTTATACAACCCAAATCATTCGTGTTAGCCTAAATATTTTACCAGGAATGAATTAAAGTGGACAGTAGGAAATCTGATTCCGACATCTGTATTCCGGATATGATTCAATTGTTATTAACTAATTGATGACCTAAAAAGCTTAAAAGCTGGACAACATTGAATTACATAAAGTAAAGTGTCCCTATTTATATTGAATTTAAACGATATATATCTTGTAATATTGGTATTTTTGTATATAAGCAACACACACAATATTGATTTTTGGACTCAAGTTTTGATTTTTATGTTTTGATACATTTTATTTCTGTTTGTTCAGTAATAATACATTTCAAAATCTCCGGAAGAGGTCAAGACCCAGTCAAACACATTAACAAAATACAGCCATGTTATTTTAAAGAGTAAACTACAGACGCAGGCTCGTGATTTTGTTAAGGAAAAGTTAATAGGAGAGCAACAACAACACAAATCAAGTATAGTCGTGACGTTCACTTCTCGCACCGTTTTAAATCATTATTGACACAAGATCAAAACAATTGCCCAGCATTATGGAAAAGAAGTATGGTGTGTAAGTCTCTGATTCGTCCTAACTTGACGCGACAAAATTTGAATTGTGGAAATATCTCTATTTGACAATTTTATGAAACCTTACGTGAATATCAGGTATATCTAGATCTTCAAAATTCAAAATCAGAGAAAAAAGTACCTAATACGATATGTAGGCCTACATAACTTTACATGTATATACACATGTACAGACATCAAAGCCGGCATTATCTACGAAATCCCAGATAACACATTGTACCTGTAGACAGTAATAACAAATTTTAAACCGTGTGAACGTGGTTAATTGAAATAGGTGCCCATGCTCCTTATGCACCATATCACTTTACAGACGAAGACTTAATATGTTAAATGACTACATCCATTTTGCACATTTGAATATTTCTCTCTAAAATTCTTGTTTTTGAAAGTACATGTACCTTTAACCAAACGTACAACTTCCGTGAACATAGAACATACATATGCATAAATTTGTAAGTTCTACGGCCGATATAAACATTAAACACTCCCCAATTACTGCAACTAAAGCTCCACACCTTCAAGGCAGATGTACTTCATTAACTAGTTAGTGTATTGATTGTCTAAGAAGTAACGATCACGGAACCTAGAAGTCATTTCAGATGCCTTCATGTCATTAACCATTCATAGCATGAGATTAGTATGTTGGCTAGAAACTGTTTATTTGAAAGTTACCATAGAAATATGGCTGTTGTATTCCAATGTATGTCATAAGAGGCGACTAATTGTGGCACCACTCACCGCTTACTTTCCTCATACTGGAACGATGCTTTCTCCGTTGTCTTATTTGTAGATGACAATTAAGAACCATTGAGATCTGTTGTATCCTCCATGCGATATTTGGAGGCGACCAAAGTGGAACCATCTGCACATCTTTGTTTATTCTCCTACTTTGGAGAAACGAAAATGGATACGATGTTTCCATAGTAACACATGAGATCTTCAACTTTTCTTTTCTTCTTAGCTACCTGTTACTAAAACGTTAAATTACAAAGACAGAAACTTTTTCCATCATTCGTTTTGGCCAGAGATCCTCTTGCATGTTGTACATGTTGGCTCATTCTCGTAATGCACGCAATATCACATGGACGATGAAAATATATTAATTGTTTTAAACTAGCCTTAGCTGTAGTCATATTAACAATAAAAAGGTCAGATGAGAGACATTATATATACACTTGAATAAAACGATACCAGTTTACCAATACATTAATGAAGCTAGGTAGGTATGTAGTGTATGGTAGGAGTATCTTGACACTTGCAGAATAAATAACATATCACTTACATGATACACAGTAAGTTTAATGTTATATATACGACAAAATGACCATGTATTATCATGAATTAAAACATAAAATCCTGTCGAGGAAGTTCGACTTCAGTCTTTCTGTATTAAATCTACATACTTTAACCCTTTAAATAAAGGTTGACGAGCATTTTTTAAACTCGATCCACGACACCATGGCAAGTTTGCACGACACAAGTCGCTCGTGTAATTCATGCCTTCAATAAATTGAAAAATATCCAATAAATTTTCAATAAATATGCACTCCTTTAAACTTTTTTTTCACGTGTGTTATTGGAAAGACTTTTAAAC